TTCAATAGTAATTTTTTAATTTCCGTTTATTGGCTCCCGTAATTATTTTAAAAAAATAGTCTATTTAAGTTTCTTGTAGAGAAAAAAATTGCGAATCTGTAGATACTATTGTTTTCTATTTCATAAATTCAAAACAGTAAAAATTTAAAAATTAAAAACTGACGCGTTTATAAAGTCTGTAATGCCATGGAATTATGAAACCAAACAAAAGCGCCTGCATTTCCCATTAGTGGGCAAACTACCATGGCACCACTGATTTGCTTAAAAGCGCCAGTTTTTAGTTATCCAATTTCTTATTTTTAAAGTTCAAAAAATTAAAAGCCATAGTATGCATGGATTCGTAATTTTTTTCTCTACAAAAAACCTAAATAGACTCTCTAAAATAATTAGGGAAGGCAATAATCAGAAATGAAGAAATGACTATTGAATTTCCTATGGTGCGTTATTCAAGTCACCATCCCGGTATATGCCTGCGATCCTGCACTCTGCTCAGAACAAAACTACCGAAAAAGTTCTTAAAATAGCCATTTCCCTATTTTAAAGATAGTTGCAAATCTTATCTCCAAAAACTTTAGTGCCATTGAAGGGACACCCCACATTTTACACAGAACTTAAATTCTACGTGAACCATACGTCTCTTCATCAAGGATTTTTTTCGTTTCAGTTTCAAAAGCAAAAATTTTGCATAGTTTTCTTATTATTTATATGTTCCCGACCTTATAAATTCGGAAAACTGCAGGATAACCTAATTCGGAATAGCCGCCAGAATACTCGAAACTGATCTAAGGAAATTCTTACCTCGGACCAGGTTCGAACACCCGACCTCCGCCTGTATAAGCCCAACGCTCTACCACTGAGCAAAGGGAAAGACATAAGTTTTGCAGTGGGCGGTTACCTGCGAATGGTTTTATACTAGGAAGACCTATGGTTATAAGAATAAAATGATAACAAATCTTGATACGAACAGTTTTAGAACCATTGAGGCGTTGTCCAAAACAGACGAAGATCCTAATCTTTACAAGAAAAAATAGTTATATTTGTCAGCTCCAACTTCCAAGAGCTACCAGAGGAAGTAGATATTTTGTCCTATTTTTTGGCGAAATTTTCTTGTTCTGTTTAGAGTTTGGGATACTCCTTTAATAACTTTGAAAATATCTAATCTAAAGTGCAGTTTACTTTATGTGATTTTGCTTACGATTTCCCGTACGAATTTTAATACGATTATTCTTTCGAGTTTTGTTAGGGGTTGTTTTGGTGGTTTTCTGTTTACATTATCCGATATGCTACCAACAATTACGAATAAGTATGATGGGAGCCGAAAATATTGCAACTCGCGAGAGAAATCCTAAGCAAAATGACATAGGTGCCTAACGTAAACTGCACTTAAATGCCTAAAATTGCTTTGATAGGCAATTTATAACAGGAAAACTAGTAGGGATTTAGTTGACACGTTATAATAAGAAAGCTTTAGAGGATTCTTTTGTATCGGAATTACCATGTTCATCTTTTTAGTTTTAACACTTTATTTTGCGTAGGTAATGCAAATGTCAAGTCTTTTTACGCCCCAATCACGTATCCATTCTGGATACATTCCATGATGGTGATACAATATAGCTCGGCTACTTATCTTCCTAATAAATTTATTGGCTCTAAACCTTGCAATTAAAAGATTAAACGCCGGTTTTTCATCTTACTGTTGAGGGTGTACGAGGTACTTTTATTAGTAACAATAGAAGTTACTTTTGGAACTCAAAATAGGTACATTTTTCTGGTGAAATGTTGAAGTTCCAACCGGAGTTCCTTAATCATTATAAACCGTTTTGTAATTAGATTTTGTGATAAGATTGATAAGAATAATAAAAGAAAGATGCTTTTTCGTCTTTCAAGAACAAAATATTGGTGACCATTTTTAAAGTTTCGAGTATTTCCTAAAGAGTCATAAAAATTGTATAGCAACTTGTAAAAACAGATAGGTACTAATTGTATTTCCTCTATGGTACTATTTATTTTTGATACCTACTGAATACTGAATTTTCTCCTGAAGAGTTGGAAAGGAGTTTAGATAGCGCCACACTGGTTATAAAACCTACACCTTTAGCAACGGTGGAGGAGGAGGATCAACCATATTACAAATACCAAGTAAAATATTCATAGATATGATTACAGTTCCTGATTATCCCCCAGGAGTTGTGAAAATTTTTCGAATATGGCGTTGAATAACACATTTCTTAATGTTTTAAAAGCCACTTTATTAATAGCGTTTTAGATGAAATTTGCTGGGGCTAGCACAGATACCGCCCGCACACCTCCGCATGCGCGTTATGCCCAAAAGCTTTTCAGTCCATTCTTTCATCTTCAAGTCTAAGAATATGTGTACAAAAATTGAGTTCAGCCGCTTAGTCGGAAATGGGAATACAGACGGAACCGACAGACAGACCGACATCATTGAGATTTTGTTTGATTCGGATGTCTGGTGTATTTCCGTCAAAAAAGTAGAGGTAGTTTTTTTTATCCCAATGCAATACCTTCCTCACTACGGTGAGGGTGGTAATAAACCTCCATAAGTATCGTATACGTGTAGCCTGAGCGTACGCGCTTGCTTTGATGTGAGCTAACCGATTTGTCTGTTTAATGTCGACAAACTGTAGCCCTTAGTTAACTGTTTCCGAACACGGAATTCAAAAATTCGCCCATGTTTCCGAATTATGGCGCGGTAAAAAGGACGGACACAAACGATACGAAACCTACAGTATACACTGTGTCCAAGATAAAAATGTTTATCATGGGTATCTACGAAACTATAGAAGGTATGACGATAGTCAATTTGAGGAAAAGTTGCACAAACCAGGTATTTATCATGCTTTAAAGAAAACCAGAAAATTCCTATTACTTCCGGTTCCAAAGATATGCTGGACAAACCCAAATTTCCCGATTTCATTTTCATTTTTTTCTGATGTTATTTGAACAGATACAAACAAGTATAAATTGTGCACAACTCTTGTGCAGATAAAGCGCATTTTTTAAACCGAAATAGTTTTTGTTAACACTGGCAATGACAAAGTGTTTGTTATTTTTTTGTATCTATTCAAATGCCATCAGAAAAAAATAAAAACGAAATCGGGAAATTTCTGTTTTTCTGATATCGGAATTTTTTGGTTTTCTTTAAAGTATGGTGGTTAATTGCGCAACTTTTCCTTAATTAGACTATCTTCATACCTTCTATGGTTTGAATGGTTTCGGAAATCCCCATGATAGACATCCTTATCTTGGACACAGTGTATACGCTCATCTCCGTTATGGATCAACTATCTTGCGTTACCCAATTCGAGATTATGGAAATTATGGAAAAGGTATGAGCATTGAGTATTCACTCAACGGTATGAGTCTAGCTAGGTATGAGTTGTTCCGTATAGAGCATTACATTTTTTTTATAAGAAGGTTTATTATCTGACATTAAAACACAATAATGATTATGAAATTTTTGAGTTTTCGTACCCTTTTTGTACGAATTATATTTCAGCACAGTTTTGAAGCAAAATTTGGTATTCTGATTAGAGTTTCGGGTCGATATGCAGAAGTTTTGCTCTAAAATGTATATTTATTAAGTAAACCATAAATCATAATAAATATTCAAAGCCCGTATTTCAGATCATTTGGCGAAATTTTTTTTCATAGATTTGAATGGGAAATATTTTAACCAGTTTTAAGAAAAATTACAACTATCAAGTTCACATGAAAGGAGATTAAAAGTCTGCGAACAAAAATAATCAAATGTGTAGGTATACAGAATTTATTGTAATCTTAATACTGGATGACATCATCGCATACCCGCGCTCATGAACAATAGCTTCATTGTCCTGTGTACCTTGCTGTAAAAGAGCGGTAGTTTATTTATCATTCATGTTGCAGATTTCTGTACAGTACTAGCGTTGAGTAGCGTAATTATTTCGAGAAAAGAATCTGTATATTTTTACCGATAATCTTTAGTGGATGGTAATATTGACACGCGCGCGACATCTATAACTCTTAAATATGCTGTTTCCAAAACGTACATGGAGGTTGTCTCACTATTCTATTCTTTACACTAAGGTGGTACCCAAGCCACGAAAAATCTTAACAATAAATGTGCGCCTGCGCAAAGCCAACATTATAGACATTGCGCAGTATGCGCATGCACACATCTTGTTTTACATTTCTTTCAAATTTTAACCATAAATTCTAGTAAAGAAAAACGTAGCGCATATAGTAAAAATCAAATGTACCATGCGCAATATTAACTTCCTTACGTATAGAGATATTTTTTTAAATTAAAAAATTTAACCACAGGTGCTTCTAGCATAGGCAAACATATAGCATATTGCAAAAATCAGATGCTTCTAGTAAAGAAAAAAGTAGGTATGGCCTTTTGTGAAGTACTAGGTAATGTCCTGCAATCATTTCTTTAATAAATAACTGACAGTTCAGTTTGTGACGAACTTTCGCCGGAAGCTCGCTCACCAATGGTGGTTTCGGTTGTTTTTACATAAAAAATAAACGGTATAATTACAAAAAGTAAAATTTAATGAAGATTATAAAAAGGAACATTCAGCGGTAATTTCCAAGTCTAAATCTGCAGACTGCGACCGCGGAACGGGAGTGCTTCGGGCGTCACCATAATTTTTCGGTTTCTCTTGCTTCTAGACAAGATGCGGTCGGCGAAGATCACCTCCAGATAACTCGAATAGGGAACGACGGCCCCAGAAGTTCTAAAGGGCAAGCGGTGGGCGGTTACTGTTAACTGTGGAATGCTAAAATAAACTTAAAGCGAAAAGGAATAATTTCCCTAATCGGGAACAGTAAATAATCGGATTCAGGAGCGGTTTCTACGGGACATTAGCAAAAAACTTACCTTGCACTATTAACGGAGCTTATAACCTTTGTTTAATTAATCACGTCCTTCCCCGGCGTCTTAAAAATACAGGACCGGTGTCAAATTCAAGTTGAAATAAGAGCGCTTCTTTTGAGACAAGGTCCGGCTCAATCGGACAGTTTTCTGCAACTCATTTATGCAACTGATTTTTATGTTTAAGTAAATCGCTCACGGTTTAAAGTTCTGTAAAGCAGATACCGGAAACATGGCGAGGTTATACACGACTCTTTTTACTTTTGACAGGTGATGCGGAACTTATTGGGCACCCATATGGGTCACGCATCTCTATACACGATGTGTCAAATGTTGGAAGAACCGACTTTAAAGCAAGACAGTGGTCTGTTGCGAGGCGCCGTATTTTTCATTAACATGGGCCTTTGGTGTACGCATCCGATAGTGAATTTGAAGTGCCCTCCCAGTTCCGTGCTGCCGTCAATTCAGCAAGTTAGTATAAGTTTCAAGTTTAAATTGTCTACTAATAATTTTCCAAGGCGGTGGAGTCGAACCAACCAATCGTAACGTACGAGGTCATGCTGAGCATGCAAGGACTGATCACTAATCTTGGTTTACAACTTCACGATCCGGAATGGGACATTATTATTACAATTTTGTCGATAATAATTCATCAAATTGGTAATTGAGAATTTGAGACCGCTCACGTGTTTTAAACCAATTTGTTTTACAGATGCAGCACCTGACGTTGCGCCAAACGTACTCGTGGCGAATCATTTACACGAAACGCTCAACACAATCGAAAATTACATTGAGGTGGGATCGTTTCACGGTTCGATCGATCAATTTTATGGCCTAATTGGAGAATGTTCGCTGGCGAGACCGGAATCTTCGGTTTCGAAGTTGATCTCATATTTGGCGCAGGATATAATTCCCATTAGGCATTTATGGTTTAGTAACCTTTATAACTTGTTGCAAAAGTATTATCGACAAGAGACTAGAACCAATGTTCGCCTGAAGACGCTAAGTGTTCTCTCAAAAGTGATTAAATTGAACAGGTTTGTATATAAGATCCCTTAAAAAAAATAGATGAATAGATCTTTGAAGAAGCTTATTATATTCTATTGTGGTCTAACTATAGTACATGATAAACCTTAATTCTTTGAAAACTCCTCAGGAATTTCCCTAAAAACTCGTTTACGGCTGTACTTACTTGATCTTCTTAGAAATCGCTCCTGGAACCTGCTTACACATCTTGATATGTATTCACTTATCTATCTTAATCAAAATTTCTTCATGAATTACTGACAGGTTTTCGTAGATATTGCTGTGGCCCCACGTTGGGCGCCATATTGCCAAATTGTTCAGAACTCTTGTACAGATTTTTTTAACACCCCTACACCGCAATTTAATTTTTATTTTACTTTTTATTTATCGCTCTTTCCGAGTATCATCTTCTCACACTCTGTTCCTTGACATATTCGCAGTTAAAGTGTTGACTGACCATTAGGTATGCCTAGTCCAGATGTTTCAATAGTCCTCTCCTCTGACATTCCATTCTCTAGATATTCGTACTGCAAGTTTTGACATGACCAATCGGTATATTTCTTCCATACGTCCCAATCGCCCATTCCTCCGACAACCCTCTCTTGAGATATAAGGAATTATATCCGATTACATAAGAGGCGAGGAGGAGGACTATGGTTGGTAGAAATTAATTCCAGGACTCTAGGATCATTCCCCTAAAAGTAGTTCAACACGGAAAACGGACGACCGGACTAGTAAAACGCAAACAACATCGCACTTTTTATTCAAATCAAAATCCTAATAAATTAAACAAATATAGCAAACGAGCTCCTGGGTATGGCTATAGCATGTGCAAAACCAAATTTTAAACCTGATGTTAGTTTTGCTTTTATTTAAAGTGTATATAGATGAAATTTCATTTGAATGCCTCCATAAATAAGCTACGCATGCGCAAAACCAAATTTTGAAACTGATGTTAAATTTTCTTTTATTCCAAGTGGTTATGTACCAAATTTCATTTAAATCCCCCTATAAATCAGAAAGTTGTCACTGCGCATGCGCAAAACCAAATTTTGAAACTGGCGTAAAATTTGGTTTTATTCCAAGTGCCTATGTATCAAATTTTATTTAATTGCCTCCATAAATAAGGAAGTTGGCACTGCGTATGCGCAAAACCAAATTTTGAAACTGGCGTTAAATTTACTTTTATTCAAAGTGGCTATGTATCAAATTTTATTTAAATCCCGCCATAAATAAGAAAGTTGGCACTGCGCATGCGCAAAACCAAATTTTGAAACTGGCGTTAAATTTGCTTTTATTCCAAGTGGCTATGTATCAAATTTCATTTAAATACGTTCATAAATAAGAAAGTTTGCAATTCGGTCTGTAAATGATGCGCAAAGGGCACTGTGAATGCTGATCGCTCGACTGTTGGAATTGTGTTTTATATGGCTAAAGCTATGCGCATATTGAATTTCATGCAATTCGGTTCATAACTAACGGAGATGTCAAAAGGGCCTACTTTATTTTTTGGGCTACATTGCCAATTCACGAACTCCGATCTACAAATTTGATAAAGAATCCACCTGCAAAATTTCATCATAATCGGTCCATTCGTTTATGAGTTATCGTGCTAACGGACGGACGGACAAACACAAAATTATAAACTCGCTAGGAGCTCGTTAATAATGACTCGAAATTAATAATACAGGACACTTAGTTAGTCTCAATCAAGTTCCGTAAATTCCAAAGAATTAATACAGAGATTTTGTTTAACACCTGAGATAAATCTTGGGCACAAATAGACAAATCTGAACATGAGAACTCTATCTGCGTTGTACAATGGATTCAAATAAACACACAATTCATAATGACAAAAAAATTTACTCCGAAACACAAATCAACAAAGAAAACCTGAAATAAATAGGGGCACAAGCCCGCTTTTTAGATTTACCCCACACGTCGACCACAAATAATGCCCTTTAAAAATTTGATTACCAAATTATGCTTCTGGCAAAGATAAGTACTAAGTTGCTAACAATTGTAGATATGAATATGAGGACGAATTAATAGACAGAATCGTGGTGCCACACCTAATTCATACCGCTGGCGATCAGGATCCAATAATACGCTCTGCCGTCGCCGAGTTACTGCTCGATTTGTGTTACGACTGCGAATCTAAAAGATGCTTGGAGCTATTAGATATCTTAGAGAAGGTAAGTTTAGCAATTGTCGAGTACCCAATGGTCAATTGCGCATTTTCAGCTGCTTCTGCGCCCCTACGATCAATATTTAGGCGACATATCTGCGAACGAAGGAGACACGTCGGACATGAAAAGCCTAGTGACTGGTTTAATAAACGTTTTTGCTCATAAGATTTATAGATTGCCATCCATTCACGCTGTTAGAATTTATATGATGCTTGTTACATTTCTCGAGCATCACTATAGCAAACCGAAGATATTTGAAGACTGTTATCATCTGCGATACAAGGTATGATGAAAAGTGGAGGGAGTAATTGGGGTGTAATAAAGGGATAAATTAAAAACGTTGCATATTTATGCAGATAAACGAGCGCGTTTGGGTGTCTAGACAGTTGTCTGTATTCCACTTATCCTGTGCTTTTGGATATCTGACCCTGCACAAATAAAAACGTTCTAGCGTAACAGCAATTGCAAATGGTTCTTATAGGTCGATTCCTTTAGGAATATTAAAATTACTTCAGACGAAATTAATATGAAAATTCCTAAATATAATCGACTACTACAAATAAAAAAATTTAAAATAATAAATTGTGAAGCACGTATAAGCCAAAGAACATATTTTGACAGTTGCTTGAGATCACTAAACCTGTGAAAATAATTTTGTGCAATTGCAGATACTGGAATGTTTTCTAAAAATGCGTGCGGATTCGTTATACCACGTTGGCTGTTCCGATTCGAATGGAAAGCTTAAGTACAGCGCATACTTGTGTATTACCTACAGTGGAACCGAGCGCGGACCAATGGGTTCCCCTCCGCCAATGTCACCCGCGGTTTCGCTTCCAGCCCCCTGCATAATCACATACGTACCTCTTCGTCCCGCATTCAAACTCATTATCACTTGCCTGAAACAGGAGAAAGGTACAAACAGTAGGATTTGTCGACATATAAACATGCACGTTTTCAGATTGGGAAGTCCTCCAAATGGTACTGCAAGCTATTCCGGTAGCTTTACAGAATAAGTCGCTTATTTTAACGAAGCAGGGAAATAATGAAGTTGATTTGTTGGTTGACGCACTTTGTGCAATGGTGTGTGTTTATTTTAAGCGATTGCTGTATGTTACATATTAATTTGCAGATTACTGATAGAACCTTATTTTTACCGGACTCCCTACGAAACACGGTTAAGCCCAACAGAACGGACTTTCACATAGCGGTACTGTTGGTCCTGGCGAGTCTAGCATCCTACCACAGTTACTTAGATCCCGTCCATCAGCAGAAGATGATCCGTTGGCTAGTCAAGTACGGATTGGTCCCCAGGTGCTCGCGCCAGTGCATTGCGGCGTTAACCATTTGCACTTTGGAAATGAAAGATGTTATGGTCAAACTGCTGCCGGAAGTCCTACTGGATTTGTCCAAAATATCGTCGACAGTTCACATCGCGATACCCGTTTTGGAGTTTTTGTCTAGTAATTCGCGCACCGCTAACTGGTAGATTATTAAAGCGTGTCTTTTTAGCACTCACTAAGCTGCCCGACGTTTTCGCCAATTTCGTCGGCGACCAGTACATGGCAGTGTTCGCCATCTCACTGCCGTTCACAAACCCCTTCAAGTACAACCACTACATCGTGTCTCTGGCGCATCACGTTATCGCCGTCTGGTTTCTGAGCTGCCGACTGCCCTTTCGTCGCGAGTTCATCACGTACATCTCGAAAGGTCTGCAAACGAATGTTCTGGTTCCGTTCGAGGAGGGTACCCTACGGACCGACCTGAGCAAGCTCAATGAGGACAGTTCGAATCGCAAACGCAGCTCTAGCCTGACGGAGCAGAGCTCGAGACGCCGCGAGCGGGCTAGTACGATCGCCCGATCCGATGGCAAGGTCACGTTGGACTTTCGGCAAATCAACGATAGAACTCTGCAAACCTTCTATGAGGAGCTAACGGAAACGTGTCAGGATTTGATGGCACGTTATACGTTTTCGTCATGCAGTGCACTACCTCGAAGGTAAACTATTGAAAAGAAATTATCTGGCTCAAAGGACCAGAATTTCCGTAATGACTCTGTTCTCTCTAGAATGACACTTTTTTTCTTTTGAGGCCTACGCTTTTCTTTGCCAATAAGGCTTGATGCTTTAAAGTAAAATTTTGTCATTTCTAGATCGCCTACGACAGAATACATACTAAGCGGTGGTCATTCGACGACTTGGTTTCTGGGAAACAAACTCATAACAATAACGACAAGCGGCTGCACGCAAAAGGCGCTTAGAAACGGTCTGTGCGATAAGTGCTTGACTATGTGCAGACTTGACCGCCTAAAATCGCCCGATGTGGACCGTAACATTCCGCTAGTTGGCCGAAGTAACAGTAGCGACAAGGACAAGGATGACTCCAACAGTTCGCGCGTCACCAGACAGAATTCGGGCGAGAAATCCAATAATAACACGTCGACGAGCTCACCATTGGAGGACAATAAAGAGTTAACCGACAAGTTGGAGCAGTTACCTTCGAAGCTGCAACAGCTGATGTCGATCGACGGTAAACCGTCCGCGAAACAGGCTTGCGTCTGCTGGTGCCAAGGTTGGGCGGAAATCTACGTGAGAAGAGCGACCGGTGACATGTCGTGGATTATGCGAATACAAAATCAGCTCTCACAACAGCTTAACATATGCGATTATCCGCTGAACGAAATCTTGACGTTATTCACGCCCTCTGTACAGCAGTGCGCCGAAGAAATGGAATCGACTGACAATCAATGCCAATCGGAGTCTGTCGAAACTGGAAACCCCGACGAGGAATTCAGTTCCACCGCCAGTATGCCCATAAGCATTCCAGGTAGGCGTTTTGTACACGGACCTGAGTTTACGGTTAGGTTTAGGTTCTCCCTGTAAGCAATCGCCGTCCAGGCAGAGTTCGCGCGACAGCATAGACGAGGACATGGAAAATATTTACGAGGACGGGAGTAAGTCGCGAAATCCGGTACGAAGGTCTAATTCAAGTCCGGAAATGTCGTCCAATTGGAAGAATCCCTTCTTGCAGAAGCAGGAACGCGACCGTGACGAATCGCGCACGCAAGACGAGGAGAATACGAAGAAAATGAAGACTTATACAAAGGATATGAGAGTTAGCTGTGAGGCAATTCCCGAAGAAATATCAGGAATGGGTATGTAATTTTTGTGTTCAGTCCAGTCCAGCAATGCTCCTTTGTTCCTTGGAATGTGGGGTCAAACGGCGTAATCTGTTATCACGTTGATATTTTCCTGCACGACCTTACCAGTTTAATGCTGATTATAGTATACCATTAGAAAACTAAAATCGATTAATGGGTAATTAACCGACCTAAAACTTATCAAGACCGATTCTCTCTCATCTTCCCTGGCTAGAACTGTTGGCGGCTGTAAAAATAATTGACGGGAACGGTTGCAAACGGCAATTTACATACGGCCTCTTATTTCCCTTAACGCGCGGCCCTATAAATTTCTACCCTATATTTCCAACTCTAAACAGAAATAAGTATTTTTGGAGCGACAATCTTCAAAAAGAAGCGCCCAACTTAAAACGCTTCTAGATACCCGGTGATCAGCGAGCTGGTCACTAAAAGTAGTAATTGCAAGGCGGAAAACGGGTGCTTCGTTGCATCTTAGGAGTTTTTGAAATCTATTTTTGTTTCTTTGAGGACTTGATATCTCGGCACTCAGGCTTGTAGTCTTTTAGATTATTTCTTGTGAAAATACAACTTATACTTGCATGAATTCTATTCGTCCGCCTGTCCATGTCCATCTGAGCGTTTGGGACGAATGTGTTTATTGATTAAAAATACAAATAAAGTAAATTGATTCAAAATCCTGTTTGGCGAGTTGACACCTTTCGCTATTAGTTTTGTTGGATTTCTCCAAGGCTTTTGATACTATAAACCACCAAATTTTACTCAGCATTTTAAGCTACGTGGGTCTTGATGATGAATCTTGTACCTTATTGGAAAATTTTTTGACGGGTAGATCGCAACGGGTAAGTCTAAATGGTCTAACATCTAATGCGGCGACACTAACCTCTGGAGTACCACAAGGTTCAATACTGGGACCATTGCTTTTCATTATTTATACGTGCAATTTTGGTAAGTCACTCAAGCATACAATGTTCCATCAGTACGCAGATGATACTCAGCTGCAATATAATTTTAGTTCAGGTGATGCAATAAATGCAAATATGCGTATAAATGAGGATGTTGAACGATTAGTTAAGACCTCCGAAGAGCATGGTTTGCGTATAAATCCTCTGAAGTCATCAACCATTCTTTTTGGAAGAACTAAAGCCAGAAATACTGTGGCTAATGACATTAAAATAACTGTGAAAGATGTTACACTTTCCCTAAGGCCATGTGTCAAAAACTTAGGTCTGCATATTGATGTAGATCTAAGATTTAGAACCCATGTAGCCCATATTGTTCAAAGAGCTTTCAGCAATCTAAAGATCATATATAATAATAGGCACATATTTAATAAAAGGATAAAAATAATTTTGTGCGAGGCTTTAGTTCTTTCGCAATTTAGCTACTATGATGTTATACAGGGTGGTGCCTAGCGCAACGCAGCATAGGGATTTCAATGGTAATTTCTTTATAGTCAATTACTAGCTCCCCTAATTATTTTAGAGCAAAAGTCTAAATACGTTTTTTTTTAGAGAAAAAATACTGCATCTGTTCATACTTTTAGTTATAACTTTCCATTATTCAAAACCGTAGAAATCGACAAAATAAAAATTTACATTTTTATAAATCAGTGATGCTTTGGAATCTTTTAACAAATCACAAGCGCATAGCATCTCAGTTATTGTTCTTTGACGTCGAACGATTTTCATATTTAATTCTGTTTCAACTAACCGACACAATAAAAGGCATCTTAGGGTAATGTTTTTTTAGAGAATGTATGCTGCATCTGCATCAGGTACTATTTGTTTATCATTTTCCGGAATCAGAGTACCTACCTAATCGAAGAAAAAAAACTGATTTGCAGAAGATTTGTTTCTAAACTTATATTCGGATTTTCCGCTACTGCAACCAAAACGTTGAATGTATTGTCGTTCGTGGTTCCTTTTCCTGATGGTTTTGACGGACATTTTGAACGTTATTGCACTTGTAGTTCTTTAACTAATTTATAAACAAGTATAAATCTAATATACGTCAAAGGCAAATAATGAAACGTGATCGCTGTTTTTTTAGGCAATTCCAAGGTATATTTGATTTATTGTAAAATGAAATGTCGATTTCTACGGTTTTGAAAAACGGAAAATTATAAGTAATAGCACAGATTTACACATACACAGATTGCTAACCTTATGCATTTTTTGGGAAACAAATTTAGGTATACTTAAAAGCGCCCTCTATTGCGGAGCAGTATAAACATGTATCGTTTAAAACTCTAATATGACGCTTATGGATTTATGCGTTAGATGTCGCTGAAACAAAATTAAAGCGCTAAAGTTTGCACAATTCGAATTCCTTAATATTCGTACTATTACAGTGGTATGATATGATAGGAGGTACGTTGAGCCATAATTGTTTAATTTAACACTGAAGCTACTCATTCGTCGTAAGGGAGATATTAAAAGCGGGTCCCTGTGGTCACAGATACACACGAACATAGGGCAGGTTCTTAAAGAATCGTGAAGGTTTTTTGAAGTTGGCGGACACTATTTGCGGCTTTAAAGGTCTTGACAAATTGCTAACCGCAAAGGCATATTTACAAACTATGTATATCTCTGCCATCATTAACGTTACACTCTTTACCACGCCGATAAGATATAAGATAGGGAGGTTATTTTCGAAAAGTTGATAGTTTTCGAGTTGTAAGCACAAAACTGCTAAAAAAATATCTTATTCAACTTTTTTTGTATTTTTTTCAATGTTGCGTCATGAAATTTTGTTAGCAAACCTCAGATTCGGATTCAGCACCCCAAAAAACATATAGAATCAAAGAAATCAAAACTACCCCACAACTTTCCTGGTAAAAATACAATTAAACTGGATTATATGCACACTTTACCGCTTTAAATTTTTTGCAGCGACATCTAATGCGTAAATCCATAAGCGTCATATTACAGTTTTAAACGGTACATGATTATACTGCTCCGCAATAGAGGGCGCTTTTAAGTATACCTAAATTTGTTTCCCAAAAAATGTATAAGGTTAGCAATCTGTGTATGTGTAGATCTGTGGTAATAGTATGAACAGATTCAGTATTTTTTTCTCTAAAAAAAACCTTTTGCTCTAAAATAATTGGGGGGGCTAGTAATTCACTATAATGAAATTACCATTGAAATCCCTATGCTGCGTCGCGCTAGGCACCACCCGGTATACGGAGCTTGTATAGATAGTGTAGATATTCGGCGTATACAGAGAATACAAAACTCGTGTATGCGTTTAATTTTCGGAATTCGAAAGTACGAACATATATCTCACAAGCTAGAGGCATTGGGTTCAGTGGCGTACGTAGAAATTTATTCTGGAGGGGGGGGGATTAAACAAGTTCGTGGCACATACAGTCACCCAGTGCGTACTAGAAGGGGAGGGGGGGGGGGTAAGAAATAGAAATTGGGTTGCACAGGCGGAAAAGATTAGATTAAAACGGTATTTTATTTCTTACTGCTGACAGGCCCCTTTATTGCTTTTGCTTTAATTAGTCAACGAAAACTTTGAATAATAGGTATATTTACGGGCAAAAAAACCAATTTCGACAAAAAATTCAAAGGGCTGTAACTTTTGATCTAGTAGCCCGATCTTGGAACTGTTTGAAATTATGGATTCTACAGCCCACATTCTATAAGAAAATATTTTTTTCCGGTCGATCTGAGACAATTTTTTTTTCTGGGCAAAAAAAAGGCAGTTAATTACCTTCCTTTTTTACCAAAAATCGACTGCACCAAAATTTCTCGGGAAAAAACTTTTTCTTATTAATTTGGGTACGTAGAATCCAAAACGATTCGTACTTTTTCGATTAGACGTCTCCATCAAAAGTTATGGGCAAAAAAATTCCTGTTTTTAAAATTTAAAATTCTTATTTTCGTTATTTCGTGAAAGGCAGGACGCAGGTACCTCACCTCAGTAGCAGTACTAAGTACCTGATACCTATTTGTTATTTTGGGCATCAATGTAGCGAATTGCCGATCAATGCCGAATAGCCAAATCGTTGACTGCCAACACTGATCACTCACTGAATAGTGAATACTGAATACTACAGAATATTTAGATTTTAGTGACTTTAGACTTTAACCAAAACCAAAATTGCTCTCTATATATACCTATATATTATTGCCTTTATTTTAAAGTGGGCGGAGCGGATAGTGGAGTATTACCTAAATACCTAATAGCTATGATGATAACTCCATTCTTCTGGGGAGGATATATCCCCTTCATCTCCCCCCCCCCCCCGTAAATACGCCACTGATTGGGTTGGTTAAATATGGCTCATCTGTACTATTTCACAAAATAGTTGTAAGTAAAGAACCTGCATATCTATGTGACAAGATCCAATTTTGTACAAATTCAAGATATACCTCTCTAATAAAGCCTCCTTTTCACAGAAGTGCATTGTTTGAGAGATGTTTTTGCTATAACATTGCCAAGCTCTATAACGATTTACCTGGTGCCTTAAAAAATACGGCTATCAACATCTTAAAAAAAAACCTGTACACTTTCCTGCTAAAATGTCAAAGTTCCTTGTAGCGTGTGATGAAGTCGTTATTTATTTCTTATCTAATACTTTACTTCTTTACTTCTACTATTACTACTTCCACTTACTTATTTACTTGTTATTTCCCTTTGCCGTTTGCAAAAGTCTAAATACGTTTTTTTAGAGAAAAAAATACTACATCTGTTTATACTTTTAGTTATAATTTTCCATTTTTCAAAACCGTAGAAATTGACAAAATAAAAAAAACATTTTTATAAATCTGTGATGCTTTGGAATCTTTTAACAAACTACAAGCGCATCGCATCTACGTTATCGTTGTTTAACGTCCAACGGTTTTCATATTTAATTCTGTTTCAACTAACCGACGCAATAAAAGGCATCTTAGGGTAATGTTTTTTTTAGAGAATGTATGCTGCATCTGCGTCAGATACTATTTGTTTATCATTTTCCAGAATCAGAGTACCTACATAATCGAAGAAGAAAAAACTGATTTGAAGAAGATTTGTTCCTGAACTTATATTCGGATTTTCCGCTACTGCAGCCAAAACGTTGAATGTATTGTCGTTTTCCTGATGGTTTTGACGGACATTTTGAACGTTATTACACTTGCAGTTCTTTAACTAATTTATAAACAAATATAAATTTAATATACGTCAAAGGCAAAGGCAAATAATGTTTGGTATTGAAGATATAATTGAATGTTGTGGAATATCTCTTTACAATAAAATATGCATAATTGCTATTTACCGTCCATGTAGCTCCAATCTGAGTGCGTTTTTAAGCAAATTCAGCGACATTCTCCAAGCAATCCACAGTCGATTTGATCATGTTTACATCTGTGGTGATCTTAACATCGATCAACTTCAAAAGGACAAGTCATGGAGAGCGCTCAACGATATCCTTGAGTTACACTCACTAATCTCTATAATCAAAGAGGCCACCCGTGTGCAACAATTGCCGTATGCATCCCATTTAAGTGTCTCATCTATTGACTATATCTTAACTAACGCAGTCGATACTATTCTGCATAAAAAAAACTTTGAAGTTGGATTCTCCGACCATTACGCGCAATCGGCAAAAATCTATATTAAGCTAAATAGCATACCACAACTCAAAGTGTCCGAATCTAAAAAATTAATAAAGCTCCATTCAAACTGGAACTTGAACGAATTTATGAATCTATACAGTACCAACTATATTGACAACTTTGAAGACTTCGATACTCCCAATGACAGACTTAATGCTTTTTACGAAACATTCAACTGGTGCTTTGAATGCGCTTTTCCCAAAAAGAACAAGGTTCAACCAGGACTTGTACAACATGACAGTAAAATTAGATTCTCTACAGAACTACAAGGGAAGTATGACAACCTCAAAGCTCTTTCCCTGATCAGCAAAGTTGTAAATAACTCCCAGCTAAAACGTCAAATAAAATGTTTAAACAAATCATTATCTAAACACATTCTCCTCGAAAAAAAGAAGCACATAGCGGGCGTCTTAAGCAGAGCTGAAAACAAAGCTAGAACGTTGTGGAAGTTGGTTGCTCCATCAAGTTCTGCAGCTAATCTGAGTCAAACCCTGGCCGCGGACGATTTTGCGGTCTTTTTTAAGGCCTCAGTACCACACACACGTAGTCTGGCGCCAAGGAGTACACTCACCCCAAGAAGCAACCCTGTGTTGAATACATCCTTCTTTTTTACACCGATTTCTTCAAGTGAAGTGTATAACATAATACATTCTCTAAAACGTGGTACATCGCCGGGCCTTGATGATATACCCAACTCTCTCTTAAAATGCTGTGCCAATGCCATTGCTCCCCAACTATCCAGCCTCATTAACTACTGTGTTACTCAAGGTGTATTTCCCGAAAAATTAAAAAGTGCGCGCGTAGTGCCTGTGCATAAAAAAAGTGACACAGCAGTTGTCTCCAATTACAGACCGATATCCTTATTAAGTTCCTTTTCGAAAATTTTTGAGAAATGTGTTAACGAGAGACTAACAACGTTTTTGCAAAAATTCCACATTCTTTCCGACAGTCAGTACGGTTTCCGCGCTGGGTTATCTACAGAAGACGCCACAACGCACTTAGTGCAGCATATATATGAGGAACTCGATTCAAATAAACATTGCTTTGTTGTGTTATTTGACATCAGAAAAGCTTTTGACAGTTTAGATGTAGGTATTTTATCAAGGAAACTTGAGGATGCAGGTATTCGCAATGAATGCCAGGATTTCATCTTGTCATTCTTGGCTAACCGAAAGTACATCGTGAATTATGAAAATACGTCTTCATTCGAATATACGTTGAATTTAGGAACGCCCCAAGGCAGCAACTTAGGCCCCATCTTGTTCGTACTATACATTAACGACCTGCCACGATATATACTGCACGGAAAAACCTACATGTATGCTGACGACACTGCTGTAGTAGTGAGCGCCGATAATCCTGACCAAGCTGCAGAAAAGTTAAATCAAGTTATAGCGGAATTTACATTTTGGTGTCTAACAAACAAACTTACAGCGAACACTGAGAAGACGATAATTTTGAATATGTCTCGGGTCAAAGTGGGACAATACATCACTCCCATGGAGAGCGCAGTAATCTAGGATGCAAAATAGACGATAACCTCTCCTGGAACTCTCATCTGGATCACGTTCGTAGCAAATTAAACAAGGCATACTACCTAATATCTCGTATTAGGAACCAATTTGACACCACACACATTATTGAAGTGTATTACGCAGTAGTGTATTCCCATTTAAGTTACAACATTATGTGTTGGGGTGCTAGTACCGAAGTAAATAGGATATTTGTTTTACAAAAACGTGTAATCAGATTGATATTCAATCTGCATTACTTACAAACTTGTACAGACACGTTTAAAAAATTCAAAATTTGACCTCTCCCCTGTATATACATCCTAAAATTATTAATGTACATGCGCTCGCACTCAGATAGTTTCCGTAGAGTAGGAAGTACACACAATTATAACACAAGAGGAAAAAACAAAATATTAATTCACAAACACCATTATCAGTATTATAAAAAATCACCCTATTATATGGCCTCTAAATTGTATAATTTGCTACCCCAGGACCTGACAAACTGTGATATTAAACAATTTAAATCTCTCATCAAGACTGTTCTCCAGAAAAATGCTTTTTATTCGATCCAAGAGTTCATACACTTTTATACTTCTAGGCTATAGTTGATGTAACTTTGTTTGTCCAATTGTTATACATATTATTGTTTGTTAATTTTGACTTATCGATGATTGTAATGACGATCGAACGATTAAAAATTATTATTATTATTATTATTATTATTATTATGAAACGTGATCGCTGTTTTTTTAGGTAATTCCAAGGCATATTTGATTTATTGTAAAATGAAGGTTTTTATTTTGTCGATTTCTACGGTTTTGAAGAACGGAAAATTATAAATAATAGTATGAACAGAAGCAGTATTTTTTTCTCTAGAAAAAACGTATTTAGACTTTTGCTCTAAAATAATTAGGGGAGCTAGTAATTGACCAAATTACCATTGAAATCCCTATGCTGCGTCGCGCTAGGCACCACCCGGTATACCTAATGGTCAACACTATATAAGCAAGCACGCTTATACTACTTATAATTGTAAATTCTTTTTTTTAAATTCACATAATTAACTTCACGTATAATTTAATATAATTTATACAATGCAAAGGGTTAAGTGGAAGAGCAGGGCTAATGGATTTCCCGTTAGCATCTGAACTTCGCCCTTTTAAATTGCGCACTTGTACATATTATTATTAAGATATTCTTGTTACCTTATATTTTTTTTTATATTTTTTTTTTATTTTATTGCCTTTATTTTATAGTGGGCGGAGTGTTATATGATTAGCGTGATTTAATAAACGACATGATTATTATTATTATTATTATACGGAGCGCACATGTACTATACATAATACATGTATCTATCATTTTGGGGTTTTATGTAGGGCCAATTTTTTTGTTATTTTGTGTAAACTTATTCTGTATGGTTTTCTTATAGGAACCACACCTCCGTCTACTGAACCAGTATCAAATGCAAAGGAGCAACACCCAGCATTACTCAGCTGTCACAGTTACCCTGGCTCGACTCCACCACCAGATCAAACAGTCGCATCAAAAGCTGCTCACACTGTGCCACCATCACCAAACATCATACATACAACGTCCCCGTTAACTCTGCCTATAATGCAATCACAAAATCCACGACTGTCGACCATGCACTCCAGTTCCTCAAAATCCTCCAAAAGCGAATCGACGGATAGCGTTAATTCAGAGAAAGGCATAGAAAGACCAACTTCCCTTTCGAGCCTTCCGAATTTACCGCCTTTGTCCGCGAAGCCGCCGCAAAGTCCGACGCAAACCTCCCCGCGTCTGCCACGTCACGTGCACGCGAAAGACGGTCACGAGATACAAAAGAGCTCAAGTCTCAATCTGGAGCGCACGCATTCCCTTAAGGGGAAAGAAAAAAAGAGCGGCAGCAACGAGAAACTCAACCAGCTCGATCTAAGCCAAGGACAGAAGCGCGATCGCGGCTATACCATTTCGGTCATGAGCAACATTCGCAAGCCGCGACTGGACAATTTGCGTCACACTATATCGACGCGTCCGAAAGACGCGCCGAAAAGCGGTAACATTCCCAGCTTCGTTTTTCTACAGTTGTACCACTCGGCGGAATTCGGAAGTACGACCGAGAAACCGCTGCTCGTCACGTCGAGCCAGGTCGTGCAGCGCGCGGTTAAGGTGCTCGACTGCATACCGCCCTACGAAACTCACAGGATCGGCGTCATCTACGTGCGAGAGGGACAGTGTAATAACGAAACGGAAATATTACGAAATCCTTACGGATCGGTGCGTTACGTGAACTTCTTGCAAAACCTAGGCACGCTAATTAAGCTGCAAGACGTCGATCCGCAAGTCATCTTCCTGGGAGGTCTGGAGCAAGACGGCAACGATGGTAAATTCACTTACATATGGCAGGAGGACGTCATTCGTGTCGCCTTTCACGTTGCCACACTCATGCCCAACAAGGACTCGGACCCGAACTGTACCAGTAAAAAGCTTCACATCGGTAACAACAACGTTACAATCGTGTACAACGAAAGCGGCGATGATTACAACATTAACACGATCAGAGTAAGTAACTGTGACGCGTGGAGGGGTGAATCTTAACGCACATTTCTTAACAGGGGCAATTTAATTTCGCCTGCATTATCGTGCAACCGTTAGATCACAGCACTAATAAGGTTACGATCAAGATAAAAGACGAGCTCATCGAGCTGATGGGAACTAGCGAACCTAAGATTATCTCCGACAAAAACGTTGCAATACTTGCTCGTCAACTTGCGTTACATGCTGATGTAAGTATTCTCTACGCTATGCAAAATATCAGTTCGCTTTTTTATATTGTGAGACAAACTGCTGTGGTTAGAGTTCCTGTATTGACTGCAATAGATTCTCCCCAATGGCGGGGGGATCATTTTCTTTTGGTTGTCATGGATTAATGTTTAACGTCATCCTTTTAAAACAATTTCCTTTTCTCACTTTTGTTCCTCCTTCCTTAACAAAACCTTGCGTCATCGAAAGAATTAACATCTACTTACTTCGGCGATAGCATTTACTTATCTTGAAACTAATTAGCTTATGCAGCGATAACAACTCTTGTCACAAGCAACCGGAGATAATTTTATAATAACAATAAACAAAATACAAGCGATTATTTAAACAAAAGAATAACATTAAATAATTCTGGTACAAAATAAAATTGACTTCGAATTCAAATAATATGATCAGATTTGAGTTTAATCTAAAAATTAACGGCCACATTTACGCTTTAAAAAATAATTTAAATTAAACATACAGGGTGACCCAATATTACCTGTGCTGAATCAAAGAAACAAAAGGCTACATTTATACATGTTTATTTTGTGTATTATTTTTTTTCTATAATTAATAATAATTTTATATTGTTTAATACAGTAATCTTATTTATTTATGTTGGAAACGAAAAAAACTGGAACCGAAATTGGAACCGAAAATTACTGAAATCACGGAACCGGAACTCTTAAAAAATCATTCTACCTAAGTAGTGCGGAATCAGAACCTATATTTCACATGGGTTCCAACCTCTGATACTGATCTTGCAATTTTTTAGGGTTTTATTATTCCAATATTTAGCGCCATGAATTTAGTTCATATTTTGGTCATAGTCGGTGGAGGCGCTACGCATTTGTATAGCAAGCTATTCGAAGCGCCGACAGAATGTCTAGTTTTCCCTATGATTTTCTGTGTTCGTGTGTTGAATTCTAGTATAAAAGTTGTGAGTGGCGAATGATGGTGTATGTTTCAGTTGGCCTCTCTTGTATCCCGATCTTTGAAAAGCCAATCGTCAGATCCTTACGCTTCGAACTGGTTGGAACGCTTGAGAAAGATCAAGAACGTACGTACGAAAATTCTAGCTGAGGCTCCAAAGAAGGAATCAGGGCCTGATGATGGGGTTACAAGACAGCCAAGGCGTATGGAGGATTTTTCTGAATATGCTTAAACAATTGATTATTATTATGTTATATCTTTATGTTGTTTTAATTATAATTGTATAAGACTTGTTATTTTATTCATATGATGCTGCCATTGCCATGGTACGCAACTACTTTTTTCGCGAATGCGAACAACAATGAATGACGACTATCGTCCTGACCTTGAATGGATTTTTTTTCATGTATTTTGAAATTGCTCCCTTTGCGGAGATGTATGATTCACTTGGTGACAAAATGGGACGGTCGTTATGGGGCTCGTTCCTATATTTCCAAGCCAAATTTCCATAGCTGTACTCTTTTCGAGAATGACGATATCGCGATAATAGAAATGAATCGGTTGAAGTTGTGGAGGTAGTTCTTAATAAACTAATTTATGCGGGGTTGACGGTTTTAGACGTATCGCAAACTTTCTTCTACGATTTCCACTACAATTATGGGCTACGGGAATTCGGCGATCGCGTAAAACTCTTGTACACGGGTACTTAATAGTATTGTATACTCTTGCAGTGCCGGACATATGTCAATCATTCAAAGAGAACATAATCGATTTATGACCCCAATAATGCCTCTTGTAAATGACAAAGTCCCCGGATTGATGAAAGATGAAAACAATAGGAAAATAACGTTAGAGTTCGTGGATTTGACAGAAAATATGTACCTACGCGCACCGCATGGAGGTAAGGTGTTAAAAAAATCCAAAGGTTCATTTTCGATGGGAGTCATGTAGGAGAAATCATAGGCATGAGGCATACGTCTATGGGAGAATTATTCGTATTGTTCCAAATACAGCGAGCACTTACTGCGTGTTAGTTCTCGAACACCCTGTATTATACAAGACTGCCATTGATTATACACACTAAATGGTAGTGCGCAAAAGTAAAATTTCTTTGTGAACATTGCGATACAAGCGAAAAATTTTACAGGGAAAGAACGAACATTTTGACCCTTAGCTACATGTCGCAATTTCATGAACATATTGTATATGGAAGGGGCAATTTTGTACGATAAGGATTTTCTCGATTTTTGATGACTTCACACAAACCACAAATGTAACAATTTCATTGGCTTCCTCCACGGACCATAACAATCATTCACCATGCGTTTCTCCAGTTTTATTTTTATTTTACTAAATTTTCTTGTGGCGGTCCATGGCCGAACAGAAGAGGACGAGGGTGTTAAATATGCAGACAAATGCGAAGGTTTGACACTGGGCTTTAGTTCTTGTACTAATGTAAAGTGTAATTGTAGTATGTAAAATACTAGCGGTAGAGTTGGAACAAAGACTGCAAGAGACAGGGAAGTCGCGAGATGTTTTAGAAACAGGGTATTCGTTGGACGATGTCAAGCCGAAGAAGAAAAAGGAATATCACAAATCCGAGCTGCGATTAATCGAGTCTTTGGAAGGAGTTTGTGATCGAATTTTAGAGTATAATATACATAAAGAACGCGAGGATAGTACACGTTTCGCTAAGGGTATGAGTCAAACATTTCAAACTTTACACGGTTTAGTCGACAAGGGTGTTAAAGTTGAACTGGGCATTCCCTATGAGCTTTGGGACAAACCGAGTGCGGAAGTTACGAATATGAAGACTCAGGTAAGCCTCTTTATAGAGGAACACTTTTTTAATTTCCCAATCTTGGTTAGTGTGAGACCGTTTTGGAACACAGTGAGAACGATATAGAAGACTGGTATTGGAATCATCAAGATCAGCCGCTTACAAACTTCCTATGTCGAGATAGATATTTGAAAGGCCAAGACAGTAAGTGTCTGGATGAGCAGCTGAAGGGCGATACAGGAAAGGAAACTACGACGAAAAGTGAATTATAATTTTATACTACAACAATAAAGAACTATTCATTTTGCTGCGCTGCCTTTCGTGGTTTACGCGTATTCTTTGCCTTCCCTCGTAACTCGCGTAACCTTTGCATTTCTTCCCTGAAATCCTCGTGTTCGTCTCGATATAGGCCGTAATTACGTAATCTCATCATCAGCTTGCCGGTTTCCACGTGCCGCGGATAGTAGGCGAAAATTTCCCTCTTCAGGTTTCTCGGTTCCTCGCTGAATATTTTCACAACCTTCAACGATTTCGAATTCGTCGGTCGCACAACTTCACCAAATATTCTGTTGCTTAAACGGTTCATGCGAAGAGCGTATTCCGTTGTTAATTTCATTAAGTCTGCGTACTTGGCGTATTTACTCATTTTGTGATTTAAGATTAATTTCTACAGTGAAATTGTAGAATGTGAGGTTATGGGTCTTTGTTTTTAATTGTGGCGGCCGATAGGCAACACATCATACGTTTGCGGCGGTGGCTAATCAGCATTCAAAAATCGTATACAGGGTGCAGGATACAATCGAGATGATAAAAAAAATAGAGTACCAAAAGAAACAATTTTTTCTAATGAACCGTTATAATTATAAACATTTCCAAAATCGCATTTTTTCAATTTTCGTCAAAATTAAAAACACGTTCACTTCTCAATCTCTCGTTTCGCCAATTTGATTTCAAAGTAGCGTAGTTCATTTGTTGTCGACTTTCTATGAATTTTAATGGCACTCTTCGCATCAACGAATCAGGTCCGGACAACACGTGAATTTCCCCAAAAAGGCGACAAATCTGGGCTGTATGTAGCGTTTCCCACGGCATGGTCGTGTAGCAAGGTTCGTCAATTTTCCAAATCGTTGGTTTTTAATTGCACGTAGCCGATCCAGTGTTTCACAATATCACCTTTGATAGTTTGTATAAATTGTACGATCCCTTACCCCGAGAATTTGAATCCGCCTTGTATATCATGCTTCAAAATTATACGTTACCCATGACATTTTCAGGGAAATCGTAGAAAAAATCATTTTCTTTTCGAAAAGGGTGTTCGTTATAGTACATTTAAATAAATTGTATAAGTGAGTATGGTTTGAATTTGTGTTTTAGCGCATTGTTTAAGAATTTAAAAAAATGTACTAATGTTCGTCCGTCCGTTCGAATCTACTTCTGCTGTCTTGAACTACTTTTAGGGTAATGGTCCTAAAGTCCTGGATTTTTTTTGCAATAGGTAGCCTATACCATGAAGGTGTGCCAAACGGCCATCATATTTCGTTGTCTTGGGGGGGCCCTCCCCCTATGGATGATTTTCTGAGATGCATAACTTTTACATGCGACAACCAACTGGTTTCAGATGTTGCATACACATGCCCTAGCACATGCCAAGTAAAATGTTTGAAAATGGAAGGGGGGGGGGGGGTGAACACACGTTCTATCCTTTATGAAAGGTCTCATCGAAATAAATTGGTTTGTACAAACTATAACTTTTCAATAACAACAGTAAATAAAGAACGAACATTTTTGCAGTGGCGTACGTAGAAATTTATTCTGGGGGGGGATTAAACAAGTTCGTGGCACATACAGTCACCCAGTGCGTACTAGAAGGGGGAGCGGGGGGGGGGGGGGAAGAAATAGAAATTGGGTTGCAGGTTGCCGATGCTGGTAGTCATTTATCTATTTATTATTGTACAGGCGAAAAAAATTAGATTAGAACGGTATTTTATTTCTTACTGCTGACAGGCCCCTTTATTGCTTTTGCTTTAATTAGTCAACGAAAACTTTGAATAATAGGTATATTCCGGTCGATCTGAGACAATTTTTTTTCGGGGCAAAAAAAAGGCAGTTATTACCTTCCTTTTTTCCCAAAAATCGACTGCACCAAAATTTCTCGGGGAAAAACTTTTTCTTATTAATTTGGGTGCGTAGAATCCAAAACGATTCGTATTTTTTCGATTAGACGTCTCAATCAAAAGTTATGGGGAAAAAACCAATTTCGACAAAAAATTCAAAGGGCTGTAACTTTTGATCTAGTAGTCCGATCTTGGAACTGTTGGAAATTATGGATTCTACAGGCCACATTCTATAAGAAAATATTTTTTTCCGGTCGATCTGAGCCCATTTTTTTTTCGGGGCAAAAAAAGGCAGTTCATTTACCTTCCTTTTTTCCCAAAAATCGACTGCACCAAAATTTCTCGGGAAAAAACTTTTTCTTATTAATTTGGGTGCGTAGAATCCAAAACGATTCGTACTTTTTCGATTAAACGTCTCAATCAAAAGTTATGGGCAAAAAAATTCCCGTTTTTAAAATTTAAAATTCTTATTTTCGTCATTTCGTGAAAGGCAGGACCAGGGGCAGGACGCAGGTACCTCACCTCAGTAGCAGTACTAAGTATCTGATACCTATTTGTTATTTTGAGCATCAATGTAGCGAATTGCCGATCGATGCCGAATAGCCAAATCGTTGACTGCCAACACTGATCACTCACTGAATAGTGAATACTGAATACTACAGAATATTTAGATTTTAGTGACTTTAGACTTTAACCAAAACCAAAATTGTTCTCTATATTTACCTATATATATTATTGCCTTTATTTTAAAGTGGGCGGAGCGGATAGTGGAGTATTACCTAAATACCTAATAGCTATGATGATAACTCAATTCTTCTGGGGGGGGGGGGGATATATCCCCTTCACCCCCCCCCCCGTAAATACGCCACTGCATTTTTGCAAATATCAGTGAAGAAGAGATTTTGGGAAAAGTTAGGATTAAATTTCTTATTATAATAACTGATGAGATATACAGGGTGGCGGTGTTAAGTGGACCATTAGAAGTATCTCGGGAAAGGTATGGAATTTCTATTCGGGACTCATTACCTTTTTTGAATAATCGATTAAAAGGAATCATTTAAAAATATTTTCAAGATGGTCGCTTTTCCCGTTGTATCTGAACAAAGAGTATGCGTTGTATACTCTTTGAACCTGAACCTTCTTATTCCAAATGGCACTATCTTTTCTGATGAGATTTTCAAATTTCTCATAAAAAATCAGTACGTATGACTCATTGTTAATATGATGCTGTCTAACATTTGACATTTATTCACGGTTTCAGAGGTTCAGCAAATTAGCCATATCAATGTTGCCTGACAAAATGTTTTTTTCACCCAATACGCAATTATATACAGGGTGATTCCTATAGTACCTGCCACCGTTTGGGAGCGTATAGGGGGTGCCTAGGGGAGTATTTTGATATAGGACACTTGGGGTCGGAAATCTAAAATAAGGGCGCCAGAACCAAATTTATCTTCTGGAATTTCACGCCTGTATGTAGGCAACCCAACCGACCGACGTTTCGCGCGGAGCGATGCAGAGCGAGTTAGCGCGAGGAAGCGACATGGGAGGGAAGGAGGGAAAACGACAGTCAAAAGCAATAACGTTTACAAGTGTTCAACGTGGCCACCGTTGTTCTCAATGCACTTCCTACATCTAGCCAACTATTATTATACTATTACCATAGTGTTTATTCACTTGATACGCGTCGTTGCAGACGGGATTTCGTGGGTTTAAACAAAATTCTGATCAAGTGTCAGCCACACATCGCCGCCTGAGATCGCTCCGTGTGCACCGCCGGCCGGTTGGGTTGCCTACCTACAGGCGCGAAATTCCAGAAGGTAAATTTGGCTCTGGCACCCTTATTTTAGATTTCCGACCCCAAGTGTCCTATATCAAAATACTCCCCTACGCACCACCTACACGCTCCCAAACGGTGGCAGGTACTATAGGAATCACCCTGTATAAATAAATATTTTGGATAAATTCGGAATTTTATGTTTCCTTGGTGTTTCCCCACATTAAATCCACTTTACCCTTTACACAACGGCCAATTTGCAGTAAAAAAATTATCATGGGTTCAGAACAAAAGTTTTCTTTAAAAAATTATCTATTTCATAGTACAGAGCCTCCATGTGTGTTTATTTCATTTAGATTAATCAAAAATCTGCCTATGCGGTAGGCCTAATACCTATCATTTTTGCAACGATGCAATGTATAGATAAGTAATGGTCAATTTCGCAATGCACGAACTTACGTACTATCGACAGTTTATGAGTTAAATCCACATGAATTTAGTTTTTCTTTAAAGTAAACTGAATGAAATCAAAACTAGTTTAGAAATTGAAAAGTGTGTGACCTACTGCTACACGTTTGACCTAGAATCGTATCGTGGAAGGAAGTAAGACCAAGGCCGAATTCTTTTCGATACATTCATTGAAATATATAATGATAATTATCAACAGATTCGTTTTCCCACCCAAAAAGAAAAGATGATAATATGTCACAAATTACCGAAATAGGTACCCACTAACCGACCGTTGAAGAAAACTTTCTCCACAAGTGCATGCCGTCTGATCCGAAAGTTTTCGGATTCTTTAATTATTTAATCAAGAAGGTGATTAATTTTTGATTAAGTACAAGATTATTTAATGTCATGTGCGAGCTATTCAAAGCGTGCGCCGCGGTAGAGCACCACAAATTAAAGAAATGGCCACTTATTTTTAAGGTCAGTGGAACTTTTGACGACACGTAATTGTGCATATGGATGTGCTCATTATTTCCTAAAAACTTAGAAAACAATCAAAATTCTCCGAACAAATCGAAAAAACGAGCAAAACTCGGCGGCGATTGAAAGTTGGAAAATTGCCCATTTTTTGTATGTCGCGAAAATTTGTAACACAAGCGCGAACGAGGTGATCCAATTAAAAAAAATGCAGTGTACATATACGCACTCGCAATCAAAAAATGTCACTTTTACGCCCCGATCAAAATTAGAAACTATATCGGCGAGACTGCGAGAGAAAATTGGAAATGGTCGAAGATCTTCGTCGACCTAATAATTTCGATCGCAAATATGTCGTAGACAAGGGCGAAGATAATTAACATCTTAATTAATTGAAATTTCCCACGCTAATCCGAGGTAATTACAGCTTGTTTATCAGAAACCGTTTTGAATTTGAAATTATGGGAATATTTTATACTCGTAAATACCCGGAAGCACTTAGTATTAATTGAAACATCCCCATTATTTATTGTATACAAGTAAGCATCATTAGACTTATGTAAGTAGTAAGTGCCCTACGACAAACGAAAAATTCTTCACTAGATCTCTTTCAGGTTCAAGGAGTACCTAGCCACCTAGCCATTTACGAATTTACTAGCATAAGTGCGGTCACTCAGTAAGGTTTCATTTTGGTAACTTCACCCCCCCCCCTACACACACAACCTGCCCTTAAAAAAATTCACGAAAAACGAGTGAAACCTGTCATGAGTTGAAGATACGTAGCGGCTTTGAAAACAATTTTGAATAAAAACTCCCGAGGTTTAAGGAAGAGTAGTGTAACAAAGCCGAACCTTGCTTAGTTCGAGGTCGCTCGCAAGGTCCATTTATGAACTGCTCTGCAGCTTCTTATATAGACAATGTTGAAGGTATCGTATCGTATCGTAGATATTCTGTCCTACTAAAAACTGGCAAGTTGTGGGATTCGAACTCACAACTTGTGAGGTTAGAGTCCAAATCTTAAACCGCTACGGTAAACTAACTACAATATTGAAGGTCAATAAAGGTTAAAAAATGACCTTGGAAATAGAATTTCGCACTGCAAAAAAGGGGTCATTGATCTTGGGGGGCGCTTGAAAACGAAATTTGCACCGCAAAAAATGTAGCCATTGGTCGTGGATGACCTTGAAAATTAAATTTAACACCTTCAAAATGTTGGGGGCATTGATCTTTTAAGACTTTGAAAATGGATTATCACACCGCAAAAAAGGAGCCATTAACCTTAGGGCTTAGATGACCTTGAGATAGCCTCTGATGACCTTAAAAATGGAATATGACATAGGTACAACAAAATGAGATCATTGAACGTTGATAACCTTGAGAATCAAATAGAACACTACAAAAATTGAGGTAATTGAATTTTGATAACTTTGAAAATGAAATATGACACCACAAAACTGGGGTGATTATCCTTTGTTGATCTTGAAAATGTAATCTGACACCGCAAAAGTAGAGGTCATTGAACTTTGATAGCATAAATTAGAAATGAAATCTGGTACCGTAAAAATGAAATAAGATAGGACAAAAATGAGATCATTGAACTTTGATGACCTTGAAAATAAATCAGAGTCCTTAAATTTGAAATATGTAAACCTCAGGTTGGTAATCAGTTGGGGGGGGGGGGCTGTCTTTGTCCTTGGGTGACCTCAAAAATGTAATTTGGCACTTAAAAATTGGGGTCATTGTCCTTGGGTGACTTTGAAAATGTAATTTGACACCACAAAAATGTTAATTTTGGATGAAATTTGAAAAGGGATTCAAGGCATTCAAGGTGAGTGAGGGGGAGCAAGTGCTCTTTGAGCTTGACCTTGACCCACTTTTCGAGGTCACCACAAAGTGGTACGCCACTTTCACCTTGACCTACTTTCCAAAGTCACTACCAGAACTGTGCCAGGTACGGCCCTGTTACACTACTAAGAAGATTTGTATTCCAATTCGCATCACTCCAAGCGGATTTAAATTACTATAAATGCCCGAATCGCTGTAAAAGGATTCAAATAACTACGAAAGATTACGAATCGATTTTGTCGATAGGTATAAGTTTCTGGATCGGTTGATTTAAACTACGATTGGAAAGAACATAATTCAAACCCTCTTAACGGCCCCACAAAGGCCCTAATTTCGGCCATGTAGTAGTAGGATTTCGGAATTTGTACGAATTACTCTAAAAGTTTCGAATATTTTTTGTTAATCCTCTTCGTGGAGTTCGGAAAAGCGGTGGACTAACCTTCCGCGATCGGTAATTCAAAAAATGATTGAGCAATTGCGGATATAACAGCTCTAAAAATTCGTAATGAAATTAGTGACGTAGTCAAGTCATTAGTTACGCCGACGATTCAAATCACTACAAAAAAAATGATTCGTAGAGCGCATTCAAATCCGTCAAATTATTCCAAAAAAGTACACAAGGATCGGACTGTCCATGATTCAAATCAATTTATTTGAGTAACAGTTACTGCGGAGAACTAGCAATTTGTAGGATTTTATTTCAAACTAACAGTCCCAATGAACTTCATACCGTATTTGCGAAATCCCGATTTTTCCCGTACCGCGTTCCCTTGGGGAAGTCTCTATTGGAGTATACGTAACGCCTTCAAAGAAATCCACGGTCTAAATGTCAAGTCTTTTTCGACGTAAAACTAAAAATCCAGTTTTTTCCCGTTCCCTTTCCCGTTGGAATTTCGGAAAGTATTTTAGTGGGTACATCAGAAACCTTCGCGTACTTGATAGTTTGATACGTTTGGCCGCCTCTGGCCTGAAGTCGACGATTTGATTCTTCTAGAGCCGCAGTAGGTACCGCTTTGAAGCCATCTATTAGTTATATTGCGGTTTAAAATGACGAAAAAGAGAAAAATTGTTTTTTACGTCTTTCCGTACGATTTTTTTGGAAATTATCTTTTATATAAATTTTGTCTTGATAATAACAAATACAGCAAAAATTGAATTATCTAATTTGGTACAGGCGTTCTGAAGTGATGCGTGTACATACACTTCGGCGATCCATTTTTATTTATATGAGTTAAAATGCGGTTAGGTAAAGTATGAGCCAATTTGAAACAAACTGAAAACTAATTCAGCACTAACAATTTGTGTAAAGCGTAAAGTTAATCCGAATCCAAATTCTTTTTAAGAAGACAGTCTGGACCTAGGGGGAAACAACTGAATTTTTGGTGTACACCAGTGGCGGACTGGCAAATTGAACTGGCCCGGGCAACCGAACAGCACCGGCCACATAACGGGGGGTTGGTTATACCCGAATTTTTTCTCCACAGTAACCCCCTAACATAGCATTTTGAAGCATTTGCACTTATTCCAAAATCGATTACAAATGTAGTAAATAACAAAAAACGCGCCGCGCTCGCACTGCACAACGACATAATTTTAATAAAAAGATAATAATTATAACAAGTGCGATACGTCTTTTTATAGGTTTTTTGGGATGGAGATTACAATTTTGATGTCAAAATATGATTTTTGAATAAATCCTAGAAAGATATACAAGATAGCGTCAAAATTTGGAGTTAAAAGTTTACCATTTACTCCAATACCCTTACTTAAATATCCCCATCCCACACACGAAGAATTGGACCGCGAGTAAATTTATGTTTATATGCAATGTTTTTTTGCTTGTTATTTTTTTGTTTAAAAATGTAATATATCTGTAAGTAATGTATTTTAGTTTGAGTTAATATATTTATTTTTTGTTTGTGTTTAATTTTATTCAGTAGTTCCAGCTTCCCCCCTTAAGCAGCCCCCCCCCCCCCAAACATAATTAACAAATAGGAGTTTCTATTTGAAGACCTATTTTGATCTGAAATTCGAGATTCTTATTCATAAAAACATATAAATCGATGTACGACTCGTTAATATTAAAAAAATATAAAAACCAACCCTCCCAAAAACACCCCCCACTCCACCAAAACGCCTCCAAAAATATTTTTAACAGCAAATTTGAATTCAGAAGGGTCGAAAACCCTAAAATTCGTGTGCTATATGCCCATATTTTTTAAAACTTTGATTTTTGTATTTTTTGCTAACTTTTTTGGCCGCCATCTTGAATTTCTCAAAATGCTCAAGGGTGTCAAGGTGGCATCAAACCGATTCGCAAAGTAGACATCCTTACGAACTAAAAACCGTCAAAAAACCTTCACCGTACCTCACTTCCAGGTTAAGCCAAAAATCCCAGTTTGGCATCAAGACTATTAGATTAAGCTCGGCTTAAATTTGTCGGTGCAAACGGACAATACAACACACAAATTTTGCAAATTGAAGTGCGTTAAATTAGTCTTACTTTGAAGTCATAGACTGCCTGTCTGCCTTCAAGACTGAATTTAATCGTTAACAAGTTACGGCCCTACGGTAGACGACACCCGACACCGTGCGACCACAGCGGCGCCGGCCCAAAGTACAGCGGCCCACCGGGCACTTGCCCGCCGGCCCAGTCCGCCACTGTGTACACCCCTCAGAATTAATTTGAATTAACATCAATTAATTTGAATTAGAGTGAATTAATTTGTATTAACGTGAAGTAATTAGAATTAACGAGAATGAATGTGAATTAACGTGAATTAATTTGAATTTACGTGAATTAACTTGAATTAACGTCAATTAACATGAATTTACGTGAATTATTTTGAATTGAATTAATTTTAATTTTTGGTGTGCACAAAAAATGGCACTTGTTTCCTCCTAGATCTGAGCACTAAAAGTGAGTGATCCGTAAATGCCTTAAATTTAGGTAAAAACTACAGTGGGGTTCCGGACAACATCCAGTGAACCACGTTCCAACCCCAGTTTTATTGAGCACTAACGAAGCACTATATAGGAGAGAATTTGAAACAAATTTGAACGATGATTGGAGCAAGTGTGAACACAACTTTTTTAAAGAAAGTTTTATGGAGCACTATCCAACCTTCTGGTTAAAGGTTATTGCATAATTCTTGAGATCCTCACTACTTTTGAAGTTGAAGTGCATGGCTTTGGACCTTCAACAATTGTACATTTCTGAAGTTCATAATCTTTACAAATGCAGTATTTACTAATGGGCCAAGAGGAATTTTGTATTTCGTGTCACGAAGGTAAGAGCAGACAACGTTTATCAGATCAGAACAGAAATCAGTAGAACTTTTTGTGGTGCCTGGAATATCCAGTACTTATAGCTAATTGAAATAGTCCCGTAAGGAGTTTTTTTTATTGCCTTTTATGTTTTCTAGGCTTCCAAAGGTGAAATCAGTGGAATTACACTTCCGAGATGTACAACACAACAAATATAAGTAAAAGTAACTTTTTCTTAACTTTGACCCGATGCCATCCCGGAAGTCGTTACTCAGAGTCATCTTCAAATCCCTTCCTCCCCTAGATATTCAATTCTTTAAATAACAATCCCTTTATTCAAATTCGGTCAATTCACTTAATAGTCTAATTACTCCATCATGTACCTGCGAAGCAAAAAATCGACTTGAAAATATCCGTCCTCATAAAAACCTAAGCGACCACAAAATTGCAAATTACAGTGCGTGACTGCAAATTAACTCGTGCAAGAGGCAGAAAAACGCCCATTCATGATACCCCACGCATTCCTCGCTCATCAAGACCAAGAAAAAGTGATAAAAAATTATTGCCCTACATATGCAAATGTGTCGCGCTAAAAAAAAGATCGCGAGCCGAAAAATAAAAGGGTAGAAACGGCCGGCGCGCCTTTTCGAATAAAAGTCAGGGCCGTATCTCGCATAAGAGGTGCAAATATTTAAATACCTACTACCTTCGTACAGAAGTGCAACATGACGTCAGGTGTGCTATAAGAACCGTGTTCACAAGAAGAGCGTGCTGTTAGTTATCCGCTCCGGAGCGGTCAGGTCCGGTCATAGCTCTTCCGGGTTATTAGTGAGTGTTACTTCTTCGTGTTGACCCAAAACGGTGAGTAATCAGGTGCCCGAAGATTTTTTTGTGGCAAGTGCGTGCGGATTGAAGAAGTAAATTTGTGTTAATTTGCAGAAATTTAAAATGAGGATATACTTACTGTTGGCGGTAATTTCCGCTACGATAATAGCGATAAATTCGAACCCCGTCGTCATAACGGCGCACGAGGATTCGAAGTCGGTCGCGTCACCGGAAGCTATCGCATCTGAAGGGAAGATTCAGGAGGAATCTACGGGTGTATTTAAAAAGGACGCGGAGGCGGAAGCTAGTGCGGTGAAGTCGACTCCTGAGGACGCTTCGCAGCCGCTTGTCGCGCCAGCCGGTGAGAAGCCCAAGGAAAAGGGTAGGCAGTCGGGTAGTGAAGATGACGATGACGACGACGATGATTTGGGCATCGGGGATGATGATGATGACGACGACGACGACGATGACGATGATGATTATGGGCTTGATGGGTTGTTTGATGACTTCTTAGGAGGTGAGTTTTAGTTTTGTTGCTTTGTAGTTTTTATGGCTTTGGCTTGTTAGATGACGACGATGACGATGATGACGACGACGATGATGACGACGATACTCCGTCTTCACAACCCGCTCCAGCGCCTTCACAAGTAGTGGAACCTGAAGATTTATCCCCAGATGAAGAACTCAACGCGGTGGAGCAAGCTGAAGGAGCAAGCGACGGTACGGAGGCTGCTGAAGAAGTTGTAGTATTAAAAGACCCGACGGAAGTAGCGTCGCCCACCATTACAAATATAGTTTACGAAACGCAACAAGTACAGGACGACGACGACGATGATGACGATGACGACGACGACCTAGAGGATTTAACAGTCGACGATGACGATGACGACGACGACGACGACGATGATGACGACGATGACGAGACTGGCGTAGAAGACGTCCTCGACGCCAGGAAATCACGTGAGTCGAAATCACTTAAGTCACACAACAAAAAATCGAAATCCCGCAAACACCACCATCGAAAAGTAACGAAGGTGAACAAAGTGCGGTAGATTCAGTGAGCATTTTTGACTTTCGTGATCAAAATTTTTTCAATGCCGCTCTGCTCAAATCGTGCCGGTTTGTGGACCTATTTGTTATGTATCTATTTATTTTAATTTATTAAAAATGCTCATGCATTCGGTCTAGGTAAATGTCACAATGCAAGTGGCACGGCGAAATTGAATGTGTCTGTATTTATGTACAAATTACTAAGGAAGAACTATTAAATAGACAATATTTGTTTACGAAGATGTAGTTTTATTTCTCTCTTTGTATATACTTGTGACATCTATCTAGATAATTTGCGCGAACATATCATACCATGTACTAACAACTAAAATGCACGATTAACGCTTAATTTGGTTGCGTCTAACCGTAATTGATTAACAGCATGATTGATTAATTGTTGTGTCGACTGTGTAGCTGATTTCACTACGGTAGTCACTAATAGCATGACAATTGACGATGGACTGACCGATTGACCATTACCTACCCAAAATTTTCATCTGCAGCATGAGCAGGAGGAGGAGGAGGGTGATGTTTTGGGCCGTAAGTCAGTGAAAGTTTGAGTCTATAACAATTTTCGGTATAAACCACCCGGTATAATCTAAAACATAAATTATGCAATTCCGGGTTCATTGCACTACACGTACCATACATAATTAAAATCAACATCGCGTTTGTGTCTCACGCTTACTGTTAGCTTTTTCTTTAAGTAGCTGTAAGTGAGTATGAATAGAAGCCGTGATTTCCTAATTACCAAAGGAAAATCATTTGTTTGACGCAAAGAACCGCTCGACCCTCCTAAGAAAGTTTAACATACAAGAGGGTCAGTAGGTAACCTACATCTTGTACCTACCGCTTACGGGACGTGAATGTAATTAACATCCGATTTCCCGAAACGTGCGTACATTCTTCCACGTATCTCGCTCTAATCAAGCGTTAAATTTTTATGATAATGAGGTACACGTTAGAAATGCATATAACACCTGTCATCGTCAAATTTCTTCTTCGTACAAGGCTATTTGCGCCATTATAAAGCAATTTACAAGAACTCGGGTTTCCATAAAAAGGAGCGTCTTCGCCAAAACGATTGTATTTGCATGTGTTTTAGTATTAATTTAACGAAAAAAAGATATTGACCATGACCTGGTATGGCCACTGACCCGACTTGTTCGTCCCTGACAATGCCGTTATAAGGATGTATCGCCCACAACACCTCAAAAATCATCTCTTAATGCTAATTAGCCAATCAACGAATTACTCTTTGTTTCCTTTTTAACTTGTTTTCCTTCAAAAAGGGTTAAATGATCAACATTTTCGGTCGGTATTCATATGTTTTTCGTAAGGGAAATCCAGAACCTGCACTTGGAGGGTAGTATGAGATTGACAACGCTGGTCGTGGGTGCATAAACTAGTTTTGGTTTATGAGTCTAAAACAGATCGCTAAACAAGTTGCAGGTTGCGCCATTTTATACAATCAAGGGTAGTCTAAAACCTGTGGGATTGTTTTCCCTTTTAATCCGTTACTGCAGCGCCAGTCTTGTCCATTGTGGGTTGCAGAAAGTCCTTGGGAAACTTTAATGCGAAAGTTGATGGTTCGATATGAAAATTGAAACATTTATGTGGTTAGATTTGTCAAACTGTGTTTTGCTTATATTAATTTTGAGTCAGGGTTCAATTACCTAATTTTATTGATGTGTAGGTATTGATTTTTATATAAGGTTAGCTCAATCGGTTCAATAACTTTACCCCATGGCTCCCAAAAATTAGATAATTATTATTTTAACCTGAAAGATTGAGGCTACTTAAGCTTCTTCCAGAAACAGTCGCTCTCAATCCAGGCGCCAATAATAAAAAAATCATTTAAATTGTTGAACTATATTAAGTAAACGTTTTTTGTTTACCATATGCAGGGTGTTTTTTTGGGAGCTTTAGTTAAACGTTTCTGGGAAAGTAAAATATGTAGCTTTTTGGGAATTTGTACCTACTTAGGAGTTACTCTGAAGGCCGAATCGATGTAAAATATTTTCAAAATGGCAGCACTTCCAGAAACACCGGAAAATGACTCGCAGTGGTTTCACCTATTTTGGAATTTAATTGTTATTTATGGTGAAATGGACAGAATCGCGGCACGTGCTTGCCGTACATTCATTATCGAACACTGGAACGAAATTGTATGAATTTTGGAAATTTTGTACCTACCTCCAAATGCACAATGCAAAGATCTACAAGAGAATATTTAAGAAAATGAATTGAATTGCAAATGCGAGATTAGTAAAATAAATTCAATGCAAAATATAAAAAACTTCGTTGAAACATTTTTGGTACAGATATCGCATTACCTCTGAATTCCCAGACTTGTTTAAGAAATTCAGTTGAACGACTCTGTCTAGATTTCTCAAAAATTTTCCGTTATATATCCTTAATAAATGACTTTATTATTAATGATTTATTTAGACTAAAATCAATGATATTAAAGAATCCATTCCTTGATTTTGTTTAAAATTCGATTGTTATAAAATCATGGCCAACTACTAAAAAGAAAATGCGGTAAAAAATGGGATCAATTCCGAGATCAATTCAATGAAATTGGAATAAATCAGAAACTGTTAAAGATAACTATAGAAACATGTAATATCAAAATATGTCAATTTCGATTTTCTATTTCATGCAATAGTAAGAACATGGTCATTCCATTAAAAAAACTGAGTTTATAGACTTTGAAGTTTATTAAATTTGGATCTCCATAGGTGCGGTTGTACTACGCAACTTAACTTTTTTTTAAGTACACTAAAAGAAAGCATTTCATTTCATTCTCTATGCACTGATAAAAATGGGTTTCCATGACTAACCGTTTTCAAGTACCTAATCAATTATCAAGGTACCATCTGCATCCGCCATTTTTTCATAAAGTCAAAGTAACTTAAAAACCATGTGGGTATCAAAAGAACTGAAATTTCACGTAGAATCCAAAAATGCAATAAAAAATACGGGTTGCCATTTAAAATAACGAAGTTACTATCTACTTCCGTGTTTCGGGGAGTGCGGCCATTTTGAAAATATTTTACATCGATTCGGCCTTCAGAGTAACTCCTAAGTACACGTTTTCAAAAACCTACCTATCTTACTTTCCCAGAAACGTTTAACTAAAGCTCCCAAAAAACACCCTGTATAGGTACCAAAAACACACGCCCATTTTTTCAAATATATTGAAAGGTTAGGTATAACTGCAATTGAAGGAAAGTTCTACGGTACCCCTAAAATACAAATTCTTCCTCTGAATACAAGGCAAATATTATTTACAGTAGGCACCTTTTGATTTTTGGACTGTCTCATAAGTAAGTTACACAATTTTTTTAAATCCGTGTGGAAGGCGGGAAAAGTCTGGAAGTGGCGGGAAATTTGCGTGTGTGTAGTGCAAAATTCCTTAAGTTGATAGAAATTAGTGTGGCAGCTCTAAATAATGAGGGATATGTCTAACAGTGTGGTATAATGTGTATATCTACTTCAATCTGACACTATCTCAAACCTCCAGACAAATTGAAGGGTGAAAAATCACGCAGGTTCAAGAAAAAATGTGCAAACAAAGTTACAAATGAAAATTGAAATTTAGAATTTTATAATCTCCCTCGTATAAATCGTTGACTTAAAATTTCTCATTTTGAGAGACTCGGTGACCTCGATCAACGAAATTCTTACACAAATTATGATTGAAATACATCTTGGGCTCCAACAGAAAAGTCTGACATGAAAACGCACTTTGGATTCGAATAAACACACAATTCATTTATTGACAATGAACAAAATGTATTCCGAAACGCAATGAAAAACAAATTTAAATAAAATCCCTGCAAGACAGAGAAGCTTACAAAGCTTGTATGGACATTACCCCGCACGCAGACGGGCGACAGGTAAAATAAGAAATCTTAAAATTACCTAGCTTTTTTTTTTGTTTGATAATCCAAATAATCTGGTCGTACAAGACTTGCGATATATATAAGGCGCACTTAACTCACACCTAAACGCTGACAGCTTCTGAACTTCGCCTTGCTTTATAGCACAGAATTAGATGACAAAACTAAATTTAATTTAATTTAACCTGTTGGGACAGTGGAAATTTTTAACTTTTAATTTAAAAAAATAAACTCAACGAAATGGCCTTACTGTACTATACTGCCTCCTTTTTCAACTCGGCAAAACTTCATCCGTAATCGGACAATACGAGTTAAATACAATTTTGGTTAACTCCTTCTTTAAGAATATTCAAATAAATTACCAATCACGACGGGCCGCGTCAAACGACCCACTTCTCCCATATGAAACGCGCAATTCTTCGAAAGACATGCGCCATCGTTAACTCTTAACAGAGATAAAACACATGCGTTAATTAATTTTCGTCTGACACTCCTTATCACAAACGACCAGATGTCTCTCACTTATAACACCGTCTCCAAATGGATAATATTTAAACAAAAAATACACATTTACAAAAAGTTAAAAAAAAGCTTAAAATGATCTAAAACGTCAAACGACATTTGATAAAACTTTTTACATGTTGGGGGGGGGGGGGGGCACAAAATGAAAATGTTGGCGCTACCTCCTTATACTTATCAAACAAATGTGTAATTCGATTATACTTACGTATTTTTTCTAATCTGCATTTCCTCCATTACTTTCTGTTTTTGCATGCAGCGGACGTGGTCATGCGCCTCCTAGCAACCTGGTTCATACTAATGCTTTTTCTAGTGACACTATGCTAGAATATTTTCAAGACCTTCTTCCCGCTTGCAGGTTGGGTCGTCTACTTTCTGGTTTTCAATGAGTCTGAATTTGATCTTCCTTCTAATTTTGTTCAAATTGAGGAAGAAAAGATTAATTAAAATAAATTCAATTTTGATCATATCAAAATAACTTTTCCATTACAACGCTTCTTTATAATTAAAATTTCAGTATTTTTTTGTGCAATATTAATGAATTCCTCAGTGCGAGGTTTCCCATTTACTTTGCAATTGGAGAAATATATGGCTTCCAATCATTGTAAGAGTTCCCTTTTTCAGCACACTTACCACACGTACTTTCGTTTTCTTTGCAATAGGTACTTGACTGAATGGCCAAAGCACTAACATCTATAACATTTTGCCATTCCAAAAAAATACACTGTGTACAAGATAAGGATGTCTATCATGAGGATCTCCAAAACCAGAAAAATCGAAATTAAAAAGTACACATTAGGAGTAGCATTTTTTATTACGAATACAACGATATACGGCACTCAAAAAATTCGAAACTGTTGGTTTTAACATGATGGTGCACACACACAATTAGAGCGTTGTGTGCGAGTGCACCATCATGTTGAAACCAACAGTTTCCAACTGTTGGTTTTTGTGTGCCGTATATCGTTGTATTTGTAATAAAAAATACCACTTACTCAATACAGTATGCACTTTTGTTACGGGCCATATAAAAAAATAAAGTTGACGACGATTTCAGCGAAACGAAAGGTTATTGAAAATCTCCCATCGGTGTAATATCAGAACAAAGCAAAAAAACTAAATCAGCAAATTTCGTTTTTTCTGTCGAAGGAATCGGAATTTTATGGTTTTCTTTAAACCATGATAATAACTGTTCATTTGCGCAACTTTCCCCTAATTTGACCATCGTCGTATCTTCTATGTTGTTTCGAAGATAAAGATGATAGACATCTTATCTTGGACGCAGTGTACATTTTCTCCAAAGCAATTCTTTTATTTCGACATCTTCATTTCCTTTTCTTTTCAAATTTAGCTTTGTGGTTTCGTTTTTAATACTTTCATTTTTCTTGTTTGCCGAATTTTATTTTATTGCTTCTAAATTGTTTTCATTCCCCAAATGCTGTATTGCTGTATAACATTTTTTTCGCCCATTTGTTTGCCGACTTTTAGTATCGATTTCTTCTCTCTTTGGAGTGTCTTAAATTATTTCTGGAACAACTCTTACACATGGCCGAATAAATTAAATCCTTCTTCTTTAGTTCTGCTGGACTGCTATCCTATCAAGTAAGGTAATTTTAAAAGGAAGGTGTAATGTTCAGTTCGTGTTGTAAGAGATGTTGATTCAATTTGGAAGCATAAACGCTCCGCTTCCTCATTTCTTATAATTTGGGGAAATCTAGGAAGCAGGCGTCGGTATAAAAATGAAAGTAACAAATGCAAGGGTCCATAAACAAGATTTTTACCACACATTCAAACCTGTAACTAGCGTAATCTGTGCTGTAACAATGTAATTAGTTTACAAGCTCACAGGAAACGGATACATTTATGGTTACTAAGTACCTAATTACCACAACAAACACCAAACTGCTCATGTTGACTTACATTCATTACCTACACTATCAGTGAACATCCGCAACAAAAAACTGATTGAACACTAATTATCTTTTTATAGGTTCGTACGTGCAGAACCGTATGCCTTCAGTGTACATTGCCAAATATAATCGATTCCTTGACACGATTCTCACGCGAATCAACAAAATTCTCGCCTCATCCTACGATCCAGTCAGAGTAAAGCTTCAAACACCCGATTCGAAGAAGAATTCCAAGACGAAGAGTGGTAACAAGAACAAGTCTAAGAAGAACAAAAAGAAGAATCCAAACATATCGCGAGTAGATATGCCGGACGGTAGGCACAAAATGGCTGAGATTCCCATCGCGAGGTCCACGGAGAGCGAACTTTCATTCGTCCTCGTATCCAAAACGGGCAACAACTCAACTAGCGAGAATCGAGCGGTACCCGCCAAGAACAAAAAGCGCCGACGTAACAATAAAAACAAAGGCAAAAAGAATACTAAAAACAAATCGAACACGAAGGCCGCGAGGAAATCGCAGAAGGCTCGCGCGACCCTCTACGGCCTAAGCTCGATCCGACGAGACGGCGACGTCAACGTTAACGTCGCCTCGAATTACACGACGGTTAAAACGAATTTCGTCATCGGTCCACTCACCCTTCGAGTCGAAAGGGAGTTCAGCAACGGCGAGAAACGCGAAATGAAGAGCGCAACGGCGGTGACTAACGAAATGCACGGCAGATTAAACCTGCGAATAGTCCACGGAGAGGCGGCAACCTTGCACAGCATTCGCGTTTTGCAGCCGAAACAGGTAAGATATCAGCTCTTTTCGATCGAAAGTCTAATTCCGTTGCAGGTGCGCGTCGAAAGTAAAGATAATCACGACAAGACCAGCGAATACATTTGGAAACGGAGCTCACATATTGCGCACGTAGTATCTAGCAAGCTGGCGAAGGCGGCAAAATCGATGCTTCGACCCCCGCCATCTAGCGAATAATTGAACTACTAGACTTACACTATTTATTTGCTAATTTATTTATGTAGGGTTAAGCAGGAGAACGAAGTAAACGTTTAATTTAGAAATTTTCACTTTATTTCCCAGTATATACAGATTTAACATTCTCTCGATATATATAAATTTCTTTGGAAACGCTTAATACTTTCGTTATTATTGTAGTATAATATATAGATAAATGTATCACCATTAGTAATTGAACTGATTTGACTGTATTGCAAAATTGAGGTATTAAACCTTGAGCTAAATTACGCGAAAATAAAAGAGAACCTCAATGATTTGCATGATAGAACATCTGTTATAGAGAACCTCTAATACATTATATGTACTTAACAATATAAAAATTGGCTATCACAAAAATAACTAGATGACGTGTTCTTTCCTAATAGTTCTGACTATGCGAGTTTATTGTGGGTTAACATAACAATGTAATATTTCCATTATCTGCGCCTAATAGTAGTAATCTATTCAAAGGCAGTATTGCCATGGACGTTAATAAACCCTTGAAGGCATCAGATCTCAGTTTCGTACTCGAGAATGAAGCGTCACTGTGGAGTGATGTGTGAACGCCTATTCTATTTGCAGTCGTGCCTGAGATTAATTCATTATTGTAGATATTTAGGCAATGGACAGGCTCAGTAGCTCCCCTGGGAATGTAAATACTAATACGTAAAACATTAAATACACATATGAAATAGGTGCACATAAAATTTCCAACGCACTCCTGTTTGGCAGTATTAAACAAATGGCATTTAAGCTAAGACAAACACTTTCTATTATTCAAGACAAAAAATTGCACTTCATATTTTTAGTTCTATTTTTCAAAAATTAGCGATTTTCCCAATACTTCAACAGTTTTGGAAACCACACGACGTTCAAAAAAACAAAGAGGCATACATTTTAGGTAATTTTCTCCTCTTTATTTTACAATAGAACCACTTTTTTGATAATTAGCTTGCTTTGCAAGTTATAAGCTTGAAACCACTAAAAACCATTTGTTTAAGTGTTTTTTGATGATTTCTCATATTTGCGGGAACAATTTTGGTTAGACAACTTCAGGTTCGTGTTCAACGCACCAAGAAACATAAAATAAACCACTAAAAACAATTACACCAGAACTTTCCACTATGAGCACTTATCGTGCATCATTTGACTGAACTATTAAATGGCATTAGCTCACACAAACACCAAAAATGCAGTTTTCTATGCACCTTTTAATTCTGAACAACTTTAAACTCTACACTTTTTTCTGTAAAATGTACAGGAGGGCAGGATATTGCACGAAACTAATTTCCCATGTTAAATCCCTATGTTCCTACTGACCCTGCACCACCCGGTATATCCAGGCTTTTGCGTACGCCGACGTATGGAGACGCAAGCCACACGATACCAGGCTACAGAATCAGTTGTGGTAGTAATAAAATAAGACAAATAATTAGCCCTTCCGTATTACATCAGATTTAGGAACACCCTGTATAAAATCAATGAAACTATAATTTCTCATTTGAGATCACTGTCGATAAATTATCTAAACGATTTCCTGATAATGGGCGAATCTTACGACATCTGCAAAAAAAGCACTTCATATGCAGTGCACCTGTTAGAATCAAATGAGGTTTATCATAAATTATAAAAAAATGAACTCGTTGGCTTCTATAGTAGTGTGCAGTTTTTCGATCTGACAGTAAAAAGAACAAAAAAGGAAACGTATCGATCTTCACCTCCTATATTTCTTCAAACGATAATTGTGAGGCATGCAGAGAATCCAGGAGACTTACCGAAGACACAAAGTGGGCCTTATCAGGGACGGATTTTCAGTCAACCGCGAAAACATCAACACAAAGTGTAAAAAAATTCGAAAGTGAGAGTTGGTGAGCACCAACAGAAAAATCTAATTTTTTCTCTCACATACTCCCTTCTTTTTGGCGCGATGGATTATAGAAAAAAAAAATGCGCGCGCTCCGGTTCGAACCCGCGTCATCGACTGTTGTAAATCGGAGACAACCAACATTAATTTAAAGACTGACACGATGCGGGATCGCCACCGGATGGATGGAGACGAGGGGAGTATTAGCTTAGCTTGCATTAAAATAGGTGGTGTTACGTAGCTTTATACGGTGTACTATGTATCGAGCGATTAAAAAAATTCAGCGTCATAGTTGGCAATGAAAGTTTAATTGTGAACATACCATGTAACTCTAATGTAAGCTAGAATTTACAACTCGAAATAAAATGACAAGTGTATTGAGGTTCGTTTACGATCAACACCTTTTCACCGCCAACTGCGACTTTGAATTTGTTGCATCGCTCTTTTATAAAGTATACCCCAAATGAATATCTTCAAACAGAACACAATGTATAATTCCGATCAAACTTCATAAGAGGTAAGTTTGTGTTATCGAAGAATTATATTTTAGAATCTGCCTGTTTTTCTTTTTTTATTTACCTTGGAATATTTTAGTAATCTTTAACTATGTTCTTCTTGGAAAAATAACTTCAGTAGAGGAGCAACAAGAGTTTTGGCATATACTTTTCGCCAAAATCTCATGTTATTTCTTATGGCAAATTCTAAGGTCCATCGTGGTCGTTTTTGGCGCACTGCGGCGTTATGCGCATGCGCCCCCCGCCCCCTGGCGGTAGAAGACAAATAATTGATCAAGATGAACAGAATGGAGAACTGCATTTTGATCGAGAATACGGATCAGGATGAACAGGAACCTATGAACAGGGTGTTAGTGCTGATATCCACGGCGATGACGATGATGATCAGGGTACACTGGTCACACAACTTTCAAGATCTTGAGAATGACAACAAAATCCAAGATGGAGTTGCACTAGGGGTGGAATTCATAGATATTACTTAAGTTAGATCAAAATTTGATTTCGCAGACTCTTAAGCATCAGACGAATCTGAACAATAGGAAAAACTTCCAAGGAATGGGAAAAATCTGAAGAAGAAATAAAAAATCTAAAGGTTTGGAAACGCCTCACTTCTGATAAAAAACCTAATTCTGATAAGGAGTAAAAGAGAAAGAGAAGGGCGATAGCTGATAGAAAACAGTTCCTTTCGTCAACACCTTTAATTACAGTACCATGAAAGATAAACCCATCTGCCCCCCCCCCCCTGTCAACCACTAATCTCGAATCGCGGAAGACAGTTGCATATATTCCTTTCGATAAGACCTTTCATTAGTGAGTGGTTAAACCTCTTCCCCTCCCCAAAACTAACAAACTAGAAAAAAAATTTCAAATCCGTTAATAAATGAGTAAGATATATATTACTTTACGTATTCAATGCGCAACACAGTAGTGCTGTGACGTCATTTGACCCAATCGAGTGCCGCCGTTACGGTGGTAAAATCTGTATAATAGGAACTTGCGTTTGCGTCATATCTAGGTTATCTTTAGCTCTCTTTAATACCCGCAAGTTAGAAGTGACAGAAAATTTATGTCATTAATATGTCAAGTCGCATGTCGGAACGTTTGGCGTTTGTCACATGTCACTCATAAACCTAACCCAATTAAATTTAAATTAAACTTCGGAATAATCGTCATCTTTGTCTTTGTTATAAAGATAGAGAGAGTAAATCGACGTCAGAGATTTAAACTGAATGCGCACCAGACAACAAGTCTAAATGAATCATGTACCTTAATTCTAACAAAACGTAAAAGAGATCGCCTAACCGCCAGTTCCTATTATACCACCAATAACCAACCATACACGTACTAAGCGAACAAATAAGCATTGTATGCGCATATGTCAAGTGACGTCACACGCGGATCGAAATTATTTTCCAAGCGCAACTTTAAAGTCTTGTTACTTTTTCATTTGTGGAGGTATTTTAATGATTCTTTCGCATTTTTGTTTCATTTTACTTAATTTTCATAATTACTTTACAACAAAACTTCTCCATTCCTCTACAAGTAATTCAAAGGTGGGTCCGGAAGGACGGACAAAACGCAAACAATAGCAAATTTTTTTTGATTTTTAAAAAATGCGCTAAAAATAGTCTCTCTACAATAAATCGAAAGTATCAGCTGAATTGATTTGATTTGACGTTAGAAGTTTGTTACTTGCCAGGTGTCACTCAAACGTGGTTTGCGCCATTCAATTTCAACCTACATATTCTTTGTTTTTTTTTGTGCGCCCAATTCGATTCCGTATGACACAACACAAGATTGCACGAAACCTGCTCTGCCATTGGTTGATAATAAAAAAATTATTTTTATTATTATTATTATTATTATTAACCAATAACAGAGCAGGTTTCGTGCAATCTTGTGTTGTGTCATATGGAATCGAATTGGGCGGACAAAAAACAGAGAATATGTAGGTATATAATTTATATAATGATGTATATAATCTTCAAAACTATATTTTTTAATAGCACTACTAGTTTTCATTACATATTTTTGATGAAAAAAGTGTACTCTTTATTAATATGTAATGAAAACTAGTAGTTGCCATTAAAAAAAATATGTCTCCCTCGACCATGCAAATGTACGCCACTGACTACGTTTTGAAAATATAAAATTTCCTACCTGTACATGAAAATCTAGTATCATTGTGATTGTGATATTTACTGTAAAGATCCCAGGTTCTAAAAAATTGGGTTCCTAGATCTATAACGCTATGAATTATTGTTAGGTACCTCAAGAATTGTGAATGTGAAAAGCTTATCTGTAAGTAGAAATAAGAAGTTGTCATGAATCGAAGATAATTTTTAAATAACGTCTTTCAATTTTTATTATTCTGAAACAAAAAAGGCAACTGCTATTTAGTGATTGTAACTACTTTCCAATTGTGTTTTATACTGGATGTGCGTTGGCAATTTTATAGTTTTTGTCAAACTAAAACTACAAACGTAAAGAGTATTCTTTTCTGGTTTTGTCAAAATAATTAAAAAGTACAAGAAGCACACACCAGTGAAACTTACCTGTGTATTTTAAACTCATTGCCAAACTCAAACTTAAATGCGCTTCGCTAACTATGCCAAAACTCCAAGGTCAACCGACTTACCTCATATGAAATTTCAACCGGCCCTCGTGTATATTCCAAACACTAATGACTTGGTCTAAACTACTAGAAATGAGGGTATTTTCCCCATGCGAAACCAACTGCAAAACCTCACTTTCGTGCGCTCGCCAGGTGGAAATGACGAGTCCGGTCCGAGTATCCAATACGGTGATGTGCCCGGATGATTGTCCTGTGGCCAGCCACAGTCCCGAACTCGACACCGCCAAACATCGTATTAGGCCGGCGGGATTTACAGTAATCTACCAAGCAGACGACATGTACAACACTTTGAGGTGCGTGAACTCACCTTTAATTCGTAGACATAGTTGCAGATTCGGGCGTCAATAACGCGAACAGTTCCTTCGGTTGTCGCGGCGAACAGGATGGTGCTCGGGGCGGGCATGCACTTCAATACGTTAACCGGCGGAAACTTGGAAGATTCGAGGTGCCCGACGTTCGCACCCATGTACGGATCCCAGATGTGCACGACGCTGTCGCTTGAAGCGACCAGACGCATGCTCTCTATGAACGTTAGACTTAGCACGGATTTGCGATGAGCCGTGTAGGTCCACTGACAGGATGACACGCTCGAACCGTCCCCCTGACTGCGCAACGACCACAGTTTCACGGTCTTATCCCGGCTGCCGCTCATGAAGCTATTTTCGTTATCCAACACCGTCAAGCATTTCACGCTGTTCAGATGACCGTTAAAGCTTTGCAGACGAATTTGCTTGAAGTTAAACATCGTGTCCTTGTCGGATCGTCCGATCTCGTGCTCCCAGTAAGCCAACCAATTCCCACGAAGATGGCGGGCTGTATTCTCCATTTTGTTGCTGATCAGACTTAGAACGTCGACCGACGCCTCGCCCTGCACATCGATACGATTACCGACCACCGCCGCATTACAGCCCGAGCTGTTGCTCGCCGCGTACGCGTGAGAATCGGAAAGTTGCCAACTGGACGAAATGTTCGGATAGGTCAGTTTGATTTCGTGCTCGTATTCCTGGCAGAGATTTTTAATTACGGTGTGATTCTTTAAAGAGAGCTCTAAGGAGTCGACTCCGATCTGTCTGAGAAATGGAACGTAAGCTGTATGTGCCAATTCGGAGGTGAACACCGTCCGCAGCTCTTGCAGTGCCTGTAACGTTAAACCGTAAGCTAACAAAATGGTCGCCCCAGAGTGGTGGCGTTACTCATATCGATAGTTAATTTTGGTTTCTATGCATCTCTGGATAATAACCCTTATCAGACCTTGATGATCAGATATGCATATAGTAAGGAGTTAACGTATAGATAGGCCATTATTTTGCCTTTATTTTTATTTTGCCTTTATTTTTGAGTGGGCGGGGTTTCAGCCAAGGCTGCTCTACCAACCCAACCCACTATACATTTACAAATACCCATGCCCGAACCCGGATTCGAACCAGGGACCCTTAGCACCACAGTCCAGCTTCAACTGAACTGCGCCACACGAGCCGGCCATCAAATGCACTCTTACCTGGTTGGGAATGTCGTCCGCTGTGCTCGGTGTAGAAATCTTCCCGAAAGGCGGCGGCGACAAACTATCGACCGACTCCGAATCTTTCACACGTATCTGGAATGGCCGCCCACCTACCGCCCACTCCGCCGTAGTCCCATCTCGTCGAACCTCTATGAAGTGAGTTTCCTCAATGGACCGCAAAGGGCTGTGATCCCGTTGAGTTGAGTTCTATCAACACGAATGCGTACAAGCCCCATTAAACCCGTGACGCGTTACCTTCTTTGAGATGACGTCCTCCGTCGTGTAACTGGTGTCACCGTTCGCTTTGTCGAAGATTAAAAAGAACCGTTGTAGGGATGGGACGGCCAGGTGGGTTTTCGTCATATGCGCTCCCATTCGCAGCGATAGCAGGTAGACGGTATCTACGTATTTTCGTGCCAGCACATTCCGTGCCAGCGCACCGTTTGGAAATGTATACCTGGTGGAGCCGAGGAGGCGAACCGTTGGATGCAAAATGTTTTTCAAAATGACATCCTAAATTAAACACACTGTATTTTCAAAAAAATAGGTTTTAAAACAGTGCCTTTAGCAATACAGAATTTAAAACATTTCTTAAAACAACGTTTCCTAAAACCAGTGGTGTCCGTCGCGTTCAAAATTGAATCGATTTCCTCTGTGAAATGGATACTTCTTAGATTACCCTAGCTCAAATGGAATGTGGGATAATTATAATAACTTTCTATTGCTCTGGAAAGCACCCTCCAGTCTCGTTCAGTACTAATAAATTCTAACCAACTCTAGAAAGCTCTGAGAAGAATTCAAAAATATTTTTTTTAAAAGCAGAAAGTTATAGTAATAATAATAATAATATATATTAATTCCCCAGACAAATTTTGAATTGTATAGGATACGTCAGACACAAAAAAATACAATTAAATACAATTTAAAAAATGTTGGTCATACACAATACAATGGACAAAAGAAAGAATGCAATATAAATTACACTAGAGATCCGCAATTTTTATCAATACAATTTAGAAATTCATCAATTGTATATGGTGCATTGACTAGAAGAAATTTTTTTAAAGAAGATTTAAAGCACTTTATTGTTCCCTGACTTCTAAGTGTACTTGGAAGAGCATTAAATAATTTAATGCCCATTGACGTGGGAGAATTATGGGCAAGTTTAAGCCTTGTTAAAGGGGTGATAAATTGTTGTTTATTGCGCGTGTTGTAATTGTGAAAATTGCTATGGCGTAAGAAATGTTGCTGATTATGGAAAATAAAAGTTAACAATTCAAGTATATAGAGTGATGAAAGTGTAAGAATATTCAATTTTTTAAATATCGGGCGACCCGAATCAAATTTCTTACTACCCGCAATACACCGGACTATTCGTTTTTGTACCAAAAAAACATTTTTTGCCGCGCTTGACGAGCCCCAAACAATTATTCCATACGACAATCTGGATTGAATTTGAGCATAGTAATAATTTAAAGTATGGTTCGCATCCATTAATTCTTTAAGATTCCGTATCTGGTAGCAATAAGTGTTTAGTCTTTTAATAAGATTTTCGCAGTGACATTTCCAATTTAAGTTTTGATCTAAATAGATCCCCAGAAACTTCCCAGTGCCTAGAATATTAATGTTTTTGTTGCTTGAGTCAGACAAATGGTTATTTCCAAAAGTTGTAAACGGTAGGAAAAATGTTTTATCGTGATTTAAGAATAATTTGTTAAAATTAAACCAATTACTTAGCTTATTTAGAATCTCAACAGCTTTTGGATATATATTTTCTTGCTTCTTTCCGGATATTAATGCCGTCGTATCATCCGCATATAAAACCAAGCAATTTAAGAACATGACAATATCATTAATAAATAATAAAAATAAAATAGGTCCTAAAACAGATCCTTGTGGAACCCCCATATTAACAGGCAAAGCTGTGGATAAAAATTTTGCAATAGTGGAACCGGTTTTAAATTTAATTTCTACTTGTTGACACCTTCCAGAGAGATATGATGAAAACCAATTGGCAACAACGCCTCTGATACCGTAAGTATTTAATTTTTCCAACAGTACCAAGTGATCAACAATATCAAAAGCCCTGATGAGGTCACAAAATATTCTGTTTTTTATCAAGAAGTGAAATGATGTCGTTAACAAAGGAGTTAATGGCAGTAATTGTCGATTTCCCATTGCAGAACCCGTGTTGTTTATTACTTACAATGTTATATTTAACAAGGTGACTACTTAGCCTCTCTAACATGGCGTATTCAAAAACTTTTGACAGCGCCGAGCTAACAGAAATTGGTCTGTAATTCGAGCAATCTCGAGAGCAACCTTTTTTGTGAACGGGATGTACGGTTGACAGCTTAAGTTCTTTCGGGAAGACACCGTTTGAAAAAGACATATTGACTAAATGTGTGACAGGTTTTATTATAATATGCAAACTTGACCTAAGCAAAGAATTAGGTATATCATCTGGGCCCGAGGAATGTTTATTTTTTATGCTTTTTTTTAAACAATTTAATAATTCCGTTTCACTAAAAGGCAGTGCACACATACTTTCGCGAATAAGTCATATTAGACTCAAAGTTGCTAGTCGAATAAATGTTTCTTTTTATAGAACGTTGAATATTTTGACTTTTAAAAAAGACGCCAGGAAACCTCGAGAAGGCTCCAAAGCGTTCGGGAAAAGGCTTAAAGTTCTAAAGCTTTTAGGCAAACCCATTGGTCTTCAGGGGTCCTCGGTTAGTCTATCTACCCCTTTGAATTTGAATTTAAAGATACAACTTCATCAGAAAATTGTGTCCGTCTCCGTTGATCCCAAACTACAAACAGTAAATTTTAGTTTCATCAAATTTACTGTTTGTTGATTGGCTAACGGATCAACGAAAATAACTATAGACTGGACAAAAGCAAGCGCATTCAACATTGTTAGTTGTCATTTCAAGAAATCTGTGGCTATGTGTGTGAGTGCGACGGATTTAGTATAGTTTTTTTGCTATCTTGCATTTCAATAAAATTTTCATTTTGTCTTTTAATCACAACGGGAATAATGTGAGCATGATTTGGGATGGTTGCATTCAAGCGTCCGTTATTTAGGTTTACCTACTTGAAGGTGATCCATAAACGTCGTATCGCACAGATACGGAATGATGTATTGAAGTAGCGCCAAACTCGATATAAGTCCCCCTTCCAAGTTCGGCGTCAAACGCTTCTTACACAAAGCAATCAACTCGCTCATGTGTGGGAAATATTGCAAAAGAATTAGTTGCTCTCCGTAAAGTGCTTAAATTGAACGCTGTGGATTATTGTGCACACTAAACAAACACCTACCTGCAATATTCGCCAGACAGTCCAAGACTTTGGTGGCGTTCTGATCGCCGACAACTCGACTGGACGCTATCGTAATCGGCTCGACATGCTCATTACTTCCGCACTCGTTACCTTCGCGCGGTAGCGAAACGAGACTCTCCTTACCTACATAACACAACGTCAACATGCGCAGCAAGTTCCGCGCCAAATACTTCGCCGTCAACACGGGACCGAGCCGATGGGACAACCAAATGAGACTGTCGGAGCTCATGTCGGAAATCTTCGCTTCGTTTTTTCTAAACTTCATAAACGACTTCGAGTAATTGTAAACGGAGCCACTAGAGTTCGACTGCCGATCGATTCGTTCGAAATTACTCGCCTGCGTGTTCGGCGAACTCATCTCGAAGTGTTGGGGGTCGGACTGTTTGTCGTAAATGTAATCGGTCTCGCTCCTTTTACTTCCGATTTCGCAGCTTATATTAGTCAACTCGCCCGGGCGGTAGCTGGGAATCGGAATCGTGGACGATAAACAGTTGCCTTCCAAATAATCGTCGTTGATGTTTAAATTTAACTCCTCCAAACTACGAAGTTGCTCGATGTTTTCGGTTAGCGTGGCGTCGAGCGCTTCCTCTGCCGTCGAATGGTTAAATGGTAAATCGGAGGCGACGTTCAACTCCAAGTGCTCGATCAGCGATTGCAGCGATTGTCCGTTGTCGCTTGCGCGATCGTCTTCCTGGTCGAACTCGAACATTTCAGGCTCGCTTGCTACTGGCGCAGTCGGTTGCGTTTTCGAGCTTGGCAAGTTTTTATCGGAGCACGAACTGGAGTCGTCGCTGGGCGAGAGCTCACTCTGTTCCGAGTCTATAGATCTGAAATAGAATTAAATTAAGCAATATTATCGATCGCTTACAATTTCAGAGCCTTAAAGCCTCAGTTAGTCCTATCTGACAGTGGATTTCCCTGATATCAGCGACCTCTAGGCTTCTCCTTCGTTAATTCACAATGCGCGAAACCCATTGACCTTTCAACAGTCAATATTCGAAGCTCTTATCAGAGGGTGACCACCTCCCCCGCCCCACAGGTAGCCCAAGACCGCTACCGGAGAGAACACAAATAGATCAGGTCACCTCTAAGAGATGACCCCGAGGCAGCGAACGAATTTCGAACTATGCCTTGATCGATTCCCAACGTCACTATTAGCAAGCTTCTCCTTGAGCTACTTTACAACTTAACTTTGACGTAATGCCCAAAGGGGGGTGAATAGGATGGGTCGATGGCCATCTCCAACTCACCACAAAGAGCCGACCAACTCCATCTAGAGGTCGAACGCACTTTAGGTCACCAATAGAAGGCGAGCGACTTCCGGAGCAATGCTACAAAGTAAAGTCCCTAGATTCTACAAAGCAGTGCAGTGAGACATCTGGTGGCAGCAAATTGTAATAAATTCATTCGAGAGAAGACCGCCATTTTGATAGCGTTTCGTTATTTACAATGGCCACAGGTGACGAATATTGTAGCGTTTACGGCTGTAAAAGTAAATACACTTTCAAAAATTCCATTCGCAATCAGTGTAATTATACCTTAAAGGACACGGATAGTTTGAAACATCACATTTTATCTCAAGTAGGTACCTACTTTCAAAAATATTGAATGTGACCAGTGCAATTATACAAACAACAATAAGGATAATTTAAAAAATCGTCGTCTAACTCAGAACATTTCCAAAGTTTTTAATTGTGAACAGTGCAATTACCTACACACCCCAAAATTGGAGATATATACGTCATTCTTTGACACACTCCGCTCACGATAAGCATAATTTAAAGCGGGATATCTTAAAACATGTCACATTTAAGGATGTTATGTGTAGTGTACGATTAGGTATGCCACTTAAAAACCTGATAGAACTTGCCATTTGTAAATTGCACCAGCGCCTCTAGCGTTAATCTGTATCGCGTATTCTTGTAGTTCGCTGTTTCAAAATACCCGTGTGTTTATTCCCTGATTTTTTTAAAATTTTGATCACCAGAGACGAGCAACATTGAGCTGCTCCAGCCAAATGTGCCGCAGATAAATCACCAGATGAGGAAGGACGTCCCGAAAAAATAGTCGGGTAAACGTAGAGAAGTTTGTTTTTTAGAAATGAAATGAAGTTTTTGACAATTTTGAAAATGCATGTGTACTGGAATTCACGAAAAAACTGGACTTGTATTCCGAAGCTAGACAAACAAGTATAAATTGTGCACAACTCTTGTGCAGATGAAGCGCATTTTTTTAAACCGAAATAGCTTTTTGACATCACCAATGGATATATTTCTTGCAGACGTCTCAATCGCCCTTTGTGAGTACCCTCTTCCGACAATCCGTTCATGAGGTATAAGGGAACATACCCGATCACGATAAGCGGTCGAGGAGGTGGGCTATGGTTGGTAGAAATTAATTCCTTTCGTTGAGACCTTTCATTAGAGTACCATGAAGGATAAAACTAGTTCCCCCCCCCCTCCCTCTCCACCCCGTACTTTGATAAGACGACAGAAAGAAGGACAGAGTTGGTAGAAAACGGTTCCTTTCGTCGAGACCTTTAATTAGAATACAATGAGAGAGAAAATTAATTTTTAACCCCCGCCCCTCCCTCAGGCCCCTCGCTCACTGATCTCGAAAAAGAGTCGCACGGGACAGTTATAGCTTGTACAAACTAATTTATTTCGATGAGACCTTTCATTAGAATACCACGAAGGGTAGAACATGTGTTTACCCCCCCCCCCTCCACCATTTTTCTAAAGTTTAACTTGGCACCACTAAAGGCATGCGTATGCAAAATCTGAGACCAATTGGTTGTCTTTACTTTCAAAAACAGCATCTCAGGAAATAATTAATGGGGGGGGGGGGGCCTTTTAGACAGCGAAATTTGATGGCCGTGTGGCACACCTTCAAGCTACTGCAAAAAATTCCAGGACTCTAGGACCATTCTCTTGGACACAAAGCAAGCGAGTGTAAACAACAGGAGACAAAAAACGAGGCTCATATTGTAGGTTAAAAAGATTAGGTTTAATGAAGCGAAAGACAATTACAAATATTGACTCGTCGACGATACAACAGTAAAAACTTTTATCGACCTTGGTATTTTGGCTATGCTGCGCATTAAGAACTTTTGTAAAGAATTTAATAAGCTGCCATACATCCATACATACATAATCCTTCCTCTTCTACCTTACGATGTATTAATATACAGGGTGTTCCATATAAAAAAGTCGCATTATTTGTTATTTGAAAAATGCGATGTTGTTTTTTCAAGATTTAGATTCAGTAGTCAAAAATACGCTATTTTGGTCATTTACAAATTTCAAGTTCTTTCAAAGATCACCTTCAAAGAGAGGGGCGCATGCAGGTAAAATAAGTGACACATACAAGGGACTAACATCGGAACCACGGCGTGTTTTTGCCACAAAGTCACCAACACCCATCTAACTAAAGCAAAGATTGTAGCGAGAAGGCACATGATCACAAATTCGTCATTTAAAAATCAATAATAGCATAAATCACTAACAATACAAGTCCATCAATTAATTTTGAAGAAGGATGAAGAGCAAAAGCGAAGGAGAAGGTGCTGGTGCTTGGATGAGGAGAAGGGTGTTCTAATATATCTTCTAACAACCTACCTTAAATTAGACATTTTCTTCAGTATCTTCTTGTTGTGGGTATGCAAAATGAAATCGGCTCTATCATAGTCTCGATAACCACCGACGGCTTCGACGAGCGACGTAACGAACTGTTCCAAAAAACACTTCAAACCAAATCGAACCATCAATCGCAGCAAAAAACTGTGATGGTACAATTTCGCGATCTTACTATTGTACGGTATGGTAGTCTCGTTGGGCTCACTTTCGTATAGCTTCAACATCGAAGTGAGTAACGTTTCCGAAGTCTTTTGCGTACCGAGCATGCGCGCGATCATGTCGAAAAGATACCAAGCGGAGAGAACGGACGTGGAAGGCTCTTCGAGCAGATCTTTAATGTTGGGTAGCAAAATGTGTACGATTTCCGAGTCGGAGTTAACGTTTAAATTATTGAGGAGAATCTCCAAATTTTGAGCACAACGTTTCACTTTACACTCGCTAATATTTTGAGCAAATAGAATTTTCGTACGTTCCAAATTTTCGTACTCCAAGCACATTTGGCCGTCGCAATCGAAATGGTACAACACCAAAAGCTCTTGGGAAACGCTACCGAAGTTCTTAAGCGAGGATATCAGATAATACAACTTCGAAAATGATTTCGGGAATGGTACTACGCAATGAAGCAGCGGCTCTAAGAGTAAGTGGGCGCTTGGAGGTGGAAGCCCGAAATTTGTAACGGTTGGATATTGGAACGTTGTTGATTGGGAGTTCTCGGGGAGAAGTATTTCGAGAATGTACCGAACACAAGGCGGAATCTCATGTTTGCACATCTTCGTAACCGCGAGGCATGCCTTGAGACGATCGTTAAAAGATAAGTTTAGGGCGTTGTTGCCAAGCGCAATTAGCTGCTTAGCCATGAACAACTCGACTATCAAACATCCTAGAATTTGCAACTCCTTAATCCGGCGAGACGTTATAATCGCGGAGTAATTGCAAGAGATTTGGTTCTCGTTCTTTTTGCAGTTTGGTACTCTTGTAAACTGTTCGCGATTGTCGATCGGAAAACTGTAAGATTTTATAGCGCGCTGGTTGTATAGTCTGGCTTCGAAGCCCTCTGTGAAAATACGATTCGTGAACGCGTTTTGGATGTAACTGTCGTCGTGATCTTCGGCCTTCGCGGTACATCGCGTGCTATTTTTCGATGAAACGGAAACGCTCAGCTGATGGGATAGGAATGTTTTCGAGATGAAGCCGTGGAGATTTTCGAGATTTGCTAGGTTTAAAGCGGGATTGTACTCTTTAGGTAGATAAATGGTGCCGGTACTTAGACACGGTTTTTGGATGGATAGGCGATTTGATGATTTCGTTACGTGCGAGGTAAACGTGGGAGTCTTGGGGCCTAAACTGGTACTCCGTTGACCGCTGCTCGGACTTCGTGACGGTTTTGGTTCTTTTTCTTCGGCTAACGATAACCGACTGCGCGAGAGGAAACGGCTAAGAGCGAGGGGCGACGTTTTTAATTGTGGAGTAGTGCAGTCTTCGTCGATCGACAACTCCTCCTCTTCACTTTTTGATGCCTCGACGGAGGTTGATGGTCTCGATTCCCTCGACGTGGGACCTGAAACAGATGGTGCGCTACAATATCGTAAAGTTGAAATTTAAGTGAAAGTCCCTAGGAAAGTCCTCTGCGGTGAATGTTATGGTTGCTGAACCCAAACTCAAAAAAAAAACAACAAAGGAACAAATAAAAAAATATGAAAACTCTATCTGAGTCACACTTTGGATTCGAATAAACACTCAATTAATTGATTAACGAGAAAAATTTATTCCGAATCACATGAATGAATGAAAACAAAAGACAATCTGACAAAGCCTGTTACCGTGCAGGTGGTCGATAATTAAAATAAGAAATCTTAAATTAGTTACAGATTTTTTCTTAATAATCCAAATAATCTGGTCATAAAAGGTTTGCGATACTACGCCACACAAATGCCGACGGTTTCTGAACTTCACTTTGCTTTATAACATAACAGTATTAGATGACACAAAACTGGTTTGAATTTTCGGTGGCTGTTCGGACGGTAGAACCTGGAACCAATTCACCGTCCAATCTAGGAATTAAGATCTATAACCATTTCCCTCACATAATACGTAACTGTAGTCAATTATCTACTTTTAAAGAAACATTATTTTTGTTTCTAGTTGACAAATGTCATTATGATATTAATGAATATTTTACTGGTTAATGTAACTTGTTTGTCGCTATGTACCTAATGCGTAATTTGTTTTTTTACCTATAATCTCTATATATAAAAATGAACCCCTGTTTCTTCTGGTCACGCACTAACTTTAGAACGACTTTACCGATTTCATTCATCTTTTTTTTTAAGTTTTCTAATACTGTGTAGAAGATTCTTATAGGAAAAAAACTAAGAAAATCGCGCAGAAAATTGGAGAAAACTTAACGACTATTTAAATTCCGCGCGTTTGACGATGCTACAGCATTTGTTTTAACAGCTACATCGATCGACAATGGATCGGCATATTATATCTGTCAAAAAATTAATTTATTCATATCATAGTGTGCTGTCAATTCGATCGGATAGTTTATCCAGATTTCAGTGAGTTTTTTGAGAAGTTTCGAAGAGATTTCACCGCAATAACGCCTTTTATATTAAAAATTTGATATACCTAATATCAATTTTTGGTAAGTGTTGATACACCCAACACGTGGTATACATAGTTATACAAGAAACACGGGAGTCAATTTCTATTTTCAGTTGAATTTTAATCCCTATCGAGTTGCATTTAATTATAACATAGCAATCGATTACAGTTTACAGTAAATCATTGCTATTAGACCAAAGAACTTTCTGTGTCCACCCACTCACCAGAGCCACTATACATTCCTTGGTTTCCGGAAATGAGCCAGATTCTATACCTTTTTTGACTCATATCCAGAAATACAATAATCGCTTTCAAATTACGGCATTTAGCGCAACAAAAAAAAAGTACGTTGGTAGCTCTGAATCTCCAAAAGCCACTAGAAGTTAGTGCGTTTATTTTTTATTATTTTGGGGAGAGATTGAGAGATTTTGGGGCAAGTGTGTCAAAATTTCTTTTCCTGCTAAACGGTTGAACCGATTTAAACCAAATTTGCTACACATATTCTTAGACATAAAAGGGCAGAGTCGCGCATGCGCAAGTGGGGCGGGTGGTACCTGTACTAGCCACAGCAAATTTTTTGAAATTATTTATTCCAATCCGAATTGAATAGGTATTCATAGCTAAGAAAGAGGACACCGTCCGTCGGGTCAGCTAGTATTCAATATTAAAACATTAAGATATTTGTTGACAATTTTCACACAAACCAGTTTGTCTATGAATAAATACTATTATTATTATGGTCGGTGTTTCTTGTGAGAACTCAGGTCTAGCCTGGTTAACTAATCGCACGGATTAAAATCAAGTAACGAATAGTGTCTTTGTCTGTACGTCGCTCGTCTGGTGAAGTTGTCGGATCCTAAAAAAAAACAAAAAAAAGTCACACACGCACATTGCAAATCTAGGGATAGTATGTAATTCATACTTACCAACATAGGTATTGATAGGCACAATAGCCAATGCTATCAGGAAAGAGGAAAACAAAACAAAAAAATAATTATAATAATTCAATTTAGCAATTTTATTAAATGGAGTTTATTATTATTATTATTATTATTATTATTAATCTCAGACCTTTTCACAAGAAAGTTTTTTATTAAGTGAAGAGAAATTAAGTTTCCAAGAAAATGTCGTAGAAGAAATTTACTACCTTGTCAACAGGTCCTTATTTGCAATAATTCAGTTACTAAAATTGGTACCGTTCGGTAAAAACACTCAAATTTAACACTTATTCAATTATAACAATGAAAAGAGAATTTTTTTATTTCTCTTAATTTGCTTTACCAAAAGGGCCCAACCAAAGAACAGTTTGAAATTGGAGACTCCGGTGAAATTTTGAAGATAACGAAACGTTGGGGGTGTTGTTAATGACCAGGAAAATTTCTTTACTTGGTGCAAACTTTTTTACTAGCATTGAATTTAGTAAATACAGTTGACACCACATTGTTAATTTTACAGATTTTGTACAGAATTACTATGTCAATAATCCCAACGACTAAAACACGAACCCCTTATTGGTATCAAGACAACATTGGTTCAAATCTAAAACGCAAATTCTCAGAAGACAAACTCCTGAAATGGTTATGGCAAAAGAACATAAAACGTGCAGGACACACAATCGAATAAATACTAAAGTCGTAGAAAAAAATTCGTAGAGGAGCGAGGTGGTACAGATTGATCGGAGATCTATCAAGACCATGCCCTGAATATAAAATTGGTCCTTCAAACCGGATCAATATTTTTCACGGCCATCATCGTACGTGATGCACACAAAAAATCATAACTGATTGATAAAAGGCTAAGTTTTATGCAATAAAAGGCAATAAATACTTACGATGTTTATGTTTATGCACATAAATTTTTGGTGGCAATTTCCCCGAAAAGGGAGACTTGTTCGTTTTGGACGGATGGGGATGTGCAAATAGCTGAACGATACCAGACTTAGTCAAATGGGCATGGTCATCGACCAAGTGGAGGCACACATTCTTCGCTTTAACCGCCGCAGTACCAGATAATCTGTAAAAAAAAAAGTCCAGAAAAGCACGCGATGAACGCACTACTTACTTATATCCAAAGGTTAAATCGATCCAATGATGCAAGCGTTCGGAGACGTACACGCTCTCCAATATCTCTCGATGCTGCTGCACGAAATCTTCGGGACTACTACTCCAAGGGGGCACCTCTAAATCTTCCAAATCGTCGTGAATACTTTTAAAGACCGTCGGATCGGTGAAAAACTCCGGTATGCACTCGTCGGGCGTCCACTCCTGTAACCGCTGAATGGAGCTGGGATATTCGGCCGGTACCCAGATGGTACGAACGTTCCTGCACAAAACCGACTGGGGCGTCCGCCTCGACATGTACACGTAATAGGTGATGGGCGATAAAACGTCGGACACGTGATGAGGAACTTGGGCGTGCGAATGCTCGTAGGTTAGATCGAGCTGTCGATCGCCCTTATTCAGACGATACTTGGACTTCTTGAGATCGCGCCAGTTTTTCCCGCAGCGCGACGCAAAATCGGTGACCCATGGGAACACGTAGTGACAGTGAGGATCGCCCAGCTTGCGTCCTGAGAGCTTATTCAACGCTGATATGTAGGTGAAATTTGATATTTGTCCTTCGATCCATAGGTGACAAAGCTGTTCTAAACTCTCGTTCGTCACCTATCGATTAACAAACAATAATCTGTAATTTTACACTCCTTTATAGTGTGGTTGTTTCACAAATTCGATATTTGAATTTGAAGTCAATGTATTACAATTATTAGATGCTTAATTTTGTTTAAATAATCGCTTTGTATTTTGATTGATTTATTGGTCAGTTAGATTACGTTAAGGAAGATAGAAATGAAAATAATAGCGGTTTTTTTAAAGTTTATCTCACTTCAATTCGGTCTTGCGATAAGAAGTTCGTTATCACTTCTTAAAAACTGATTAATTGGAAGATACACAGGTGTTAATTTAAGACGCGCAGTAGTTTTGATACGAGTGAGACCGCCGGTGGTATTTCTTTTGAAGTTTTGCTGGTGGCTAAAGCAAATTTGATTGGTTTATGCTGACAAAATGATTAAAACGTAGGATGGGAAGAAATAGAAGAAAAGAATGTTTTAAATACGCGTAGCAGACGTTAAGCAAGGATTTTTGGGGGTAACTTTTTGGTTAATTTTCTATAGCGATAAATATTATTACCTGCAATTTATCGTAAGTCCTCGCCCCACAGCTGGTACATTTCAAATTGGAGTCGAACGAGTGACCAAACTTGCGACAATCGATAATATTGACAGTCTTCTTATTAATATCGTACTTGTGCACGTCTTGCACGTGCAAATTTGAGAGGAGCTGCGGAAATATGTGAATCCAGAGATCTTCGGTTACATAAATATCATTTAGCGTGATGTCACCAAGCGTCAAGCTTTTGTTGTGTAACGATTTTAGGCTGTGTAAAAGTTGATAAATAATAAATAAAGGCTTCGTATAACATTTATCTAAAATAGCTGGACTAAAAGTGATGCAGTCGTTTAAGGTATGCGGTAAAAATGGAATGTGTATAAGAAAAATGGCGTTCAGTGTTTCGACGCTACACGCTGCCGGCAATAAGTTCATGTGAGGCTCATAGCTGGGCACCTGATTGGCGATGGAGGAGCTTATTGCGTTGATAATCGTGCAACCGTAAGTGCGACAAATTATTTCCCTTAAAACCTCGTTATAATCCGTTAAGGTGACCTGAGTGTCCTTAGTCGACTCCAAATTGCAATTATACTTTTTATACGCCTCTTTCCACAAGTTCTTATAATTTGTCATCGAAACATACTGGAGCAACTGCGGAAATAGCAAAGGAGCCTCGTTGGTTTCGCTTGCACGCGTTCTGGGCAGTGGTATAACTTTGACATCTCGTTTCTTAAAAACACGCACAAATATTTTCGTCCAACCGATTCCGATATCTTCATCCAGCTCGCCCCAAGCTTCCAATTTGGTCTTCTCCGTAAACTCCGACAGTTTCGAGTGTTTTACAAGTGACCTGCAACAGAGCAGCTTAAGGGTGGGTTACGAAAGAGCTGTCACTTTACTTTAACCAAGATTTGTGAACTAAAGCGATAAATTTGTCTTCTCTAGAGGTCGATTTGAAATATCTCTTCGGTATGCCGAGTTCTTCCAACAAATTTTCCATTTCCAATGGTGCTTAGAAAATTGGAAATATTATCGAGGTATCATAATTATTTAACTAATTAAGTGTTTCTTTTCAATTATCTTCACAAAAATAACAATATTTTCATTTTTATTATTTTGATAGCTTAACCTAAAAATGTAAAAATCAAACATGTCAAAATTAATGATATACAGTACGTCGGAAGTTCTTTGTGATTTGTGTATCATAAGTTGCCTATAACCAATGTTGACAACCATACCATTGAATTTAAGAAAGCATGAAAAACTGAAATTAAGGAGATGAGAAGAATGAGATGGGAACTTGAGAACGGCTTATAAGAAAATTGAGAGTAACTGGAGGGAACATGAACGGAATTTGGAACTTTTAAGGCAAATTTAAAAAATATTTGGAAAACGGTATTGAATAAAAACGGTTAATCGGCGGAAAGTATACGCACATAGGCAAAATAAACCGTCGGAGGAGACATATCTATTGGTGAAGTCCAGAGCTGGGCAGAATACTTTCAAAAAGTATTTGAATACTAAATAGTAAATACTTTACACAAATCAAAGGTATTTGAATACTAAATACTTTTACGTCCCGCACAAGCGAATACTAGATACAGATACATTGAAAAGTATTCAAATACTTAAAAAAATAAGTATTCAAATACTTTAGAATGTATTCGAATACTTTCAAAAGTATTCGAATACTTTCAAAGGTATTCGAATACTATAAAATCGAATACTTTGAAAAGTATTTAATTATCTTACTTTGAAAAGTATTCGAATACAGTAAAAAGTATTCAAATACTAGTCACTCAAATACATTAAAAATTTAAAATAGTATACTAGATAAAAAATCAAGTTATACTTTGTATGGGGTTACCTTTTTTTTATATTTCTATTGTTATATACAAATTTAAGGGGAGTAAAAGCGTATTATTATTATATTATTATATAGGAGGTACCTACCAGGACCTTTCTTATACCAGTTATATCCTTAAGAATACGTGTACCAGTTTTCAAAGCGATCGTAAGTCGTGCACATGATACGTACGCCTTTCTGAAATTAATCCTAGCGATTTTGGAACAGATCCATTTTTGACCATCCGTTTGTCCGTGTGCATGATAACTTGTTTAGAAACGTGCGATCGCACATGGTCTTAAGGATATAAGAAAGGTCCCTATTGTTTTTAAGTTACGTAGACTATCGAGTTCGGTATTCAGATGTATCGGATTTTTATATTTGATTTTGTGACAATGGAAACTTTCCCTAAACATTTTTAAATTGTTCTCAAATATTTGAATAACTTAAAAGTACTGCCTTCTTTTGAGGCCGGAAAAAAAATTGTCTGAGATCGACCGGGAAAACACATTTTCTTATAGAATTTGGCCCGTAGAATCCATAATTTCAAACAGTTTGAAGATTGGGCTACTAGATCAAAAGTTACAGCCCTTTGAATTTTTTTTCGAAATTGGTTTCTAGTCTATAACTTTTGATTGAGAAGTCTGATCGAAAAAATACGAATTGTTTTGGATTCTACGCACCAAAATTAATAAGAAAAAGTGTTTTCCCGAGAAATTTTGGTGTAGTCGATTTTTGGTAAAAAAAGAAGGTTATACACTGCCTTTTTTTGAGCCCCGAAAAAAAATTGTCTCAGATCGACCCGGAAAAAAATTTTCTTATAGAATGTGGCCTGTAAAATCCATAATTTCAAACAGTTCCAAGATTGGGCTACTAGTTCAAAAGTTACAGCCCTTTGAATTTTCTTTCGAAATTGGTTTCTAGTCTATAACTTTTGATTGAGAAGTCTGATCGAAAAAGTACGAATTGTTTTGGATTCTACGCACCAAAATTAATAAAAAAAAGTGTTTTCCCGAGAAATTTTGGAGTATTTGATTTTTGGTAAAAAAGGAAGGTTTATAGTGTTTTTTGAGGCCCGAAAAAAAAATTGCAAATATTTGCAGAACAGGGTACTCTCAAAGTGCGAAAAGATAGTTTGAACGAGATACATCTCCTGGCGATGTGAAAACATAGTTGTGAATATCTCGAACATGTTGGAGGAAACTACCTACAAAAAGTCTTTTCATTGTAATAAAGGATATCACAATCTTCACGGATTAAACTCCACTGATTGCTCGATACGTATTTGGCATTTTGTGTATTTCATGTATAAATATTTGTAGTAACATATTAGATAGGTACTACCTGACAATTACAACTAGAATATAAAAAAAATATAGTACATTTGGCCTATACCTAAAACGATATGTAGATAACACTTAAGTATAATCATAAATAATAATCATTGAGTAGTGTAACTCTTATCAAATGGACTGACCGAAGTAAATGGTCGCAGTGTTTGATCTGGATTTGGCAATGAACCAACCGTTGCAGTTCGATTGTCATCCAATAAAATTACTTCCTGTTTCCCACTGCTTTGCCTACAAATAATGGATTAACATAACTGCCTTACTGACTAATGCAACCTGATGTATGTGTGGATTTCCTGTTCTAATGTTTTCTTGTCATTGGTGAAAACTATGCTGCGGTAGCTAGGGAATCCGTTTCTTTTAACGTATTTCTCTAAAATGCCGTTGTATATCAGAAGATCGTCAACCAGGACCTAAAATTTGGGTAACTCAAAGTATATTAAGCTAAAGGGAAGTACCCCAAATTCTTTGACGCCTCTCGATGGTGTTTTCGAGTAATTCCAAATTTTTACAAGGGAGATTGTGGTGGGTGTATCAAGAACGATGTAAATTCTGTTGAGGCATTCGGGGACAATGGGTGCTAACCACGAATGTGCACCGTCCGTGTCGAAATATACACCATCTATCAACTTATCGGGCGTCCGTATATCTCCACTAACGTTAGGAAGTACGTTAATGCTCTCTGGATACGCACAAATATCTACAAGCGAAGTTATTGAGGTCGCTCCCCCCAATGAATCACTTACTCTGCTCTTCCAAAGTAATTTTGTCCCCGTGCTCGTCGTAAATTTCAATTTCGTTCAATCCGCAGTAATACTGGTCGCCCCATGTGGAAAAAATGATGAACTGAAAGACGAAACCTTCCGGCATTTCATTTTTGTACAGACTCAACGAGTGAAAAGACGTATTTAACGGTTGGCTATTCGAGTAGTCCCCGGCGTCGACCGAATCGGTAAACCTCAAGTCTTGAACGAAGTCGTAGTGAGCATTTCCGGGAGCTCGACGCAACAAGAACACTTCGTCTTTTCTTATGGGATTCATCAAGTGCTTTCCGTCTAGTAAAATTTTAATCGCTTGAACTCCCGCGTAGGTGTACTCTGGGCTTCCGTTGTAATTCCATATGCGCACTCCTATGTGGTCAAAGGGTTTTTAACAGGATATTTAAAAACACTTTTTATACGTCGTTTAGTATAAGAACAGTCGCAGGTAGCCGCCCACTGCAAAACTTATGTCTTTACACTCACGGACGACCACTTTTGCAGTGGGCGGCTACCTGCGATAATTGACGTGACTGTTTTTATACTAGAAGAGCAATAGTCTGTTTTATGTAAAAAAATTGTCCAAATGATCGGAAAGTATGAAACAGGATACGCATCTCGACTGCATCTTTGTGTTTGTTGTCTTTACACTCACGGACGACCACTTTTGCAGTGGGCGGCTACCTGCGATAATTGACGTGACTGTTTTTATACGAGAAAAGCAATAGTCTGTTTTATGTGAAAAAAATTGTCCAAATGATCGGAAACTATGGAACAGGATATGAATCTCGACTGCATCTTTGTGTTTGTGTTGTTTTACACTCACGGACGACCACTCTTGCAGTGGGCGGCTACCTGCGATAATTGACGTGACTGTTTTTATACTAGAAGAGCAAATCTGTTTTATGTGAAAAAAATTATCCAAATGATCGGAAACTATGGAACAGGATACGCATCTCGACTGCATCTTTGTGTTTGTGTTGTCTTTACACTCACGGACGACCACTTTTGCAGTGGGCGGCTACCTGCGATAATTGACGTGACTGTTTTTATACTAGAAGAGCAAATCTGTTTTATGTGAAAAAAATTATCCAAATGATCGGAAACTATGGAACAGGATACGCATCTCGACTGCATCTTTGTGTTTGTGTTGTCTTTACACTCACGGACGACCACTTTTGCAGTGGGCGGCTACCTGCGATAATTGACGTGACTGTTTTTATACTAGAAGAGCAATAGTCTGTTTTATGTGAAAAAAATTGTCCAAATGATCGGAAACTATGGAACAGGATACGCATCTCGACTGCATCTTTGTGTTTGTGTTGTCTTTACACTCACGGACGACCACTTTTGCAGTGGGCGGCTACCTGCGATAATTGACGTGACTGTTTTTATACTAGAAGAGCAATAGTCTGTTTTATGTAAAAAAATTGTCCAAATGATCGGAAAGTATGAAACAGGATACGCATCTCGACTGCACCTTTGTGTTTGTTGTCTTTACACTCACGGACGACCACTTTTGCAGTGGGCGGCTACCTGCGATAATTGACGTGACTGTTTTTATACGAGAAAAGCAATAGTCTGTTTTATGTGAAAAAAATTGTCCAAATGATCGGAAACTATGGAACAGGATATGAATCTCGACTGCATCTTTGTGTTTGTGTTGTTTTACACTCACGGACGACCACTCTTGCAGTGGGCGGCTACCTGCGATAATTGACGTGACTGTTTTTATACTAGAAGAGCAAATCTGTTTTATGTGAAAAAAATTAACCAAATTATCGGAAACTATGGAACAGGATACGCATCTCGACTGCATCTTTGTATTTGTGTTGTCTTTACACTCACGGACGACCACTTTTGCAGTGGGCGGCTACCTGCGATAATTGACGTGACTGTTTTTATACTAGAAGAGCAATAGTCTGTTTTATGTGAAAAAAATTGTCCAAATGATCGGAAACTATGGAACAGGATACGCATCTCGACTGCATCTTTGTGTTTGTGTTGTCTTTACACTCACGGACGACCACTTTTGCAGTGGGCGGCTACCTGCGAAAATTGACGTGACTGTTTTTATACTAGAAGAGCAATAATGTCTTTGTTTTATGTGAAAAAAATTGTCCAAATGATCGGAAACTATGGAACAGGATACGCATCTCGACTACATCTTTGTGTTGTAACTGATACTAAACCAATAAAATAAGCGAGTACTATAATATTACCTAATAAATACGTAAAGCAATTAAACTGGATGGTAATGATTACTTTCTGTCCCTGCCTGTGAGGAACCCACCACATGTTGTTAACGTCGGTTGTAACGTTCTCACCGTTGATTAGTGATTCCAGGCTGGAATTTTTGGACATAGTATTGCACTGAATATTTTCTTCAGTGATCTCTATGATATCCTCGGATATGCCCACGATCTCCAGACCGGTTAACCCGATAACGTTAGTGTAACCCCAGTTCGCGAGTAAAATTATATCTATGCGATTTCCACCTAAGAGTATCTGGTCTCGGGAGGTCGGTTCCGTATAACTATTCTTCATCAGCGGCATACCAGTATAAGGACGGCTCTGATATAAAAAAGATTATAACAGTGTGCTCTAGGGTAATTCAATTGTGGGTACCTCCATTGTGGCAACGGTCGGAGGTCGCTCCATAGTGGACGGCAGTTCCGGCCTTGATGTCGTAGATAGGGTTGAGAATGAAAGATCGTTCTTCGAAATCGATTCCAAAATGTTCTCATCCGTTGTGAATAAAATTGTCTACAATTAAATGTCGAAGACCAAACAATTGAAAAGCTTCGTACTTACATCTCCGAAGGCGTCCACGCCTCCCAACATACCCCCGCAAGCTTTAGCAATTTCGCCTTTAAATATAGGAATGTCGTCCAATGTGATTACGGCATGGCGAACGCCGCGATATGAATGAATACGAGATTTGTTATAATTCTAGAAATTATTACATTTGTCAATGTTAACTAACAATAACATTTCTCGGAAGTGTAAAAAGTCTTACCCATATTCGCATCATTGCAATTGCCGTGTGGTACGTAAAAGTGATGGTAACGCTGTGACTGAGACCCTTTTCAAATGGCGTCAACCAGAGGTGGACGTCATCTTGAGTGCGATTAATTCCGTCCAATAAATTTTGAACCACCCGAGGATCATTGCAGTTTTCCGGTAGGACGTTAACGTCGGCCGGTGAAGCTTCAATCTGCAATCAGATCGATCTGATTAACTTATTAACCCAGGAAACGGCTCCTAGGTTGTTGCTACCCATAATGTAGTCTGGACCTCACTAGTGCTTGAATTTATAAAAGCTTCAGATGTTGTTTGAAGTTCACTTAGTCCCTTACTCCACATTTTTGGGTCTTTATACTTATTTGCCACGCTCTATGTGCTAGCAGCTAGATGATCATAAGATAACTCACCTTCTGCACACTGATAACATTGCCTTCATCTCCAAATAACTCAACCCCGTTCAATCCCACATAGTGCTTATCACCCCACGTGCTAAATATGTGAATTTTTAGCACCCTCCCAGTGGGCAGCTCAGGTATTACAAAGTCAGAATCTCCATTCGACTGCGTGAATCGCATCTGATTATAACTCGGCAACTCGGCTTCCGACTTCTTCTTGTAACTCCTCTGCTTCAGTCGTTCGGTAATGCGTTCGTTCTCCGTAAGCAGCTCGTTGATAATTTTCTCTCGTAACAAATTCTCCTGGTTCACCCGAAGTTTGTACTCGCTCAGCTGCCTTTCGATGCTGTTCTTGGCGTTGAAATCGTATATGTCCTCGGACGATTTCGATTTGCTCGCCAGACCGCGATTGTTAAACATGCAGGATTCGGTGGCCTTTTGTATGTTGGAGTAGACGTAGAATGGGACGTAATGCGACAGTTCGCTTCGACTTCGGATCGGCGTCTTATTTTCCAAAAGGAACGGACTGTAGCAGTCGCCCATTTCGAATTCTGTACTTGCATTCCCTATAATAAATGAGGCAGCTTTACGAAGTCAGTCTTTTATTGACATACCATAAGAAGAATAAAAAAAGTCATTTTTGGCACTATCTAATCTTCCCTTATGGGTCTTTGCGAATGAATTCAAACTCCTCCATGATTTCTCCAAATCTGTTTGCTTCATCTCCTTATGTAGGGAGGCGAAGTCGTGGTTTCCTTCTAGTTGTGGCACGATGTAATCAAACTTGGAGAGCTTTAAGTGTCGTGGTGTCTGACGGGCATAAATTTGAGATGACAATGAGGCCCGTCTTCCAAATTTCGGTGAGTTCTCCTTCGGTCGTCTGTAATTACCCAAATAATTACTTTTTCGCTAAACTACAACCGGTGTCACTCACGTGTTTGGTTTTTCTAATGTTACATCCCCCGAAAAGATTCTCGAGGGAATATCAGAACCGTCTTTTAGTCGACTTAAATCGACGAGATGGAAGAATCTATCACTGTCATCTGCGGTACTTTCCCCATTTGAATTTTGTACAACAGTCCTGCAATTAAATGGGGTGGTAAATGCTGTCGTTACACTTAACTGCTTATTACCCCGTTATATCATCGAGCCATTTCGGTATTTGGCCGTGACTAGGAATGTTTGGCCGTTTACTGGTATTAAATATTTGATTGATATCGTCACACTTCTTGCTAGTTGTCATGCTTAAATGAATTATGTAATAAGCCGCGGCAATTATGAGAATTATCGTCCTAAATATTAGACATACCTGTTCGAGTATATGTTATTTACAACTTTAAAGCAACAATATATAAAATAAGCTTATCAATTTGTTAAAATTTAAAGATTTTCGCTACATAACTAAAAAATTTTGTTTGTTTTGCGTTTCAACGTTGCTATGGTAATACCATTTTCTATCGACTTTGCAGTACCTAGACGTATTTTATCCACCTGCTTAGGTCATGGTCAACTGCCCTAGTAGCCTTTGATACATGCGTACCTGTATCACTACAAAACCATGCTTCCTTTTTTCTGTCGTTATCAAAGAACCTCTTAAGCACCCCTTCTCAAGTGTAGGTATATTTTACACTTAGGTACTCAAATGTGTATCTCTGCATGCAGATTAGGTTTCCAAGTTTGGAAATTTTTAACAGCCTGTCCTAAGATGGACAAAGTATGAATGTATAATGTTTAAGACAATTTCGGATAAGCAGTCACTCCCCATTCAGTAGGAGTAAAAGCATTTGAATAAGCGTTCATAAGGCGGTCAACAACACGCACGGCAACCTCCAAAATGGCAAACTATCGACACAGATTATGGCACCAAAAATAATTTTAAATGAAGACTTTTCAACAGGCCTGGAAGCCGATCTCTCTTACAGCCCTTTTTATTATTGTAGACGTCTTGAGAACCGATGGTCACATTAGGTTCAATGGATGCCGCCCGCGGCACTTTTGGTTAGCATAGAGTTGTTATCGGAAGCCCCTGGTGGGCCTTTGTTCTTGGATAAAGACATCATTTGAATATGGTAACGCTAGAACATACAGGGATTAATCCACCCTGACGATACATAATCAAAAGTGCCAAAGCGGTGACATTACAATATGATAAGTTACAAAGGTCATTTCAATTTGATTCTATAAGAAGCATCCATCATGCGCAAAACAAATTTTTGATTTACGGTATTGTATGACATTGAACTTGGCGCATGCGCAGATCTCAAGGTCAAAGGAACTGACTATCTTTTTTTGGAGGACTATAGTTTGATGAGGTAAACAGTTTTATTTATCTGAGGGAATAAAGTTTCTAGTAAATGTGACGAAGGAAAAGATGTAACTGGAGGTTATTAAAAGGAAATAAATGTGCAAGAGCATGATAAGTGCGGTAGCACCAAAAACTCATCTTTCAAGATTAAAAAAAGAGTATAAGACAATACGAAAACCAGCTACTATGCAAATCCTCTTAAGTTTCACATATCCTTTGCAAGTGTCTGATACGCCTAAGAGAATCTGTGTTGGATCTAGTCCCCTGAAAAACCCACGTTCCAATGGTTTATTTATTTATTTACGTTTATTGATCTCATACACGAAAACAAAAGTAAGAGATACGTCGATTAAATTATTGGAAAAAGCTAGCTATTGATACAGAAAATCAGATATAGTAATAATTTTGGATTAACATGTGCTTTAATCTATCATTGAAGCTCGCTTTTGTTGGTGCATCTATTATCTCCTTGGGCAGTTTGCTATAGATCAGTCAGCCTTAATCGATGTTGTGGTAATAGTAACTTCTTGCCGAATCTTGTACATCTCCCGTGAATGGCTAGGTTTGTACGAAATTTGTTGAGGTTCCCTCTGACATAGTTAGCCGCCTCATATATATACAGAGAGGGTAATGTCATTATGCGTAGCTCTTGAAATAATGGTTTGCAGGATACCCCACTTTTGGCACCCACCAAGCATCTTATAATTTAAAGCACAGTTCAACCACCATGGCAAAAAAATGACGATTAAATCTTGTATCTTGTTGTTGTGTTTTAATAGTCATTGACTGAAATCAGTTCTATTCTACAAAACACACGCCATCCCAAAACTTCCAAACGATTTACGGTTTATTTCAAAGATCATCTCATACATGGCTACTATACTTTAAATGTCTTTTATTCAAACACAAGCCTTTACACGTCTAAATCTAACTTAAGGTAATTTACAAATATTCACATCTAATTAGTTTTAAAATAGTACACGATATTCTTATCTCTCAAATTTAAAAGTGTGTGGAAGAACTACATAATATCAGACTTGTACACAATACTTGAATCGGTTAGGAAGAGGAGAGCATTTCTGTAAAAATTTACAAACAGGAAAAACTCAAAATGCTTCCCCCGCACCAAGTGGAATACATTTGTCTAAAAATAAATAAGTTTCTAGGAGTATTTTGTACAATCATTGTGAGATTACTAAATATTAGGAAAATTCACGCGAGTAGAAAAAACGTGACACACAATAACTCTGTAGTGGTATCAATGTTAGCTAGGTTACTGTGTACTACAAGAGAGCTGCTCTAAATAGTAGATTTAAAACTTTTGGTAAAACTGGGCAGTTGAAAGACCCAAGGGTATAGTCAAAACCAAACATGAATAGAAGTTCTAAAGTGTACAAAGATCAATTGCAATTCCACACTAAAGCATTGAGTAGATATCTGCCTTTCTCCAAGCCTTTGAGTTCACCCAGTTTTCTGCTTAGAAACTTAGAGAAAGATAAATCTGTGGCTGTTTGGTTCTGACCGTAGTACTATCAACAGTTGGGCAAACACGTTGCATATCAAATCACAGTTGTGTCTAAACATTTAGGAAGAGCATAATAAATACATCAACTACTTACAAAATAGTTTCTACATTGCTAGGTTTAATAATAGAAGGATAGCGCATGCGCAAAAAACAAACCTGACCTTTTTCGACAAAAAAAAAACAACACTGCAAACAGGCCAGGTGTGATTTTCTTACAAAAATAACTTTAAAAAATAGTTTTGAGATCATAGCAGTACTTGGTATCCAAGATCAGAACGTTCACTTCATTTGCGAGAAATTTTAATTGTTGTCGAGACTTTCTCATCCTTGACACAAACTACTAAACCATTTTTTACCTTTGCTAACTAGACATGCAAAGATCCAGTTTATTGGAATAAATTACTTTGAAATTATATTTCATGCATAAATAGCTGCATGTATCTATAAATTACCTACAGGCTAAATGGTACTCTGGTAACTGCCAAGAATGAAGACTAAGCGTGATAAAAAAAAATTAGGTCAGTGATAAAACCTAACCTATCATTTAATAATAAATTAATTGTTTATACTAAGAAACGTATTTCAGCAGAATATGAACATGTAAGACAGAAAATTCGTCACAGAAAGTACATTTTTCGCAATCTCCAAACAAATAGTAGGTACCTGCTTGCTTTATATTTTGGCTCCCAACGTGGGGCATGCAAAAAAAAATCTAGCAGTCGCAGAACTACAAGCAAAATGAACAGTGGATTTGCCTAACTTGCCTCAACACAAAAACAAGAACTTTATTGCAAACTTAGTCGCCCTATAGTTTCATCTGATCCAAACTAAAAAGCACCACCACATTCTTGAGACACCTACTAAACCAGCCCATGAGAGTCTATGCCAAGAAATAAAACAATAGAATCTAATGGAAGAAATGATAGTGAGAGTACCTATACTGAAAAAGGCAGTCAATATTTTAGAATTGCGTAATTCATTATGCTTCATGAAAAGATCCGGATCCCACACAGTTGATGGGTTGGTCCGTGGGTATGAGCCGTTGATGATTGCCGCTAAAGAGTATGGTGTAACAATAGTTATTTATATAACAAGTGCGCGAAGTTCAATTTTGCGCATGGAGACTGAAGGTATTTTGACGAGGCGCTAACAATAACTTACATTGCGAAAGTGGAAAGCTGTTTGATAGCAGACGATATAAATACAAAGTTCATTACCCGATCACTGACGTGCGAAGAGGTAGTTGTAAAAACAACGTCATTTCTAGGAAGGCATACTACCAGTACCATAAAGAAACCATCGATTCTAGAAAACGGTGTAATTCAGGTAACGTGAACCTTTTGATTTGTAATTAAATAACAATCGGCTCAAGAAATTTAAAATTAAATTTTATTGAAAGTAAATAATCAGAAAAATTCCTAGAGGATTCCATTTTTGTAAATTAGGCGAATGGAGCAAAATTGTATTGAAATCATTCAGAAAGAATTTTGGGTTCTTTCTATTGAAAATGTATTGTCAGTTTAAGTGAGAATATTCCCGTATACACGACAACTGTAGGATTTTTCCTTAGTTTACGAGCACGTCATCGGTCCTGTTTGTAATGCCAACATATTAATTTTTTTTTTTTTCTTTATGTATGTTAGGATCTATTTTATTAATTTGGAACTTTTTTCTTTTTTTGTTTAAGTATAGATTACACTGTACAATACTTTACTATTGCTACTTTGTCCTGTAATTGGGCGATAAACCTGTAGGGCAATAAATAAATAAATTAAAATAAGAAAGTCATTTTAAACCACAATAAACCTTGGGATTAATTTCACGCCTGCATTGCGACATGTCAATGTGAATGTTGTTGGAGCCCACCGCTTCCTTCTGGAGAGGTTGGCCGTTAAGTACCGTCCTGCTATAGAAGCATATTACGAGTACAACAAGACCCTTCAGGCATTAGTCAATTAATATACCAAACTCTGTGGCTTGGAATGTTTTATTGTGATTATTTGCAGGTTTTGGATGCGAGAACTGAGCTCACTTCTTGACAAACTAAGGAATATCCTGCATGTGCTCTGAATAAAACTAAGACGTCAATATATAAACGAAACCTACCTTCTTCAGTATCTTCTTATTTTGGGTATACAAAATAAAGTCGGCTCTATCATAGTCTCGATATCCGCCGACGACTTCGACCATCAGGAAAATCCTACTATGGCTATAAGGTTTTTTTATATAATTACCATATGTCTTGATTTATACAAGGGGTAAGTTAGAAAAAAACATGGCCACAATATAGGGTTTATACTTTAAGTACAGTACTCTTCGTAACCCTACAATCTTTAAGTAAAAAAAATGTAATGGAGATGGTGTTGTCAGCAGTGAGTACCTACACCAGAAAATTCTGTTGAATTGAATGAATAGGTATTTCTATATATATATATATATATATCACAGCTTGTTTCTCTTTAAAATCTGTTAGAAGAATTGAATTTCATGTAAAATACAATAAAACATTTTCTATACATTTCCTCAGCTCCCCTAACCTACTATACATTTACAAACATCCGTGCCCAAACCTGGATTTAAACCAGGGACCCTCAGTATCACAGTACCGTTCTAGATGTGAAAGAGACATTTTGGTATAGATTCAGTATGATTTGTGGAAAATATGACAACACTGCAAAATGTTACATGACATTTCCAGTCGTATTTCTGCAAGTGAAGTAAAAAATTGTCACATTTCGGCCATCTTGGATACCATGAGTGAGCAAGTATTCGTTGTAAAATAACGAAGGTATATCAAAAATAATATCATTTTTGCATTAAATAAATAACCAGATCATTCTGCTCACAACCCTGCTACAGCCACGGCTCGGGGTATATTACTACATCTTTTTGCGAGGGTAATAGAAATGAATTTTTTTTCATTTTCACTTCAGCAAAATAACAGAGTCGGGCCACGACCCGACTTTTCAATTAAAAAAATTTTATACTAGTAATAATTTGCTTTGGTCCAAAATTTGTGGGGAGAATGCTTTACATTCGACGAGTCGATTATTGTTTAAAAATTGAACTACTTACAGATTGGCATCTATTAACTGTCGGTTAAATAGGAAGAGTCGAGGATAGGTACTTCGGGATATAAATAGTTAAGTATAGCGTAATAGTGAACAGCGGCAGCCATTACGACGAATAGGTGCCATATAGCGTGAGCACACGGAATTGAGCCATCCATCTTAAAAAATATCACACCGAGAGCGTAAACCATCCCACCAATTTTTAACTCGGTCTTACCGTGAAAGTCGTGCTAAAAAAAATCGTGTTACGTGGGGCACAATGCAGTATCATTTTAAAGTAAGGTCACATAATTTTAATTTCTTGTAACGCCTAAAGCCTCCGATCCTAAAATCGATCATACCAACTCAATGAGGACCAAAATTGCAAGTGCTATGTACAGGGTGAGTCAACGATTGCGCGGAGTAACTTAATGCTTTGAAGATAGAGTGCTTTTGCATTATGAAATGGTTGAATATTCTCCACATTTTAAAAATATTTGGAATTATACAGGGTGCGCCCACAAAGTAGGGCGCCAAAATGGTACACTTTTTTAAATAAAACCCCCTGTATTTGAATGCATTTTTGAATTCTACGTGTAATTGTACCTCTTTTTTTATTGTATGGTTAATATCCGAAAAGCTAGTAGTTTTTAAGATAATTCGATTTTTAAGAAAAATTAGGCATTTGCAAATGATGACAGAAAAATATACAGGGTGTTCCATTAAAAAAGTGAGATTTTTAATATGAAGTTCTGCAACTTTGGACCTACCAAAAAACACCCTGTAAGCTATATTTTTAATGTTTTATAGTAGATGTATTTATTTGACTTTTACTAACCCAGGATAAAAAATATAAAACCTGGAATCAAAATTTAAGTAATAATTTTGACAATATATACTGACCTTGAAAATGCCCAATTTTTCTTAAAAATCGAATTATCTTTAAAGCTACTAGTTTTTCGGATATTAACCATATAATAAAAAAGACGTACAATATAACGTAGAATTCAAAAATGCATTCAAATACAGGGGGTTTTATTTAAAAAAGTGTACCATTTTGGCGCCCCACTTTGTGGGCGCACCCTGTATAATTCCAAATATTTTTAAAATATGGAGAATAATCAACCATATCATAATACAAAAGCAGTCTATCAAAAAATCTTATCTTCAAGGCATTAAGTTACTCCGCGCAATCGTTGACTTACCCTGTACATACCCACCAATAGAGCATGAAATTCATTTCACTGCGTTTGGGCATGAGAAATTAGTGCATAAATAGCCTTTTTTAGGTGAAAAAACGGACTTCGATAAGATTACAGAGGACTGTAATGTTGGTGAACAGCAGAAAACTATCAGGTTATAGGCACCCCGAAATAGCGTTACAAGGATTTAACACCGCGCGGCCTTACTGTAAAGTGCACATACAGTAATGCTGTAAAATAAGAGAGATGTATGGACCTGCTGTTCTCATTATCAGGCAATATTGTACTCGATGCAATGTAAGAGAGGTCAAATTTACGGTTAGTTTATCACAATTGCGGTAGCGGATAACATAAATTGTAGATCTTTAAGGCGAGTAACATTAGCGTATTTTTCATGAATTGATCAGTACCTACTTCCCGAAAGGTCATATAACGGACTATTGATATGTACAAAGGAAAATAAGTTATATTCTTAAATATTCATATAAGAAACATAGCATTGCGCAGTTTACGCATGCCCACACCTGATGTTTGAAATATGCGATATGTTTGCCTTTATTAGAAGAACCCTTCAAAAAATATTTATAAAAAGGAGTTGACATTGACATCTGATTTTTACAATGCAACATATTGATATTGTGAAGGTCACGAGTTTTTGATATATTGCAGGAACCTTCGAGTTAAATAGTAAAGTGCCATCTACTACTTTCAAATATATTTATTATACATATGTTCTCTGTCCCCCCTAAAATTGAAGTTTCTTATGCTGCATCGATCATAAGTCCATACATCTCTCTTATTACACACACTGATATACCTACAATGATGATACTTACCTGAACAATGAAGGGAAATGGAAATATTCCCATAATCACGTAACAGATCGTCTCCAACATTTTGTACTTTTCGTGGAACACTTGCTGGTAAACGATCCCGAGAGCCGCCAAAAGCCACACCAGCCACTTCATGGAGGAAGCCCAGCAATTGGAAGGTAACGACTGGAGAGTCAACCAGGGAAAGTACGAGCCGGCTATGAAAATGTAAATCATGGCGCGGTCGCAACGATGCAGCACATCCTTCAAGTGCCTGCAATTTAACAATGAGAATGGCCGCGCTCGCCCGGACGAGAGACGTACCCGTGCTTATGACGATAGAAAACGCAGTGGAAACATGTCGACACGCAGAAGAGGAAAATTAACGCCGCACCATAGACTAAACCTGAAAAAAATTGAGCACCGTTATGCGAGCGGTAGAGCAGTTCAAGTGTTGCCCAAATACTTGGAGCGATCCAAATACCGTGCGTGATCACATTGGCGATGTGCTCGACTTCTGTCGGTCTGTAAGCCTCCTTCGGCGAGGCGCGCTGGTTCATCCAGTTGATTCTAAATCAAGACGATTATTTATATCAAACTTTTTACCTGGGATTGGACAAAGAACAAATTTGGGATCGGGACTCATTCGCCCCAATGTTATTCCTAAAGCTGTTAACGTCGATTATTATCAACGCAAGGATCCTGGATAAACAAAAACCAGGTCAGAGGTCTAGATGAAGCTGGAAGGTGTATCATTAGATACATCCGCAGGTAAACCTAGAGCCTGTACAGTGTACAGTATGAGTGGGAAGGCGCATGCAGATGTATCCCTGTAGATCGGGGGATACTTACTCAGTTGTAACGCTTCAAGAATCCAGACAGAGACTTTTGCTATTAACGCCTGCACCCAGATGTTGTTAGAGAGTAATCTTGGGAACCGAAAATGGTGGGTTTATACAATGAGGTGTTAATTGGACTATCGATTTTAGAAATTTCAATCCGGCCAATTAGGTTAACGAAATTAACAGTAGCTAAATAAATGTGTTGCAGTAAACGTCATTCCACATACTCGTGTGGAGTTTCAAAAGAAGCCCTGTTAATTGATTTGAATTTTGGGACCAATTACAGATTTTTGGGACGTCAGCAGGCCACACAATTAATTAAAGACTAATTTTTGGATGTAGATAACCAAATACGCCGGCCGACTTGGAACTTCCTACGTTACCTCCATGGCGTAGTCGAATTTTATAAATGATAATCGCTTAATTTACGGGGGATCAGGGCCGTAGCCAGGGGGGCGCCAGGGGGTGCTGGAGCACCTCCTGGTCACCACCGGAGCACCCCTTGTGATAAAATGATATTCATGCCAAAATAATAATTATATAGTTTTATAGTTGACGTTGATGTCAACAAATGCATCACATTCCAGAATTGTGGCTAACAAACAATAAAATTTAGACAACAATAGGTAAGTATTGCGGAATGTGGACAGTCTGATTCATTTCAATTCAACGAGAAGTTACTTATTGCACTATCCAGCCTAGAAGACGATCTCGATTTCTCGAAAATCAAGTACTTGGAAACTCTTAACGATATAAGAATACCATCTCCGGAAGAGCTTTCCGTAGTACAGAAATTTCTGGTACGACGACGAGAGGAATCAGACGAAGCAGTAAATATATTATACAATGAAGTGAACAAGCAAAAAATTGCCTTTGAGGACACCTATAGGTTGATGGCGACGGGAAGGACATTTGGGTGTAGTACGGCTTTATGCGAGTCCTCGTTCTCTGTGCTGACAAGAATAAACAGACCACAACGCGTTTCCATGCTACACCAAAGAATGGCTAATTTAATATTTTTATCATTTGAAAAAGAATTTACAAAAAAAATTAATTTAGACCATTTTCTGCAAATATTTAATAGTAAAAAAAATCGAAAATTGCAACTATATTAATTAATAGGTAGACGGTATATTTGTTGTTATTATTATTCTTCTCTAAATCAGCATTACTGTAATAATTATATTTAGTCACATTTCTTATTTATGCGTTAATGGTGTAATAAAAATATTAAATAAATTCCCAAAAATCAGTACATCCAAGTATTTTGTCGGCACCCCCTCAACTTTACTCCTGGCTACGGCCCTGCGGGGGATCTTTTGCATTTTCGCAAGTACCGCCATTTTGAGCTTTTCCGTACATTTATTTTGCCTTCATACAATTTAATTTTTGCTTTTACATTAAGTTTATCGCACCGTATCTACAGCGTTTAATGTTTCTTGCACAGTAATTTTTACCACCCCATTTAATTGCTTTTTGTTCCATTATTTATAAGGGGGAAATATTGTTTCGCTTTTCTGCATTTGTTTTCCCAAAGATACCGCTACCGAGTCCGTTTATTTACTGTTCCCGCTTAGGGAAATTGCCGTGCACTTTAATTTTTAATTAATTAATTAACCAGTAGCCGCCCACCACTTCCCCTTTAGGCAAGACCGTACCCTTGATGGCGCTCGTGTCCGTCCGTTCGTTCCGCCGACAGAACACACAGGTTGCCGCCAACTGCCGCTGCATGTCGCCACATGATTTAGTAACTATAAAGCCCCATTCACATAGGTGGTAGTGCGGTGCCGTTGCCTTGTTGTGCGGTGCGAGTCGGTGCTGTCAAGTTGACATTTGCTTTCACAATCACCGCAAAATTGGCCCGCCTACACAAGTATGCCCAATCAACGACAACAGCAACAAATATGTTGCACTTCTATTGGTGCTTGCTAACGGTAGTGCAGAAAGTTTGAAGTTTACATACTTTCGGCACGCGGCTGCAATTCGTCTGCACTGCACATGTCATTGTGAATTGTCATATGGATATGCGTATTTCAAACTTTTATACAAAGGCACCGCACCGCAACAGCACTGCACTACCACCTATGTGAATGGGGCTTAACTTGTAAATGTACTTATTTATTTTTATTGTAAATGAAATTATAAGCATAATTCCGCAAATGTTTATTTAATTTTTCACGCCGTTGGTGCACGGACTTACTACCGAACTTCGTCGCAAGGCCACATTAAACGCTCTAGGGTGCATATTTGAAACCTGTTTGCAGAACATAATCACATGAAGCTGATATGGTCCAGGCATACTGCCTTTAAGGGTAAAAAGACTACTGGAGCAACATCTCTGGTCACAGACAAGCGAGGAGACAGGTAAGGCCCCAAGAGCTATAAACCTGCTAAAGTTTAGTTGACTGTTGACTGAAGAGACACTTCCACAATACAGGCAAAAGGTACCAGGAGGAAGAAACTCATCTACCTGCCTACACTGTGGGGCATATAACGTTCAGGCCCAGATTCCTTGCACCCAGGAGTGTTACAAGATACTGCTCTCAAGAGAATTCTAGATTTCTTCAAAGATATTGACATCCTAAATGAGTGAGACTAAAACTAGACAGTACCTACAGTAAGTGTTAAGGCTGCTGTACAAAGACCTGATTATAGGACACCACCTGAGATCAATGGATAGTCTGGAAAATTTCCAAAAAACCACAAACAAATTCAAAAATAAGAGCAGATTGACTTTTTGAACACCATATTACGGGCAATAGTAAAATTGTGTTTACTGATTATCTATCTGAAGACCCTGTACAAATGACAACTAGTACCTACCTACCACTAATTAAGATGGTAGATACATCACATAAGTAGGATGCAAAAATAAGATATGGTTTTTTTACTGGCCACTCCTGCAATTTACTCAACACCTTTGGAATTTCCTAACAATGAGAGATTATTGACTATTTAAACCCTTCTACAAACAATAACCAGTTTAAATAAGATTCTCATAAACCTAATAGGTAGATAGCGACATATTGATGCAAGAATCAGATCCGTCTTCTATACCTCCTGTTGTATATGTGTTTAAAACTGCTGGTGACAATTAAAAAGAGCATCAATTGTTTCCTAATCTATGCAGATAGCTTTAGAAATAACGGCAAGTTGAATTTCACTATCTTGAGTAACTAAAAAAATAATTCGATGAAATTATAGTACCCTCAAGATCTATCGCACCCTCTTCCAAATTTGCTTTTGGTCCACTACTCATATGAATAGGTCTACAACTACAACAAAACAATCGACTTACTTTTTTAATTCGTTCCATAGCACACCGCGTAGCAACACTTCGTACAACCTTGTTGTGGAATAATTATTTTGCATGCCTGTAACGGAGAACAAGTTAATCGAACGAGTTATACACAAAATATGAGAATTTTTACATCGGGTACAAGGTTGAGAGTTTACTTAACAAGTAAAACAGTGAAGAGCCAATTTTAAAAGGGGTATAATTAGAGTAGGTAATTAATCAAAGAACGTAGGCAAGGGGGTGTATTTAATCGATAGTGTAACGTTTAGTAAAGTGCACAAAATCAACCAAACGCGCACTTTTTCCAAATTGAAACGATTTTCATTCAAGAAAAACCTACCAAAATTGGCGATACAAAAACAATTTCCCACAATGGTCGTTTACAGACACCGTTTACGTCAGGTGATTGTCAAATTTTGGCGCGAATTTTAAATTCATGCACTTACCGAAATAATAGTTCATTCCACAAGCGATTTTTTCGGAATTGGATTATGTAAAACGACTTGTTTGGCTTCACAATCGATAACTTTTAAGTTTTCAATTACCAGTTGTAGCTATACATTACGGAAATTAATGAGTTTAATTAAAGTTTCAATGAAATATCGAAACCACAGATTTAAAATATTTAAATCTGTGTCGAAACGCTCCCGCTTGATAACAAAACGGGTTAAAGAATACATATAATATGTAAAATATAGATGATAATAGTTAGTCTTTGAACTTGGATTGCTGCCAGTAAAGGCTTCTTTAAGTTACAAATCAACTCCTTGAACCGCGTCAGCGATAACGCGTGTATATAATAATTAACATTTTTTTATACTTAGCTGTTATTACAGATAAAGTAAAATTAGAAATTGAAATTGATGTAGGTACTTACTTTGTATTGTATGTAAATGATCGTAAGAGAAATTAAAGCTCGCGCGCTAGTCAAAGATAATGGAAACTGAAACATGTAAACAGCATGAATACATAATATCCCTGTGTATGATTACGTAAAGAGAATAATATATCTGAAGTAAATTTAGAATACCTATTTATTTAAAGTCACTTGATCCATACGCTTTTTTAATTGGGTTAACTCGTTTTGATTTCGAGTTTCGGCCACGACTTGACGCACCAATTGACTAATAAAGTGGAAGCTGTAAAAGCCAAGTGCAGGCAAAAGATTTGGACTTTTTGGAAATTTGTGTGCTGGCACATCCGAGAAGACGGGCGAACGGACAGACGTTACGTACAGTAGCAAATACACAATGCAGTAATGAAGGTCTCAGGTCTTTATGTTTTTGTTAAAAATGATACACTCAGGTCTTGGCCGTCGGGGGGCGGTAGGTAAAACAATTTTAATGCCTTTTTGTAAAAATTGAACATTGTCATAAGTAGGTAGTCAGGTGTCATATCAAATGCTACAGCTGAATTCTACAAAGGTGAGGCCTACCGCCTGCGTCATTAGTTTGTGAACCAATTTCAAACGAGTTCTTTATTCTCTATCACATGTCAACACATGGGCGAAAAAGAACTCAACCAACAGTATTGCACTATTTTTAGCGCATTTTTGAAAAATACGCTATTATATTAATTATTGCTGGCTGGCTGGCTGTCCGGCTGAGATCTATCAGCAATTACAATTGCTAGAGACTTTAAATTTTCACTAAAAGCTTTCTGTTATCGTGTAGATGTGCATGCTCTAGTCTATTTTGAGTTAGATTACTCGTCTGCCTGTCTGTCTGTCTGTCTGGGTCACAATCGCTCCGGAACTACACCACTTACAAACTTGATATGGTGTCAATCAATCAGAAATTAAAAATTATTTCATGTTATTGCATTCTCGTTAAAGCATAAGGGCTATTAAAATTGAAAAAACAAACTTGAAAGTGCACCCTTCGCCCCTTGTTCACAAGCGACTAAAAGCATTTTTTTTTTAATATTCTCCCGATGTAACTACGCAAGTATTTTGTTTTTAACGCTAATTGAGTGCAAAAAATTCTACTTCAGAAAAAATTATTACACATACACGAAAGTACCTATTAGTGGTTCTACGTGTTTCGTTTCTCTCTTTTTCTTTCACGCCAATACAACCACCTTCCAGAAGAAATTAGCAATTGGAATCCCAGTAGGTTTTAAAATGAAAGGGCGGATTTCATCTCTTTATGGGTCGCTAACTGAATGCCAATTACTTAAAAATTAAGTAGGTACCTAAATTAAGTGTTCAGTAATCAGAAAAGGTCACAATATCAAATGCAGAATCTTACCCACTTTAATCCACAAGCTATACACTACTTATTCGTGCAGCGTACCTACCTATAACTCGAATCTGAGCTGAACTGAGAGCACTAAAAAAGAATACCTTCAGGCACGCACGCAGGAAATTTAATCCATAATAAAAACATGTAAACATATTAAATTAATTATATAAGTTATGTTCAACAAGGATTTGCAATTACATATTTTTAAAGATACCGAAGTAAGGTCGTTCAGTACATAATCCATTTGCAAAAAATACTGTTTTATTAGCGATTTACGTAAACCATATTGTTTGCAGGGGTGGGCTACAATATACCCTTATAATAAAATTTCGGTCTTGCAGTTTTGGTAATTGCCCTTTGTGCTAATGCCAATTGCCAAATAGATGCATACTAAAAACTGAATTTTATGGCAGATAGGCAACACAAGATGCATACAAAGCCATTTACCGCCATTATTTGTTTGCGAGCTTGGAATCGATTGTCTTTTTTCATCCCTAAGGGCATTGTAAGGGGAATGCCAGAAGTCGCGGGCGATTATAATTACTAATGAAATCCTCATCAATGATCAAGGTGCAAGAAATGTACTACTGTCCGTTTAAGGGCAAAATTATAGATAGAAAGGTAAAGAGACACGGAACTGGAAATGAATAGGTTTTCGTCGAGATGAACTACTTAAAACCTTACACCCTCCCAAACGAAGATGGGAGGGTCTCGAATGTGAATTAGAAGAAGGCTTACCTAGACTAGAGATGTTAGACAGTTTGGTGTTTACATTTGAACTTCTTTCATTGACTTAACCACTATAGTGATATTATTCCAGAGAGAAGTGCTCCAAAACTACCTATTTTATGTTGTTTAGACAAAAAAAGGATACGCGGCGCTTTTAGTCTAAACAGCATCTCAGGAAATAATTCATGGGGGAGGGGGGGTCTTTTAGACAGCGAAATTGATGGCCGTCTGGCACACCTTCAAGGTATAGGCTACCGCTACTGCAAAAAATTCCAGGACTTTAGGTCCATTCCCCTAGAAGCGAAACGGCAGAAGTGGGTCCGGACGGACGGACGGACAAAACGCAAACAATAGCACATTTTTTTTAATTCTTAAAAAATGCGCTAAAAACACACGGTTAGAGTTGCCGAAGATTCTAATATGAAATAAATCTCAATTCACGTGAAGTAGTGAAGTCATATAGCTACGGAGAGGACAACTCATAAATAGTAGGTATAGAGTTCAGGTACACCACGCTAGTGAAGCATAATTATGGCCTCTGTGGGGCCACTTTATTAAAGGGGTGAAAATAATATATGCTGCAACAACAGAAAAACCAAAGGTCCTGAAAAACTTTTAGCAGCAGGTTGTAGAAATTCGAACTCTACTTGCAAAGTTACGTGAAAAAATCGAAATTGTCAAAATGTTGATACGATTTGTATCGAAAATTTTGAAAAAAAAACTTGATTTAGGTTGTATTACAAATTTAACAAAATTACCGATTCGGCATCTCTTTTTGTCGTAAACAATACGTCCCTTACAGAATTTCGCTGGTCTTATCTAGTTAAAAAAAAACCAAAATCATTATCCCCATCGTCGATTTTTTGCGGACTTTTCGCCCACTGGAGTTCGTCGCAACTGTCAAGCAAATAAGGGGAATTTTACCAACTGGAAAACAATTAAAAAAAACCGGCGTGTGACGCCGTGATCTAGTTTACAACAAATAATAACTCAAATTGTTATTATTTCAACCGGTAGACTGGATGTGTACAGGATCGAAAGCGGCTAAGAGTCGATATATGTTCAGGGATGATTTTGAGGGTTGTGGACGTTTATTATGTTAAAAAGGACCAAAAAGTGCTTCAATTTGTGTAATTTTTCCAGATAGACATAATGCGAAACTATATCCCTGCTTATACCGGGTGGTGCCTAGCGCGACGCAGCATATGGATTTCAATGGTAATTTCTTTATAGTCAATTACTATCCCCTAATTATTTTAGAGCAAAAGTGTAAATACTTTTTTTTTTTAGAGAAAAAATACTGCATCTGCTCATACTATTAGTTATTATTTTCCCTTTTTCAAAACCGTAGAAATCGACAAATTAAAAAGGTTCATTTTACAATAAATCAAATATGCCTTGGAATTTCCTAAAAAAACAGCGATCACGTTTCATTATTTGCCTTTGACGTATATTAAATTTATACTTGTTTATAAACGAGTTAAAGAACTGCAAGAGCAATACGTTCAAAATGTCCGTCAAAACCATCAGGAAAACGACAATATACATTCAACGTTTTGGCTGCAGTAGCGGAAAATCCGAATATAAGTTTAAGAACAAACCTTCTTCAAATCAGTTTCTTTTCTTCGTTTATGTAGGTACTCTGGTTCCAAAAATGATAAACAAATAGTATCTGATGCAGATGCAGCATACATTCTCTAAAAAAACATTACCCTAAGATGCCTTTTATTGCGTCGGTTAGTTGAAATATAGAAATTACCATTGAAATCCCTATGCTGCGTTGCGCTAGGCACCACCCTGTATATACATATCAGCTATTCGCTGATGGACATAATGTTTCACAATCTTATTTAATAACATGCATATTACATATCAATCGTGCTCAATTGCATTAAATTATTGTGAGGTGTTCATATTACAAATTTATTATCAATTACAGACTACAGTCGCGTTTATTGAAGGTATATTTAATAATTTGTGAATCTTTTTCAAACACTGTGTCGGTATGTGGATAGCGGAATCCACGATGTTACGCCACTGAAATTCGAAAATTGATATTTCTATTGACATTGAAAGAACGACGGCCAAGTGTTTCTTTTTTAAATTTTAAATGTCATTACAACACATGTTGAAAGATGCTAATCCATTCGTAAACTTGCTTAAATTACGCGAAGCAAACAATTTCAAAATTGGCGGTAAACGTGTTCGAGCCGTTTGTCATGCGTAGTATTGTTTTGTTTTCTCCAGTCATCAGCTGTTGTGTCAGTACAAAATGGAAGCAGTAGTGTAGTTATTAGTATTGTGATAGGATTTACCAAGGTCGCTCTTTGTGTTGAAAGTGAACGAAAGATTTCGCGTAAAACTGACAAACTGTTTATTTAGCCAGTTACGATTGCAACACAAGAGGTGTTGGAAAGAATAACATAAATCGCACCTAAACGTACTCATGACCAACACAAATACTTCGTCCGATTCAAATGGTTCTGGGACGTTCTTTGTGAATTTTAATCAAGATTGCACGTAAGTTTTTTAATCCCTTTAATTTCGCACCATAATCTGATATCGTCTTGCGATGTCTACGTAAAACCTATTCGCTATGACGCATTAAATGTCGTCGAGAATTACTTGTGTTTTATATTTGACGCACGTCTTTTAAAATTGCTCCCGATTTGTGTTGTTGGAAAAAGAAAAGCGCGCTCAGTGTCGTGCCAGAAGCTAGCGAGCTGTCAGCGAAGCTAATTACGTATGCTATTGTGGAAATGAAAAGGTGTCTGTTACGCAAATAAACAAAACACTAATCAGCTGTTCCACTTTTACCAGTTGTTCTTGAGAAGGTGCTTCTAACAGCCTGCTGCTGTAGGCTATAATTTATGACACTACGTAAGGACTACGGAGTGATACGTGAAATTGGATAAGATAAACTTGTGTACAATTTCCATTTGATTTTACTCCTTGCAGATATAATTGAATTTGTGTAACATTCGTTGCTAACTACTTGGGTACTACCTCAGAATTGATGAAATCATAGGTTTTCGTTTGTTTTAGTGATGTAACCATTAAATATTTATGTGACCTTTCTCTCTTGCAAACCATGTGTGGGGGTCATTGATGTTATTGTGTCAATTAATTTTTAATTCCTACCGTTTAAGAGAATTTCCTTCTTTAGTGGTAGGGGATGTTCTCAGATTGCACACTCATTTTCCTCATCTGGGCTGTACCTATGATCACTCCCCATCGTTGTCAAATTTCCATTGTCTTTTGTTGTGGGCCACAATCGAGGTCACAATGAGTTATAAGGCAACATTTTTGGAGTTGTAACTGAGCAAGCGTTGCAGATAGTGCACTGGTTATTACAGAGTTTTTTTTTTGTCAAGGTGAACCTTTGGAGGTGTGTCACCCAAAATGATCTAAATGGTAAATATGTAAATTGTCCATACTTATTAGTTATTATGCAACATTGTCTCAGACGAATTTAAATAACAATTTGTATGTAGTGTATACAGTTATTATATTTTTTTAGCTATTTAATTGGGTAATAGAACAGTGGAGCGTTTCTTGATTTATAATGTTAGTAATGCCAGAGCAGCGCAGAGCAGGCAGTATAGTATGGAACAGTATCCAGCCGCTGCTGTGTGATGTAAGATCATCACTGCGCTGTAAGGGCAGTACTCAGCAGGACCCACAGATCGTGGTCAGGGTCGAACTGCTCTATTATAATTATACTGTACCTGAAAAAGTCTATGATGGGACGCTATCATACATCACTGATAAATGTTTTGTGCTTTTAGAATTCCTTTCAAAGTTGCATTTACGAATCTTAGCCTTTAAATGTTTTCAATAGTCTCCAAGTATATCCAAAAGTCGTGTAGAATTCCTTCAAGATGTTTCAACAGTCATTAAAATGAGTTTTCTCTAGACTAAATTCTGTATTTAGTGAATTTTGCAATATTTCCGGAAATTGAAGGAATATTCGCACATCGGAAATTAAAGTTAATATTTCCCATACATTCTCGAGAACTTTCCAAGAACATTCTTCCGAAATTTCCAGTTTATACTAGTTTTTAATGGGCCAATAGGTACAGTAGTTCTTCCTCGAGTTCTTCTTAAGAAAGTTCTTCATTACTCGGGTGTCAAATCCTCAGTACTTATGGAATTTTGTGCATTTTCGTGAATGTTTTAGATTTTGATGAAGTTTTTGAATCTTCATTCTTATTTTCCAGTTTTGAGTTTTCCTTACTTTACTTAGTTTTTCTTTTAAGGTGCATTTGTTATGGCAGATGAACTGAGACTGAGACGTTTTTCTTTTTTGTGTACTTATGTAAAATAAACAATTTAAAACTCAGATGCGTTTTATTGTTTTTAAAAAACAACACAGAATTATAGCAAACCTTCCGATTGTTTAAATACAGGGTGTACCATCTAAGTCCCCTCGGATCATACTTCTGTTACCATAAAAAAGATATTCAAAAAGTCTTGGATCAACATTGTGCTCAATTATCGTCGCCAAGTTTAAAAAATAGTTCTGAACAACAGTGCCGTGCTGGCGCGTAGTGGCCTATCAAACTTAGGTTTTTTTTTAATGGACCACCCTATAGTTTAGTGCAGATTTGAAAAGTATAGGTACTTATTTTTTATGTAATATATATCCTTAAGGCTGTGACAATTGACCATCTTTTGTTTCACCATGATAGACTTGGGCTCGGACTTGAGTTTGGAAAATAACGTTTTTCTACAAATTCGCTTTTCGGCTTGTTTTGTTCTCTGGTTGTTTTGTGTGAGTGGTAGTTTTATAGTTTCGGTTATCGAGAGCTACAATTTGTTTAAACGCGTTTTACATGCTCAAAGTTTTTGTGAAAATTGAAATTCTCATGCGCAACAGGTGCTTTTCTTGAAAGTGAAATAACTTTCAACTTTTCGGTTCGAACGCGAAATATTTCAGCTGAAATTTTAGGGCGCCAAATCTAAGATTGAACATTTGAAATTAATGTGATGTTTTGTGTCATTTGTGTTGACGGGTGTAAAGGCGGATTATGGAGAGAAAACTACAACTGATCAGAAATAAAAGAGAAACAAGGTATGAAAGACGTCAATCTCGTCTGTATTTTTTGGTTGGTATTAGCAGAATTTCACTTGAAAGTGAAATAGAATATTGCAGCACGTAAAGCACTACTGTTAATGTAAAAATCTCTGGAAAATTATTTCACTTTTGACTTTCGCGAAATAACTATCAGCGTGTTTAACGGGCTTTAGGTGTGGTGTTTTGCTCCAAGATTTTTGGGGTATTTTTTATGGTAAAGCAATTATGATCCTACAGCCTGTATACCTCATATCAACCTTTAAATTTGATACTTTCTTATGGAAACGCCCTGTAGAGACAGAAAATATTGCTCCTAGGTCTCGGGAGCTCCATTTAGAGAGAAAATCACTAACGCAAACAGCTATCTCTAATCGTTTGGCCGATAATGGGCGTTTTAATGCCCCATTACATGCTTACTGCACTTTTTATGTAGAATCCACTGCGATATACAGTTTTTATACAGGGTGTTTGGTTTGTTATACGACCACAAATTACATTTTTTTATACGGACCACTCTATATATTTTGGCTCGTATTTTGGAGTAAAATTCCCTAAATATTGATCCACGACATTCCACGTGTTATATTTATATTAAATATTATTTGGCAGGATTGTTTAAAACTACAATTGCTCGTCTATCTGGAAATGTTTATTAGTATCAATTTTTTAATTTCAAACAACACACAAAAACAAAGAACGTGAAAACATAAATGTGAAGGGCCGTATTCAAAACCAAACACCCTGTATAAAAACTGTGCATCATGATGGATTCTTAAAAAAAGTGCTCTAAGAAAGATTTTGTCAAAATCAATTACGTTATTAGCGAGATTATTAGGCATTAAAGAAATTCGAGAAACGCCCCCTAGCGGCCAAACGAAAAGATACCTGAATTCTGTTTGTGCCAGTGATTCTCTCTTCGAGCTCCAGATAATAATTTTAGCAAACCAACAGTGATTTTTCCTCGGTTTTCTGGTAGTGCTAAAATAAAAGTTGTAAAAGTTGTCGTTTTCGAGCACATCGCATCAACTTTCTGATTTCTTATGGACGCCATATTGGATTTTTACGTTACTAGGTAGAGAAAAAAAGTACAAAGTCGGCGATATCAAATACCTAGTATTACATTTTTTGGCAATTAAGCTTGAATTGTTACCTTGAAATAAAAATATATGGCAATAATTCCATGCCTGTGTTGATGGTGAGTATGTGAGACTGGAATTATTGCCATAAAAAATGTATTGTAAACTTCAAGGCAAAATTCAAGGTTGCTTACCAATATAAATAATAATCACTGGTTTTGTAAAAATGCAATATGGCGTCCATAAGAAATAAGAAAGTTAATATGATTTTCTCGACACTCACAAGTCAAGTCAAGATTTTATTTTATCACCATCAGAAAGCTGAAAAACAATCACTATGGCTTTGTTAAAATTATTTTTTGGCAATGACTAAACGCCGGCGCATTCCTGAAAGTCATTTTTCGGTTTTTTGGGCATAACTTCGCTAGGTATTTGTAGAGCTATAAGAAACTTTGAAAGGGAAAATCTCGGGGAAAATTAATCAGCAGAAAATTTTGCACGTTTAAGCGACTTTGTATCTCTTTACGAGATTCCCATAATGAAAATGAAAAAAAAACTCTGTATATACATATCAACCTAAAGGGGTTTGCGAGGGGTTTTGAGTCTTTGACCTTAAGAACCTTTGAGAGGTGTCATAAGGCTCTATAAGTTTTCGTCGGTCTCCAAGAGTCGTATAGCTATAGAGGAATGCTTTTAATTCGCCATAAGAATCTTTAAGTTCTCAGGCTTTAATAGTCTGACTTGAAGAGCTTTTTTGAGTCCTTTAAGCTTGCGACTTTAAAGGTTTTTAAAAATGTTTTCTATCTTTCATAGTCTTACTTATTTTATGAGTCTTTGGGATTTGGGATTCTATTTTAGTCTGAAGTGTTTCTAAGAGCCTGCATGGGTCTTCAACTATTTTTCAGAACGTTTAATCAAGTTCAATAGATTTAAATCCAATGGGATTGGTTGAGATTGTTTTAGGTTGTCGAAATTTCATACACACAATTACATACAAACAAGCAGACTAATTTGGTTTATACAAGGACTTTTTTGAGTAAATAAAACAAAAGTTACTTATCACTCTGTATACCAGATGATCCAAGAATTGATACTTTTTGAGCTTTTTTGAAATTGTGCGTACTCGCTACTCGGTGTCATCGTTGCACAGGACTGTTGTGTTAGTTTATGACGTTGGTATGGTAATTTTTGTTATGCTTTTAAGATCATATCCGTTCTTGATATGGAGAGTTGATAAATGCCTAGAATTTATTAAACCCTTGTAGAATGGACACAATAAAAAAACTGTGAGAAACTGAGAAGGTTATTACTCGGTTTATTGAATAAGTCACAGTCCTCACCTTTGGTTGGGTACCGTGGTCAAGGAAAAGTGGCCAGGTAAGTGCAAACTTAACACAATATGAAGCAAATCAGGAAGGTAATCAGAAATTTGCATAAAACGTTTCCTTTTTTCCTTGATCGTATTTTCTTACAAGTCAATTTGGCGATTTCACACGTACTTCGTTGCAGCATACAATTTCTAAATGATGATTTCAGAGGTCCTGTGATTTTCGTAATAATTAGCACCAAATTAAATAGTGCTCATGTTTTCACTTTTATGTTTGTCCACTGAGTTCCATTTTTATTACCCGCACATTAGTAACAGAAGTATTGCATTGGGGTAAAAAATGACCGCCCACTTTATTTTACGGAAATGCACGTTTTGAAGCGCCAGGAATCCGAATCAAACAAAATCGCGATGATGTCTGTCGGTCTGTACTCTCATTTCCAGCTAAACGGCTGAACCGATTGGAACCAAATTTGGTGCACATATTCTGAGACATAAAAGGGCAGAATCGCGCATGCACAGGTTTGGGGGTGGTATCTGTGCCAGCCACAGCAATTTTTGTTGTCTGTTGCTTCTTAATACAGGGTGTAACACTCGGTGTAACAGGTACGGTGTGTCACAAAAGTGCGTGGTAATGGGGATCGACACATTTTTCAAGTAACCCGAGACTGAAAGGAATTTTTTTCTACCAACTACTGCTCTTTACCCCTTATCGAGATTGTTAAGAGGGTAAAAATCGAGGTAAAAATTTATCCTTCATGGTACTTCAATGAAAGGTCTCATCGAAACGAATTATTAATTTCTACAAACTACCGCCCTTTCTTTGATTACTTATCAAGATCGGTTATAATTCCTCATATCTCGAGAACAGAGTGTCGGAGGAGGGTACTTACAAAGAGCTTTTGGAACGTCTGGACTCGTGAAAAATGCAAGTAACTCGAAAACGGAATGTCAGATGAGGGTACTTACAAGAGTTAAATGCAATATCGCGGAGAATATTATTTTGTCTGCTCAACTTTGTTATAAGTATTTTTGTGATAATCACACAGAGGATCCCAAGTCTACGGCATGTAAGGACTTCTTGAATGCAGCTGGTTTTGAGCAGTACAACTATGTTCTTAATGCCAACTTGAGACTGCTGGACCTGGTAATAACAAATGTCCATTGCGCTGTCGCCCGTGAATCACTGCCCATCGTAAAGGAAGATTCCCATCATCCTGCAATTGCTATAACCTTGAGCCGTAGGCTTCCGCCGCATACCAAAACTAAGAAATTTAATTACTCTGATGACAGACAATGGAATTTTCGACGTGCTAATCTTACAAAACTCTATTGTGATATTGGTGCCATTAATTGGTCGTTCTTGGATCATATTACTGATGTTGAGCAGATGGTAGATGCGTTTTATGAAAAGTTGTATCGCACTATGAATGTATCCGTCCCGCGGACGGTCCCAGCTAATACCAATCGACACCCTTCCTGGTTTAATAAACATCTGAAGTCGCTGGAACGTCGTAAACGGCGGTTATTAAAAAAATGGAGATTAACTGGTGACAGTCTTGATTACGCTAACTATCAATACTTAAGGCGTGAAGTGAAAAAGGAGTCAATAAAGGCGTATTATGCTTATTTGAAGAGCACCGGAGAATCAATCTCTACTGATCCCAAAAATTTTTGGAAGTTTGTACAATCCCGTCGTGGCGATTCGCGGATACCTAGCGTCATGATTGGTGTCGACAACGAAAAGTTGGATGATCCTGCAAGGATTGTCAATGCATTCGCATCTTACTTCGCTAACAGCTTTGCTGTGGACTCCGTTGACCCAGATAAACTTCATAAAGGTGATAAAATTTTTCTCTCTGAATGGATAACTGTAGAGGATGTTTTAACTGTGTGTGGTAAACTCCCGACAACTTTCATAAGTGGTGAAGATAGCATTCCGAGCTTCCTAGTGAGGGACTGCAAATATTGCCTAGCGCAGCCTCTGGCGCGCATTTTTAATTTATCCATATCGTCCCATGTATTTCCCACCAGATGGAAAACGGCGCAGGTGCTACCAATTTTTAAAAAGGGTGATAAATCAGTGATTCAAAACTATAGACCTATCTCTATACTCAGTAACTTTGCTAAAGTACTCGAGTCATGTGTATATAACATCTTGTTTGGTCAATGTAAAGATTATTTCTCAAGCAACCAGCATGGATTTCTTCAGGGTCGCTCGACTGTAACCAACTTCACTGAGTTCATAATGGATGCTTTTGGTTCTGTATCTCAAGTGGACGTCATTTACACCGACTTCTCCAAGGCGTTTGACAACGTTTGTCATAGGTTACTCATAAATAAGCTGAAAAACTTTAATCTTAGTAAAACATTTGTTCTGTGATTAAGTTCTTACCTTACTGATCGTCGTCAATGTGTATGTTATAAGAACTTCAAATCGGATTATTACAAAGTGTCCTCGGGAGTGCCACAGGGGTCAAACCTCGGCCCACTCTTGTTTATTATATTTTGTAATGATATACTTTCATCCCTTGGTGATTGTGCCCTTGGTTATGCGGATGACATAAAAATATTTAATAAAATTGAGACTGAGTGATGCACGTGATCTGCAGTATAAGTTAAACTTACTCGTCAATTGGTCGCTGTCTAACAAATTAAATCTTAATGTGGATAAGTGTAGTGTGATGTCGTTCTCTCGTAAGCAGGTTACGCAATTGCATAATTATGTTATAAATAATTGTTCGCTTAAACGTTGTGTGATGATTAAGGACCTTGGCGTAACGTTTGATTCTAAACTGAACTTTAATACCCACATTACCACCATTTGTTCTGAGGCGTTAAAGCTCTTAGGCTTTATTTTTAGGAATTCAAGAGAGCTGAAATCTGAAGATGCTCTGAAGACACTATATAATACACTCGTACGCACTAAACTTGAGTATGCTTCTGTGGTTTGGTCGCCAATTTACATCACCTACAAAATTAAACTTGAAAACATTCAAAGACGTTACCTCAAATATTTACTATATTTACGCCACGGTGCATTCCCAGAGAGAGGTGTAGATTATGGCTCTCTGCTTCTCGAGGGTGATATTGGAGCTCTTGAACGTCGTAGGGAATTTCATCAAGCCAGGTTTATTTACAACTTGATCATTAACAAAATTGACTCGCCTGCACTCTTGGCGCGCATTGGTTTTCATGTGCCTCAAAAACATCTCAGGAGGAACAACCTGTTTGTATATAAACAATCCTTGTGTACGTCACTGATATCGCGTATGTGTGCCTGTCTTGAATCGGTTAATCGACATGTTGATATCTTCAACTGCAACGTGCGTGATATCTCTATCTGTTTTCTGTGATACTTGTATACTAGATTTATTTACATTATTTATATTTACATTTATTCACTTTCTCATCTGTAATTAGGCTCTGCAGTTAGATGGGAAATAAAATATATTATTATTATTATTATTATAAGATACATTAAAGAAGTTTTAGCTACAGATAGTAATTTGAGTGAATCCGGTATATCCGTATATCTAAAAGTGGACTCTGTCACGATATCGCGCATGCGCAAATCAACTTGAATGAAAATTTATACTCAGGCGCTTTTAGTAGAAGTATAAATGTAGTAGGTGTAGGTATATCAGTTTTCTCATTTCTTTCTCCTTTTTCGATATTTAGTGAAGATCTTTTGGTATTATTTTCTTTTACGCAATTGCTTTGGGTTATTAAATCGAATGAAACCTTAAAAATCAAGAATTTGAAGGTTTAAAATCGTGTTTGTTTATCGGTTGCAGTAATTAACAATAAAGTTATTACATTGTAGTAAAGTTCTATTTATGACTAGATTTTACAACCTTTGGCACGTTTAAATTACTATTATTTTTAGTAAATATCAATACCAAAACGAATTTGATTAATAACATGCAAAGAAAATAAGTGCACGCGCATTTAAATGCTCAAGAACTTACTTTTTCTGTGTTGTAAGCGCACCTGTCAAAGATATAATGAAACCATGCCAAAGTCATAGAAGAAGAAGCCAAATATAGTTTTCGTTTTTTAAATTTGTTTTGTACTTTCAGATCACTCGCCGTTGGAAGTAAGGTCGGATATAGATTATACTCGCTGAGCGGCATAGACTCGCTCGAACAAATTTATAGCAATGCCACTGAAGATACGTGCCTCGTCGAACGACTATTCAGCAGCAGCCTGGTCGCGGTCGTCTCGCTCACCGCACCGAGGACGCTTAAAGTTTGCCACTTCAAGAAAGGGACGGAAATATGCAATTACTCGTACTCGAACACAATCCTAGCCGTCAAACTGAACCGGTACGCTTTTCTAACGAGTCGATAACTAATTAGGCAAGATTTTCATGTAGGGCGAGGCTAGTCGTCTGTCTGGAGGAAAGCTTATACATTCACAATATACGAGACATGAAGGTGTTACATACGATACGTGATACGCCGCCAAATCCTCAGGGGCTCTGTGCTCTTAGTATAAATAACGATAACTGTTATCTTGCATATCCTGGATCGTCAACAATCGGAGAGGTCCAAATCTTTGATGCCAATAATCTAGTGAGTTTAAATCAATCAAAGTTCCCCGCGATCATTCCAATTCTAGCACGCGAAGACCATGATACCCGCCCACGAAAGTCCCCTAGCGGCATTAGCGTTCAGTCCGAACGGCACAAGAATTGCCACTGCCTCGGAGAAGGGAACAGTCATACGAGTGTTCTTGGTCGCGGACGGTACCAAGCTGTTTGAGTTTCGTAGGGGCGTCAAACGTTGCGTTGCGATATCGTGCCTCGCTTTCAGTATGTGCTCCCAATACTTAGGTTGTAGCAGTAATACTGAAACTGTACACGTTTTCAAATTGGAAGAACCCAAAGATAGGTAAGATCTCGCACTGTTTTGCTTACTGTAACTATTAGTCTGATTTTTATCCCCCCAATTTGTAAATTGCCTGTTAAATTTACGTCTGAAATGGTAACGTTCATAATGTCACGTGTGCAGGTTGATAACTCAAATGTTTTTGTTACATCAACTAACCAACTTGCATGTTTTTTTTTTCGAGTGTTGGTATCACTTAAATATCGCTTTCACATCTTAATTACTATGTCTTCTATCTAGGTTAGGCTTGACAAAGTTTTTCAAAATTTTTAGTCCTCGAAGAAGCGTGGAAGAAACCAGCTGGATGGGCTATCTGACAAACTACTTACCCACCCAAGTCACGGACGTTTTCAATCAAGGACGGGCGTTCACGACCGCCCACTTGCCCTTTTACGGAGTACGAAACGTCATCGCGATCACCACGTGAGTATTTAACGGCGTGCGCGTCGACGTCACTCACAGTTTCGCCGACAGAATACAGAACCAATTGCGGCTATTGGTGGCGTCCGAGGGCGGCACCTTGTATGTATATAATCTGGACGGCAACGAAGGCGGCGATCTAGCGTTACTGAAGCAGCATCGCCTGGACGGGAAAATTGAAGAGGCCCACAAACCTACGGATAGCACCGCTGGCCGGTCGGATCCTCAACCAATCGGGCGCAAAGATGGAGGTAATGACCGATAATGCTCCTCGCTCCTCTTAACCGAAATGTCTGTGTAAAGTGAACTTAAAAGTCTTGCAATAGCAAAAGTGGCATTGAAAAAAGTGAGTTGATGAGTTAAAATCTTCTTACATTAATACCATGCCAAACAAATGCATTTCTTACGCCTATCCCCTCCTTTTTGTATATAATTTAAAGCTGTTTCGTTTGCAAGAAGGCGGCGTTTACAAGAATTTGCCAAGATTGCTGTGAAGGCAAGCTCTTCTAAGCGCCGCCCAATCAACCAATGTTTTTGTAAATTAAATCCTCGAAAACTCCTAACCGTGTAGTTATGCTATAACCCGCACCCATTTTGTTTTTCTCTGTTCCGTGCAAGGCTCAGCAATGCTAGGTAGCTACGCGGGGATCGTGAAAGGGAACCCGCCGGGCCAAATGTCAGGTACTGGTCAGTATAAATTTAATTTTGCTCATTACACGCTGCCATTCCATCAGATCTCATTTGTTACTAACACCTTTTTGTACGCTACAAAAGCGGGAATTTGTGTACGACACTCTTCTCGCGTTCTTGCCAATCCGTTATTATCTTACAAAAGGTAAGTGATTAATGCTACTGCTATTTGATTCAATTGGGTTGGTGGGGCGAAAGGAGAGTGTCACTTGGTGGGGTTCAAATGTTGATATTATAGGAGTGTACTTATTTTGCGGGGCGGAGGGAGGTAACATCCTTTTACGTTCAAGGTCATCACAAAAACCCTGACAGGAAAAAATTGATTCTGAAGGTACATCTGAAAAATGGAGTAACGTGGCAAATCAGAGTTGACGTGAGTTTCTATTCACTTCAGAATAATGAATCTTGCTCAACTGTAACTTTTTGAGTTTTATGACTATCCTGAGTTAACAATGAGTCATTGTTTCGGGTCGTAGGCGAGTTGTTATGACTTCTGAGAAAATGTCTCTGCTCTGAGTTTCGGGTTTCGTAGAGTTCTAAATGAGTTTATGATGAGGCATAAATTCGTCACAGTCATGAGTGTGCATCGGAAGAAGTGTACTACTATGCGATCAAAAATTGAACTTCCAAAGGCGACTAGACAGCAAATCATTTTTGATCGCCCGTTACAAGCAAGTAGAAGTTTCGAATTATGAGTCATGAGTCTGTGAGTCTTGAATCACAGGTTACTCAATTACACATTTTAAACTCATGAAATTTGAGTCTCTAATCGCCAAGTTCGGGATCATGAGGCTTTGAATCTTGATCCCTAAATGGTTTCTTTAGTTTTCAGTCCTGAGTATTGGGTCTTTTTTAAAATTCGACGTCAAAGTTGGCCATGACAAGCTCTTTGTGAGCACACAAACACAATAGTCAGTAAAATGAATAAGTTCGCATATCGGCTTAGCGCATATCTTTGCCGTTCTAATACATTGCATTTGGGTTAGAGAGCGCGTGAGTATGTAGTTTTACGAACCGCCGCCGATGAACTAATAATTATTCTCTACTTTATAGGCGTTTTATAGAGGTTGCTGCGCCAAAAAGAGATAACAACAGACAAGGCAAGGCGCTCTAACCCAAATGCCATGTGTTAGAACGGCCAAGGTGTATAACCGCGTACGCGGTATTAATATACAGGGTGTCAACTTTAAAACTTGCAGTCGGCCATATTTTCCAAACTAAAGAAAATATTGAAAATCGCGAAAAACCGTTTCGGGGGTATCGAGGGGGAACCAGAATGACGTTATGAGTGACAACCCCCCCTTAACCCCCTTCCGCCCTTCAAAAATCCTAAATGGCAACCTCATACTTGTGGCACATCGTTGGAAAGCTACTGAAAAATGCTTGTACCAATAAAGTCAATATTCATTAAGACAATTTAACAAAAATTTAATAATTAAAAAAAGGGGGGGTTGTCACTCATAACGTCATTCTGGTTCCCTCTTCTCAGTTTTAGCGATCATTTTGGACCAGAGATCCAAATTTTTAATCTGAATCCCAATTTGATTTAAGAAACGGGCTAATGCATTGATAGAGAAAAAGAAAATTGACTCTGCTGGCAGCCATTGTTATTACATTATCTATATAAATAAAAATGAATGTGTGTCTGTCTGTATGTCTCCTATGCCTGCTTAAATTGTTCATCCGATTGCGAAGTTTTTTATGTAAATAAAGTGGTTTGTATATATAGAAATTGCGAAAAGAAGTTCACCAGGACAGTTAACGCGACTTTGACTGATAGGCGGAACGAGGTTCGCCAGGTCTGCTAGTTTATTATATGCACATATTGCTGAAAATGGGTTGCGCATGCGCCTTGATTATTTTTATGTATAGACGCAGCGACGGCGTCAGTGTTTCTGAAATAGGTGGGTACCAATTGGTCCCAATCTTCTTAAGGTGGGCATCAACATTGTAGATTCTTTAGCAAATAAAAAAAATTGGCATACCGTAACTAAACATTTACTTATTCGTAGGGGGCGGATTCTTAGGTAAATAAATATTTTTATTGCGTATCAATAGAAGGCCCAAACTGTGCTAAAAGTCCCGGATGCGGGATGAACCAAAAGTAACTCAAAAACGAAGTTTTATTTCACATAAAAACACATATTTTTGGTTTATTTTTATGTGAATATGTACATATTACAAAGATATTCATAAAAAACACATAAATACGACGTTTTTAATTTATTTTATCCCTTTTTTCTCTCTTCCCGTGCATCATATTCCACATTTTTGTCCCCATATTTATTTACACAAGATTTCTGTGTGCAGTGAGTACTATGGTATCTTGTTTCTGCATTCGTCACTTCCGCAAATTCTAGACCTGCTGACAAGTTCTGTTTTTTGCATACGGCTACCCGTAATTTTTTGACTGGCTGCTTTCTTATGCTTATCTATCTGACTTGGTAGGTACTGTTTCAATTCAACACTGCAGATTTGTTCAGTTGTTAAAGTAGACAGTTGTAAAGTTGGACCAGACCATACCGTGCGTAAGATGTCTTAAGTTAAATCGAGCACTAAATTCGCGTCTTCACTCTTCAACAGTAGCCAATATACAATTGAATTTAAAAACATGTAAATTTTAACAACATCCTATGAACCCTCTCTTAAAATACGCAAGACTTACTTCCTGTGACGTGAAACGGTGTTTCTCGCAGTACAAATTATTATTCAGAGACAATCGACAATCCCTTGTGATCGATAATTCGGAGATGCCTTTTGTTGTTGTTAACAAAATGCTAAAGAAACTCCTGGTAAGTAATGTTCAGCTACTATTGGTGAATAAAAACTTGTCTTCTTTCCGTTTTTTTCGCGAAAATTGTCAAAATAATTTTAAGTTTTTAGTAAATATTTTAATGTTTTTAAGCACATAAAAAATAAATATTTTGGAAGTTTTTAGCACCTAAAAATCCGCGCCCTACATTCGATTATTCTCTAAAACAAATTTAAGGCAGGGGCAGTTGGGCACTTGGGTGGGCACTCTGCTTAACAGATTGGGCACGTGCTCACCCAGGCCCCCCCTGGCGCCGTCGCTGATAGACGAATGCTCCTCATATTAAGAGAATGTGCTTTGTATAAAATCAAATTGAATTGTGTCCAAAAAAATTGTTTGCGCATGCTCAGTTGTGGACCGTTTTTTTCTGAAACTAACTGAAGAGAATTGAAATCACGTATGAAAAAATAAATTGCGCATGCTCGGATAAATTTTATTTTTGGACTACTTTTTCAAAAATTTTAATTGGAGATGAATAGGGAAGTTGCACTAAATTTATACTTAAAAGAAGCTTGCACTAGCATACAGTACAGAGATTCTGCAAGGAGTTTAGCAAGGCTAAAAAATGTGTAGTGGCCTAATTTAATAAAATTTTTAAGTAATAATTCCAAAGGAGTGGAGTAGACCATTTTACAGTGGGGACTGAAACGGCATATCATTGGTTGTGACGTCACTGCTTTTACGCCGCCATATTTGTTTACATATTACAGCCTGTTGGCATGTGCAGCGGACAGCGGTTATCGAAATTTTTCTTTGTGTGGTTTGTATATTGTGTAAAAACAACAATAAAATTGGAGACATGGCTTCAGAGGAAGGGTTCGTCAAATCACCTACCATCGGTGCATATATTTATGGTCATGGAATTCATAAAGAATGACGAGAGATTTAATGCCGCTGAGATAAGAGACAAAAAGCGCACAAAATTTCTAAATATTTTAAATGTGCCCATTGTCATTATGCCTCACACTTTCAATATAATTTGCGAAAACATTTTGTTTCAAAAGATTTTAAATGTGGTATTTGTACTTATATGTTACAAATACTATTGACACCATTAGACAGATCCATCTGTGAATTAGCGCTACACATAATAGAGATAATCTGGTCTGTCGGTTACAGCTGGTTGACACATCTATCTGTCAAGTAGTAGATGTGTTGATAATAAATAAATAATCTATAATCTGATATAGAATCTAATTGATAGAGATCTATTAATTCTCACAAATATGTGGAAAATAGGTTTATTGGGCAAGAGATGTAGTAGAGGTAGTTCTAATTGATAGATTCAGTACTCTCTTGTGATAAACAGATATAGAACTTATCTTAGAAGTTCCAGGAAAACCCATTGGCATAGAGTGGCGCTTGTTTCCTATGTCTTCCTTACATCTCGCATCTGCAAGCATTCCGGTCGCAAACATTCCCATTATGTTGCACCTCTTCCTATATTTTATATACAAAAAGAATATAAGGGCATGATTTGCTTGTCTGTGAGATTTGGTCTTTGTACCTTTCTTATTATTGCAGCTATGATTATAATTTGTTTGTTATTGCGTCTTTTTTTGTAATGAATATGCCTTTCTGATTTGCCCATTGCAATCCTAGGAAATGAATGCATCATATTTGATTGACTTTGTAGGTTTAGTTGTAATACACTGTATGTAATACCGAGTGGATGCAAAGATTTCCCTTCTGCTTCTTTTGCTTTAATGTAATAAATGACATTATGTATCACCAAAATCAAGTTTTCCTGGTCAGGATTTTTATGTTCATCTCCAGGATCATCGCCTATTCATTTGTATCGCTAGTGAAAGGTAGCGAAAAACGAATCCATTTGCTTTTACATTCACGGCAGCTTCATTATCACAAAGCGCAAATTCACATTCATCAATAACCGAAACCCTCGACTATTGCTAACGACCACGAACGTTAATGTACAGATTCGGAGAAGTATCGAGAAATGTCCGCCGCCGTCGAATCTCCGCCGAAGGGCGGCTTTCAGTTCCATAACGAACAAGAGTATCCACCTCTCGCCCAGAAAACGGACTGAGAGATGGATGACGACGATCCATTAATTATAGGTAATGTATTTATAATTGATGAGCCTCAATTCAGGTATCATCTTATTTTTGGCACAGTTTTCCTTATACATGTGATTGTTCGCATTAGTGAAAAAATTATCTTTTATTTGTTCGACTTAGAAGAATGATGTATAGCTTTTCCTTTTCATTTTTGTATGTTTTGTATATGTCGCAATATAGTTCTTTTTTTGTATTAATAAAAGTGGTTTTATAATTTCTATTTGCCGTTATCATCACACAAGGAGGTAAGAGAGAATAAATTATTTTTGTCAAATACCTTTTTGCTACTCGCATATACTGTTGACTATAGATTGAGTCAATATTTAGAGATTTTTGTAATATTCGGGGCATTACGCGAAGTGGAGTTATTTTGTGTATAAAGTATTAGTGCTTTATTCTTGTATAATTAATTATTTGTTTTCGCTTCAGGTCTCTTTATTTGTAAAACTACCCATATCAACAAATCTGTACATTGTGTTGCTTAAGTAGACCTGAACGATTTTTAATTTAATACATGTCGAATAATAATGCTGCCACCTGTTGTTTGTGGTTTAAGTTAGTGTCGATGCAGTGCCTGTTGCACTGCTTCCAATTCTGTTTGTGTACTTTTGGGATGCATTGTAACAACAACCACAAAGTACACTTTACTAGAATAAAATCTGTGAAAGGGTAGAAAAAGGTTATAGTTTTGCATGCGTTGTAAACTTATAGAAGAAAACTATGTGAGATTTGGTGCCTAGTTTTTTTGTCCCGTACCGAGCAAAACTGTAACTAAAGTATTGCATAGTTTTATCATAATTGTAGCTTATTTAAATGCATACAATAAACTTATGCGCATCTTCTATGCCATTTTATGAATTTGTATATATGTTATTTATTTTGTGTGATAAAAGTAGTACTGCGAAGTATTCCTCATCCCCCTTAATTACCAAATGGCTCACAGCTTTAAGCTTATTTTTTATACATAAAGATGTGAGTGTATTTATATGGTATGCGAAATAATCCATGCACTTTGTATATAATATGGAAAAATTAGAAAAAAGAATGTTTGAATGATTGTTCATAATAACTTTAGTTTGCAATACTTGTACTTTTTTTAATAAATCGATTTAGGTATGTACGTATAGTATAATTTGACAAATATAAGACGATTTAAATGTTTTGTATTTTTTCCTTTTTTGGTAAATCGGAACAGAGAGGGTACTTTCAAAGAATACTAAGTCTTTGACGAAACGTATTTGGTTGAATGTTCAAATGCTGGTTTCTACTCACAAAGGGAGAGTGAAAGGCCTGGTCGACAATTTGTCGACTGTAACATCCGAAATGGATACATACATCGGAGACTAGCAGAAATATACATTAATCCAAGTAATCTTAGGATTAAGAAAATGCCAGTCCGAGGGTGTTTATCAATTGGTTATTTCTTGTAAGTTTTAATTTTGTTTTTGAAATTGACTTACTATAACTTCAATGCTGAATCACGTATTTGATACCGTTAACTTTTATTGTTTTGAAATCGTTTTCATTTCATTTTCATTCACAATTTAACTTGAAATACAAGTCCAAATAGACTTTTTGGTCTGAATGATTATAATATCATTGTATTTACAATATTATAATATTTCATTTGGAATAAAGAAATGTGAGGGGAGGGGGAAGTAATCGTCACAATAAATGTTGGACTCCTACTAACTTAAATGCGTTTTTTTATGCTTTGATACAATTCTTGAAAATGAATAGCTATAGACAGATGATTGAAAGACATAATTAAAGACATTGGACTGAATCAAAGACCGTTGCAAAGGCAAATCGGAAAAATCCTATGAAATGACTTCACAGGACCGTTAGCGTAGTGGGGGAATCGCTCAGGCGCAAAGAAATTCCACTGAGTGCTTTCTTAGATATGGAAGAGGCAACAGAGTAGGATGCAGACTATAATTCGAATCGAGGGATGTAAACTACTCACTACGCAGCGCAAGCAGACTCGCCCACACGTACCGCCAGAACAATGTAAAGGAGTAAAAGAGAAACAGCTGCAAACAGTAAAAGCTAATAATCGACGAGCTTTGAAAACCATAAGTAGGTAGGTATCTATATAACTATATAAGTACTAGATTTTTCAGTTTATCAATTGTTTTCATTGCTCACTACTACCATCATGTTTTTAAATAAGCAGAATTTGCATACGCAGGGTGGGCATTAAAGGGAGGGCACAACCACCTTTTATTATGCGCCTGAAAAGATGTCATTTATACTTTATAGGACCTCGACCGGAACGTGAAATTGCACATGTATAGGTAACAATGGGAAATCAAAGCCATCTGAAAAAAACATGGCACGAAGAATACCGGACCCGGACGAACGTCTCTAACCAGAGATGTGCCAAGGCTTTAGAGGTACTATAGGTGCCTTCGAGAGCTAAAGACTTGAAATAAAAGTCTGGTAGAAATAATAATAATGATATAAAAACCCACTTTGTAGGAGATGTCATAGGAGGCAGAATAAACTCCTTTGCATATACTGTGGATTACTGTTAGTCATATCAAGGCGCAGGTTCCTTGGGGTCTGGGGGGGAATGAAGATACCTATGCTCTCGGAATTGTTACAAATAGATGCTGTTCCCAGGAGGATTTTAGATTTCTTCAAAGATTGATATCCTAGGGGAGTGCAGAGCCAGAGACTAGAGGGTACAATAAGGCATAGAGTCGCGGTCCAGAGACCTCTGCGAATAAGAAGTAATAATGCATAAGGAGACTGGTGCAGGTCAAAGGTAAGTTGATAGTGCCAAAATTTCATGCCTCTAAATCAAGAGACCAAAATTGCTCAATTCCCAAGATAATAATGCAAAAAATTTTTAATTTGAATTTTGGTTCTTTTACATGGGTATTTTGCAGAGACATCTCTCTCCATGTCTCTGGTATTTTGGCTCCTGTGATTTGAATTTCTGGTGCTCACAATGGATGTGGCTCAAGACAGAGTCAAAGGTAATGTTTCTACTGTTTATGTACTCATCCTTGGAGCAAAAACATGGCAACACTGGTTTACAATTTTTGAGTGACAATTTTCTATGAACATTTTCAAAGAAACTTCCCCACAAACAAATAGTTACAAAGTACAAATTATTTTTTAAACAAATTACTATCGTTTGTAGTTCATATTTTTGGTTAATTATTCACGTGACAAAATATCAGCCAATCAACTGCATGATGTGTAAACTTCAGTGAATTTAGAAATCTTTATGCCAGTCATGAAAAGAAGAATCATTTCAAAGTAATAGCAAGGAATAGAAGAAATTGATGAAATGTCGTTCCCTAAGACTATAGTAAGCAGATTCGTACTGGATATCTTTTTGTCAAGAAGTTAACCTAAAATATATTTTTATTTTGTTACTGACAGGTTTACAATAAGGCCCCAAAAGGTCCCTGTCATTAAACACAAACTTTTTTATTTAATAAAAAGGCAGTCTCTCTTTTAGACACTCCGTATTCAATCTCCGGAAGGGACGAAACGAATTGAAATTAAGACGTCAGATACGACATGCCAATTATACGAACGTGTTCATTCCACATTCGATTTAAATAGCTTCGCCTTCGCACTCTACAAGCAGAAAAACCAAAAGGACGAGATTGCTAGTAGTAAATCAAAGACGTTGAAAACCGTCGGTTTATGCCATGGGGACATGCTATATTTAACCCCCGTGAACGGGGCAATTGTATTTTCTCAGCCCTCGACTAGCGCAACCCAGGTAAGAGTGCACTCGTCACAGTGGCAATTTCTAATTGCATTTTAGAACAACAAACCGTCTGGCGAACCCGCCACTACGTCTGACACAAACTTGAGAGCGTCTGCAAGCGGATCATCAAGGAGCATCAAAGAGGACGAGGTGGACTTGCAGCTCGCGAAGCTCGACGGGAAAATCCAGAGAAAGCGCGACGATAAGCTATGTCGTCACAATGCCAACTCACGCTGTGTTCATTGCTCACCGTTGGAGGCGTACGACGAGGTCTATCTACGCGAGCAAAATATAAAGCATCTGTCTTTCCATTCGTACCTTCGTAAATTGACGTCCGGCGTCGATCAGGGGAAGTTTGTCGCGTTGGAGGATACCTCGTGTCGCATTAAGAACGGGTGCAAGGAGCATCCGCCGTGGCCAAAGGGAATTTGTTCTAAGTGTCAACCGAATGCCATTACTCTTAATCGTCAGGTAATCAATTTCTAACTGTTACAACAGAGGAGGTAATAATGAGATTCCTCTGACTTGTATTATCTCGCTGTTGAGGAATCTGGTCCATAGGGGGCGCTTCACTGAGACGAAAAACATAGGCACGGCTGATGGAAGTGTTGCCTCTGATCTCATCGTACTAGGCAATGTACAGAGTTGCACATGAATTATTTCCATTTTTTGTAAAAGTGCTTTTGGTAGGCATTTTTGATGAGAGTGCCAGTTTTTTTAATACAGGGTGATGCATCAAAAATGGTATTTCTAATTAAGTTAGTTTCGGATAGTTAAAAGTGGATTTTCGTGGAATGCTTACACACCTCAATTTTAGGTTTGAGAGGGACAGTGTTTCCAATAAAATTCCTTCATAAACGTTTTCATCCCCTAATTAAGATGTTAAGTCGCTGGGATAGAAAAAATCTCAAAATTTTCAATAGCATGGCATTATAGGGCTGAATGTGAAACTTAACTGTGTTAACTCCATCCACCTATCCGTACGAGAATTTTTCATTTTTAGAACTGACACCATGTATAAAACTGGGGATTTTTGTGCATTTTCCAATTTGTTAAATCCCTTTTTCATAAATACATATTCATTTTGCCCTTTATTTTCTTTAATATACAGTGTGTAAAGCGATGGGGTTATACAAGAGGGAATTTATTTTTAAATATTGATTTATGAAAAAAATTTATTCTTCATGATATTTTTTGCTTGCTTTGAAAGTACCAATAACGTTTCGATAATGTAACATTTATTTATAGAAATCTGGAAAAATAATAAAATTAATTTTTTTAATTGAAAGTTATCATTCTACATTATAATCAAAATAGCGTATTGCTATCAAACCACAAACAATCGAAACGTTATTGGTACTTTCAAAGCAAGCAAAACATATCATGAAGAATAAATTTTTTTCATAAATCAATATTTTAAAAAAAATTCCCTCTTGTATACCCCATCGCTTTACACACTGTACATATAAATATTTTTCAGTCACAAATAAACGTGGATTATGCCTATTGAGGACACCACTTAAAAAAAAGTATTAATATTTTTTTGTAGGAAATTTTTTATTATGAAGCGTGAATATTGTCCTGCAGTTGATGTTTATAATGCTATGGAATTAATTTACTCTTACCTAGAAACCAAACACCACGGGAAATGCCATTTTCTACTGAGCGAAGTACTGAATGTGATTAAATGACGAGACGAGCCTGACCGAATAATCAAATCATGTCTGAACAAAAATATGATGAAGACATTGATAGCGGAAATCAAAAATAAAGTATCTGTTTTTGAGGAATAACTATTTCTGCATTGTTATCAAATTACTAGACTTTTTTTTGTTAAAAAATCGTATGGAAAGTATTACTTTTTTTCGCGATTTTCACTATGCGTTTCCATGGCGTTTAGATATGAACAATAGCACCAATTTTTGAGTGACAGCAAATGGTGAATGTTAATGATATTCAATTAGTAAAATGGGCGATATACGATCACGGTTGAATTACACTTCAGAATATCATCTGACATCTGTGTGGAAGGGTCAAATATTCTGGATAATGGAAAAATCTGTGCGATAGGTATTCTCACACGACTAGCATGTTATAGGGGCAGACCAGACTGCTTTTCCTGCCGCCTATTTATCGGCAGCACCTGTCACATAGCTAAATGTCTGTAATGACTTCTGTCATCACTGACAGATTGACATTAATCAAATGTTCTATATTATGTACTCAGGTGCACCATCCTGTTGAAACCGACAACAGTTTCCAACAGTTTTTTTGTACCGTACATCGTTCTATTCGTAATAAAAGATGCTACTCAATACAGTACTTTTTTTGCGGGTCATATAAAAAAATAAATATAGGACACCGTGTATACCGGCAATGTAGATCTTTCTGCTCTGATTTGTGCTTTTATGACTTATTGAAAAAAGTTGTGATTGGTTTTTTAATCACTAACTCCTTAATTTTTTATGATGGAAAGTTAATTAAAAAACCATTTTGTAGGTTTTTACAAGAGCTACAAGACCTTTGACAAGCCATAACTTGGTTCATATTTGTCATACAGAAATCATTTAAAAAAACATTTTATTTGGTATTTCAAAAGCTACAATTTTGTTCTCTATATTATTTAAGAAATCCATACTTTCCAAGTTTTTCGCGAATAACCATTTAAAAACATTGTTTTTTGGAGGTTCTTCTCTATGAAATCTAATATTTTTAGTCACGAGTAAGTTAAAAGTATTAACTTTCTAAAAAGAAATGTATAGAACACTTTTTTTCTTAGAATTAATCTTTCTATCTATTCCTGTGGTGAAATTGTAATAAAAAATTTCTATCCCCGACACTGGGAGCGCACTAGCTTTTCTCCTTCTTTTACCTATTTAAGGTAAACCATTACTCCATCAAATTCCTACTTCCGCCAATTTCAATAACAGCAAAACAACGCGTTGTGCGTCCCCACTTACGCCGAAATTAATGCACAAAAGAATCATGCACCTGCCTTATTATCAGCCTTAAACGCACGGCGTCTCGAAACGAATTGACTTTCGGGATAACAATGTCCTTATCGCATCCGAACACTACTTAAATGCACTCGACCAGATGTTCAACATTCTAACATGCAAATTTCCAATTTTTTGTTGAAAACCAATCAGCCTGTGCTAAAAGTAAAATATTCATGACCCCTACATTTTTGAAAAAAATAATTCAGACTTGTGACGCGCCCTCTGTGTTTATCCTCACCTCACTTATTTTTAAAATCATCACCCAGTAAATGTAACTTAATTTTAGGCATACAGGCATGTAGATAATATACAATTCGAAAACACGCAACTGGTAGAGAGATTTTTAAATTATTGGCGTACAACAGGTCACCAAAGAATTGGATTTTTATACGGAAATTACGAAATACACACTGATGTGCCTTTAGGTGAGTTTCACGTCCGATCACCGCGAATTGTACCGTCGCCGTTTTTAGGAATTAGAGCGAACGTTTCTGCAATATACGAACCTCCGCAGGAGAGCAGTCGACATTCGATACAATTGCTTCCGGACGAGAACGAAGAATTAGTTAATCAAATCGCGTTAGCGTTAGGTCTGAGGCGGGTCGGATGGATATTTACAGATCTGCTTGCGGAAGACGTTAAGAACGGCACGGTTAAGCACACGAGGAGCGCCGCTACGTATTTCTTATCGGCGCAGGAGTGTATCATGGCGGGTCACTATCAAAATCTTCATCCGAATCCTTGTAAGTTTGCGAGTAGCGGGATTTACGGCTCGAAATTTGTTACGGTGTGTGTAACGGGTACGTATTGTTGCTTTTGTAACATGGAGTTCTCATTTAGAAATTGTAGGTGATAAAAGTTTCCAAGTGCACATGGAGGGGTATCAAGTGTCCAATCAGTGTATGGCGCTGGTACGTGATAACTGTCTGTTGCCGACTAAGGATGCCCCCGAATTAGGATATGTTCGAGAGTCTTCAGAAAAGCTGTACGTCCCAGATGTTTATTACAAGGTGAGTCTGAGTAGTCTAATTTGTTACTGACGATAGACAAATATGCGTAGAACAAAAAAGGTTTTCAGGGCATTGAAAAGAGGAGAGGGCAAAATCTCTTTTATCCATAGGCGTATTAAGAAACAGCTTGTACAGGGTGTCCCATTAATAATGGTCACGGGCCATATCTATGGAACCGTTAATTGCACAGCCTCAGGGAAGAAATTTTGTTAACAAAAGGGGTCAAGAGAAATCCCTGGAAATTATTTTCGCCGCTAGAGGGCGTACGATTAATGTGACTTTTTTCCTAAAATATATCCAACAAAGATGCATAAAAAATACATGCATAGCAATCAATTTTGCATCATTTTGACGCAGCACATATTTTGCTCTAGCTCATAAAATATAAGACGTGGGAGAAGGGGAACATCTATTTAAGGAATTGAATGTCTAGGTTAACAGATTTTCACATAATAGGTCTTGTTGGAAAGAGCTCTCTTTGTGGAATCAGATTTTACACGAATAGAGTCTCTTTAGTAAATGTGATTGATGAGTGGTAGAGGGCGCGATGTGACATTAACATAAACTTTGCAGGTTTTTTTGAAAATTTCAAATGGAACGATATAATTATATGATATTATCAAATAAGATGAAAAAGTGAGAATATCAATGAAAACCGCATTTTGAAATCTGTTGCGAAAATACGACCATTATTAATGAGACACTCTGTACATTCCCGGTGGTTTTAATTTTTTGTGTATTATGGATTCTTAAAAACGAGCTTATAGTTTCAGTAACTGTGGGCAGTTTGGTCCCTTTATAAGCTCTTTATAAATCGATCGAGATTTGGGCAAGGGAATATTGTACTATCGTGTTATTCCTGCATCGCTTAGTCTAATAGCTACGGATCTGTCAAGTCACACACAACGGCTAATTGTCCGTTAGTTCGCGCGCCTTTTATAAATCTACCAATATCTAGATAAAGGAATACCGTAGAGCCTTCTGGTTTTCCACATTAGTGTCGTACTATCGAGTCATTCCTGCATCTTAAAGCTGAAAGCTATTGCTGAAGTTGACAATTTATGAATGTCTCTTTTTTAAATCAATCGAGATCTCGACAACGAAATACCGCAGAATTTTGAGGTTTTCAGTAATAGGTTCGTATTATAGAGTTATTCCTGCATCGATTCCTAAGCAAGCTAAAAGCCATTCTTTTGGCTTTAGCGTTAGTTAGATGTTGGATAAATTATGTGTTCTTTGTTGTGAATTTTTTGTTGATGATCTGTTAATTTAAATTGAACGTTTAATCCTTTATACAGGGTGGTGCCTAGCGCGACGCAGCATAGGGATTTCAATGGTAATTTCTTTATAGTCAATTACTAGCTCCCCTAATTATTTTAGAGCAAAAGTCTAAATACGTTTTTTTTTAGAGAAAAAAATACTGCATCTGTTCATACTTTTAGTTATAATTTTCCATTTTTCAAAACCGTAGAAATGACAAAATAAAAAATTACATTTTTATAAATCAGTGATGCTTTGGAATCTTTTAACAAACTACAAGCGCATCGCATCTAAGTTATCGTTGTTTGATGTCGAACGATTTTCATATTTAATTCTGTTTCAACTAACCGACGCAATAAAAGGCATCTTAGGGTAATGTTTATTTGGAGGATGTATGCTGCATCTGCATCAGATACTACTTGTTTATCATTTTCCGGAATCAGAGTACCTACATAATCGAAGAAAAAAAAACTGATTTGAAGAAGATTTGTTCCTAAACTTATATTCGGATTTTCCGCTACTGCAGCCAAAACGTTGAATGTATTGTCGTTTTCCTGATGGTTTTGACGCAAATTTTGAACGTTATTGCACTTGCAGTTCTTTAACTAATTTATAAACAAGTATAAATTTAATATACGTCAAAGGCAAATAATGAAACGTGATCGCTGTTTTTTTAGGTAATTGCAAGGCATATTTGATTTATTGTAAAATGAACCTTTTTATTTTGTCGATTTCTACGGTTTTGAAAAACGGAAAATTATAATGAATGGTATGAACAGATGCAGTATTTTTTTCTCTAAAAAAAACTTATTTAGACTTTTGCTCTAAAATAATTAGGGGAGCTAGTAATTGACTATAAAGAAATTGCCATTGAAATCCCTATGCTGCGTCGCGCTAGGCACCACCCGGTATAGATGTGTTATTACAAAATTAGTATAGTATAATTTGTCAGCCTTTCAATTTTTTTCAAACTATGTAACAAGTCACATAGCATTCTATTTAAAAAATACGTTAAAACAAATAAAAACATACTTTGTTGAATAAACCAATGATCAATTGTTTTTCTGATTTAAGCATTCTAATTCTCGGAAAAAAATGCTTAATATGCGGTAATTTAACCGACTTAAGTAGCTAGATGGAACACGCCCACTAATAAAAAAAAGATATAAAAATAAAGTCAATTTTACCTTCTGATTTTTATTTTTTTTCTCGATAACCGTCGTAAATACGAAAAAATTATGAGAGACCAAACAGATTTCCATCAAATCAGAAAATTACATTCTTATTTTACAATCTACCAGTGGCGCACCGAAAAAAAGCTCAGAGGTAGAAAATGGAACATAACTCTTGAAAAAACAACACCTCGTAAAGTGTAGACAGGTTTTTCCCCAAATTTTCCGGTTTTTTACCGACAAAGAAATTCAAAAATCTTAGACAAAGGAACTACACCCAAAGAGTACTAAATACCTATAAAGAGATTGTTAGCCTATTTTTATATTATGAAAACCATAAATAGGAGACAGCTCCAACAAAGTAGAAACATTATAGATTTCTACAGCGGATTTTGAGGTTGTGTCGCCCGCCAGTTTCATATAATTATAATATTTACTAGGACGTTTATGTTGTTAAAATTCAAATCGAGAGAGTTATGTATGTATTATGCAATGTGCAAATTTTATATCAAAGTAAAGGAGAGGGATCTGTTTGTTTTACAAAATTCCCATACATTACAGTTAAGTTAGCCAATTATAAAATTGCTCGTATAGGTTTGATTATATTTGTGTACGTCAATTTGTTGTTGGTATTTTCATACTAACTATTTACAATTTGTAATGATTGCTCATTAAAACAATGAATAACAACGGAAGGTTAGATGTCTACCATAAATATATATTAAAAAAATAGAGATGTGAGCTCAATGGTATTGCTGCTTGTAACTTACTCTACTGCATGGTGACATTAAGTTACCAGTGTCTTCAGGGGAGTCCTGATGTCACTGGAGATTCTGATAGTTTTGTTCTTTATCTTATGCATAAGAACTTTCCTTGCACTGAGCGTTAGTCCTACCAACTCTGATTGGAATACAGTAGGAAATTTGCCTAGGGGTTGGGTGATATACAAGTACAGTTCTTTGGAGGAAATACCAGTGCCTGTTCCTTCCATAGTTTTAGATCCATCCGTGAAGATGAATATGTCTGGTTGGGATGGTACATTCTCATCAAGAGAGGTGTGGTAATTTTTCCCTAAGATGAATTGGGTAGTGAGTGAGTCCGTTCGCCCTTCTAGGATAGGGCCTATCCTCAGTACCTCATTTTTCAGACGCAAGGATGACAGGGCTATTTGCTCTTTCGGCTTTAAGTTTGATATGTTTGCTTCAATTCAGTTTTTTTTTCAAGTGTGATTCCTAGATATTTCATTGACTCTGTTGTGGCAGCAGCTTTAAGGTGGAACGGTTCCTTTTGCCCCCCAAAACCAGAAACCCTCGATTTAACAACCCAGGGTTCTAGAATGAGGGCAATTTCTCTTTTACACTGTTGCAGGTATTTGCATAAAATGCTCTTTCATACTTATGTCTGTAGACAATACTTGTCTATTGTTCATCCTGCATCGGACTCCAGCAGCGCCTTAATGTTCGTAAACTCCTCCAAGTTCGAAACCAGCGTGGGTGGAGTTGCTTCCGCAGCTTCATGCAGTTGCCCCTGTAGCAGCTGCTGGTGTTACTGACGTAATCCCCACATCAGGTTAGCTAGGGTTACAAACCCTCACCTTTAGGGAGGAAAACCCATAACTGAGTAAACTGAGTTTCAAAAGTTTCAGCCTCCCTTGAGGTTAATCTTTCACAGCTGTGTAGTGTAGACACCAGCTACCTACATTTGCCCAGCGCCTCTTCACCGCCACCAGATCTTCAGGTTCCCCTGAAACCCAGACGACAGCCTCGCGGAGGCAGTCTTCCTGCACTACCTTTAGGTGTACAGCCTCCCACAATAATGAGAGGTTGCAAACCACCTCCTTCAGCCACACAAGGGAATGGTTCTCGTCTGAGTACCTCCACCCCCTGAACGTGGGTGCTACTGTTGACCAGGTGATCTTGTACCATATCCGCCTGTGAAGCATCTACTGTCAAACAGGGGTACATCCGGCTGTGGGTGTGCTAATTTCGCAGTTTGGCTCAAGTCATCATTAAGCTCTTGAAAAATATTTTTCGTCTCAACTGTCCATTGCACTTCAACAAAAAGTTGTCCGTATGAGTGTGGAAAGCTCTTCTAGTATAAAAACAATCACGTTAATCATCGCAGGTAATCGCCCACTGCAACACTGGTCGCATGTGTACAAAAATTATGCAATTATATTTTCATCTCTATCTAGCCTAGGCATAAATTTTGTAGTGGGCGGCTACCTGCGACTGTTTTTATACTAGACGACGTATAGTTTAAAATTTGGAAGTTGATGAGATGGGTACAGACCTTATTAGCGAGTTTATGAATTTTAACTTTCTGTCCGTCCGTGAACACGATAACTCATTCACAGTTTCGAACTTTCCAATTCTGTTTTTAGCAATAGGTAGACACTGGTCAAGGGACTAATTGACTAAATTTTGGTCAATATTCGTCAACCGGAAGTGACTTTGTTGCCTATATTGGTGCAGTTTATTAGGCAGGGGTTACTGTATGCGAGATACGGTCTACCGTCAGAATTTGTGTCAAATACACAGTGAAGTACTTTTTCAGCGATGTAGTGGTGGGCTAATGAAAAAATCTCCTCGTGCAAACAGTTCTAATGAACCAATAGCTTATCAATCTCCCAAAATCATAAAATCGCAGTGCGACTAGGACTAGCGGGAGACCGAAATTTAGTCGCAGGTACTGTATGTGTGTGTGAACAGCTCCATAAGACGCTATGTGGTTTTAGGTGATTTTGTACCATATCCGGCTAGTTAGCTATTGGACTCCCCAGATGGGATCTATGATCGCTACCTTCAGTTACCTTTCAGCAGCTTGCTGTGTGGTGCTCCAGCCCACGGTCTTATACACAGGTCTACAAACTCGGTTGTTTTGGATGAGGCTCTTACGTGACGTCAAACTCGTAGTCCTTCGCTTAGTTGCTAGGTGGCGTATGTATCTAGGGATGTTGTCAAGATTATTTGGAACCGCTTATGTCGGTATAAGCATTGTTTATAGTATTTTACATTAGCCAGGTAAGTGAGTTTTTACTGGCGATAGGAGAAGTTGATTGGCGAGCCGTCAGGCGAGTCTGTCATCTCCTAGAGCCAGTAAAAACTATTACCTGGCGTATAATGTACAATATTTTATTTGTTACTCATTTGTAAACAATAGTAAACGTAAATAATTAGTTCTTAAATTGATCTTGAAGAAATGTCTAAAATATCATGTTATCCATGTAACAGAGACTTCGCATTAATTCTGGCCAATGAAATTACTAGATTACTAACTTGTAAAATTTTTAAGCTGTCAGTTTTACAGGTCAGCTGTCAGTTTTACAAGTCAGTAGCGTTTAAACATGACGTTTACCCGTTTGCGTTTTGTCTTGTTAATCAACGTTTACAACTGAGTAACAAATAATAGTATTTTACATTATTAGCCAGGTAAGTGGGTTTTTACTGGCGATAGGAGAAGTTGACTGGCGAGCCGTTAGGCGAGCCTGTCATCTCCTAGAGCCAGTAAAAACTATTACCTGGCGTATAATGTACAATATTTTATTTGTTACTCATTTGTAAACGTAAATAATTAGTTCTTAAATTGATCTTGAAGAAATGTCTAAAATATCATGTGATCCATGTAACAGAGACTTCGCATTAATTCTGGCCAATGAAATTACTAGATTACTAACTTGTAAAATTTTTACAGGTCTGCTGTCAGTTTTACAGGTCTGCTGTCAGTTTTACAAGTCAGTAGCGTTTAAACATGACGTTTACCCGTTTGCGTTTTGTCTTGTTAATCAACGTTTACAACTGAGTAACAAATAAAAGTATTTAAACAATGGTATAAGTATTCGTAAAACATACGTCCCTTTGGCGCAGATGGTATAATCGTTGGCATACATTGCGGTTTCAAATCCGAACGTGTATACTTTTTTTTTCTATACGTTCAATAAATGTAGGCGACTTTTTGCATTAATTATTTGAATTACGAGGAAGGGTAATAGTTACACAATGGAAAAGGTACTACGGGATACTTAATATAATACGGTAGTTAGGATAGGTACGATTTAATTGAGAAAAGTTAACTCGAATTGTTCTCTATCCGATTCAAAATGCGCCCTCAAAACATTGGGCGCGGTTGGCGGCAGATTTTTACGCAGCAAATCTGATAAACGGCTACGCTAATAATCTGCTTTTTGGCCAGCAGCACCTGAACGTTAAAACAACTTTTTGGAATCGCATTCATCGGCGGTTTTTTTGCGTAGCCGTAGAGGTTCAAGGTGACGGTAGTCCTTGTGTTTACAATTACAAATGATTACAAGTCACTAGTCAGCTATGACAGTTGTCAGAAAACATCCCTCGACTCATGCTCCACCCGTGACGACTTTCTGGTACTACGCGATCGACGACGTGTAAGAGTCTTACTTCTCATAGGAAATAGGCTTGATTTTCCAGACCTGTATATACGACCGTGCTCCAGCCTTATTGACACCCGCGTTTGGTTGGGGCTGTGGTCTGCCTTTCTTTGTCGGCGGGTGGGTCAGTGGCAAGTCATCCGACCTTTGTTTCTTTTTCTCCCCGCCTGACTGGAGTTAGCTCTAGGAGCGTCAAGGGTTGGTGGCTAGTTTGGCGGTGACTGTTGGCGCAGTTTGACCCATTTGGGTCAGTCTTCTGCTCAGCGCCAGAGATTAGTGTCCACTAGTAAGGAATTTTGTAATGGGAGAAATAAAACGAGCGATGTAAATGCGGAAAGTTATTTATTTGAATTCTATCTCGTGAGGTGGTAGGTACTCAAGTTATCACAAATATTAGTTGGGTCCAAGGCACAGACACTGGCTGCTACACTGAAATCGCTTGAAGGAGGCTAATAAACGTTAAATTACAGATTTTAATTTACTATAAAACAAGCGCGAGTGATCGGCTCTATTGTAAAGTACGGCATTAGTTAACGATGATCGAATGAGAACGCCCTACTTGTTCTATAGCTAATTACATCTGTTTACATTTACGAAACGCATTTAGGATTGTACTAAGCTAAAATGTACATCGATAGTTCTAATCTAAACGATTGCACATGATGCCTGACATTAATATTTTTTTTAATTGTTTTTTACTAATATGAAGAATTAACATTACATTCGTTTCAAATGTTACACATTAAACACTTAAAAGGGAAAACTTTTAATATACCTAAAAATGTACTTTGCTTTTTCCAAGTTTCAAATCTGTCTTGGCATTCTTTCGTTGTATATATCAAAAAGCTTACGGTTGCCCGCCGCCATATGCAAAAGACGACATGAAACTGGGTAAGAGTAATATATATTTACATGCAAGAAGTGATATAATGTAGTACATTAAGATATAGAAACAGGTACTTCAAAGGTCCGCAATACATTTAAAGGCTAACATGTAGACTACACTTTTGCGTTGATGCTACGTTGTACCGATACATTTATTAGAAAACAAACCAAAACCGTTTTGTACTTTAAATCGACACATAATTCCCGCATGACCCTAACTAACATAACCTTTTCTAACAATTCAAAATTTCGCTATAAAATTTTCCTAATCGCCGACCGCAACGTATCCGTCCGTTCTGTACACTTTTTACATTCGTTCTCACGAAAATAATTTTTTCTCTTTTTTTGGTTAAGGCACCAAATAAAGGATGGTACATTTAGAAACGAATTTTGCCAAAACAGGGAAAAGATAAAGAAATAAAAAAAGTTGCTAAAATAACTTTTATTCGTAACATTCAATATATTCTGCTTTTTGAGAGCATGTCTATACCACATAAATATTACCCGAATATTGGATCTATGTGCTAAATAAACTTTAAAATAAGTATAACAATTACCGATACAACCGACTTACACCTAAATAATGTTCATTGGCTCAATTACGCACTTTCGTTTCACAAATAAAAGTACATAACGCTTCGTGATACTTCTCGAATGAACATACTTTGGTAAAATTTACGATTTGAAAATCAGTATTTAAGAACGTACTTTGTTATACACGACTGGCCATTTGCATTACGATTCATTGCGGCATTACGACGTTCCCTCTCTGATTTACAAATATTACACAATTTTAAAAAATCACCAACACAATTCCAGCAAGCGAAATATTGTAAAAAAAACAATGCCTTTAAACTAAGGATAATTCTATAAGTATATCGACATCCTGAAAAAAATTAGGCCTAAGTTACTTAGTTTCCAAAGCTTAGCTCTGTGTACGTATTTAACTAAAAAAATGACTAATCACCTCCCCTTGAACCATTCTTATAAAACGCGATCGTTTGGAAATTTCTAGGAATTAAAATTTGAAATATTAACACGCACTAGCACACTAAACGTTTTGTAACAATATAAACGATTGCTATTTAAGCTACGAATTCTTATAAAGCTAATAACATTCAACGTCAACGTTCGCCATTTTAAAAATATTGATCCATCTGCTTTACGCTATCTTTACGATACGAAAATATAGTTGTTTTTCGGAAATTGATAGAAAGCTAAGACGGTCGTGTTTTAAAAACTATACGATAATGCGCAAGCTACATGAAACATTTATAGTATATAACTTTTTTTATCATTAGTAGTAGTACGATTATCTTTTTCTCAAAGCGAACCATTTGCTTTTCTTTTTGCAAAATCGAAAGACCCTTTTTAATGTTAGAAGCGGCTTAAAACATTAAAAAGCGCCATATAATTTAGATTTCTTATACAATATTCGCAACGATCCTTAACCGAAAACCAAATGATATTTTCAATTACGGTTATATCTAGGTTTTTTTTCCCCCAATACCTAAACCTAAAACTAACAAATTTGTTGTGCTGAGGAATAAGGCTTATCGATATGATCATATATCGAAAGTAATCAAAAGGAAATTGTAAAAGAAAACGATGGCACGTACCACAAATCGCGTGCACACGTCCGATCTAACTGGTTTTTTGTCAAAATGGAATCGCACCGTGTCTACATTAATAAAACGTAAAAATAAATGCCATGCCAAATGAACTATAAAACTATTGACAGAAATCTACCTCTAAACCGTACTAACCTAACTTATAACTTCCCACACTTTGATATCAGTATATTCTTCGTCGGCTTGCCGGCGTTGTCGCCGTACGTACTAATTTTTTCGACTAGGTCCAGCCCCTCGACGACGTGCCCGAATATGCCCGTGAAGCCGCGCATCTCCTGCAAAATGACGCGAAATTGCGAACCGACCATTCCCAGGTTGTCGTGCCGCTTTTGCGTGCGCCGCATGCCGACCGTTCCGCGTACCGCCAGCAGCTTTGTGTCGTCGGGGAGGAAGAAGGAGTCCTCGAAGATCGATCGACCGCCGCGACCGTTGTTCAACTCGAAATCGCCCGTTATCACGCTCTCCCCCTCCCAGCATTGGAAAATTGAGCAGCCCTTGTAGCCCATGCCCGCCTCGCCCGTCGTCAGCACACCGAAATTCTTCGCCATTTTCGGCGCGACGTCCGCGCGTACTTCTATAACGATTCGGCCCATCGGCGTGTTATTTACCTCGATGTTAAAGTAGTAGAGCGGACAAAGGTTGGAGGGGTTTTTGATGATTTGCGGCGAGTGGATCATGTTTTGTACGAGCATGTTGTTGTCGGGGTACATGTTTTTTGGCGACGTTAGTAGGAGGTGCGGCGGCCCGTGCGAGGCCATGTAGTTCGGGGGGAGTGGGGGAATCGCGTTGTGATTGTGGTAGTCGAGGTTGCCGTTTAGGGGCTGTTTCGAGAGGACGTGCCGCGAGTACAGCTGGGACAGACAGTAGTTGGCAAGGAAGAGGATGGGGTTCTGCTGGTTGAGTGGCAATATTCGAGAGTTGCTCGCGAACGACATCTCGCCGCTGTGAATGTTTCCGACCGCTTGTTTTAGTAATTGAAAATCGAGTACGACCGTCGAGTTTCGGATTAAGTCGTCTAATTGGCATTGGAGATACATTTCTTGGTAACGCGATTGCAATCGTTGCTTTTCCATCGTTAGGGACGAGTATAGATTTTGCACGTCTACTAAACTGTCGGCCACCGAGAGGTTCATTCTGGCTTTCGCTAAGTAGTCGCGCGTTTCGGTTAACTCAACGTGAGCGTTACTATTCGTCAGTTCCGCTTCGACGTGCGTTTTTAAGGTGACGCATGCCTCGAGAATTTTCACCAGAAATTCTCGCTGCTGCATCGTTAAACGTTGTATTTCGGACAGGATCTTGTTCATTGATACGAGATCCATTTGTACTTCCGTAACCAATTGGTCTTTCGCTTCGTTCTGCGATTTGATTTGGTGATTCGTGTGTTCACTTGTCGACGCGCACGCGCGGCACAAGGGCGAACAACACGTATGACACCACAGCGCCAACGGCATGGCGTGCGTGTGGCAGTTTTCGGATATTACCTTTGGAGGTTGCTTTTCGGGAGGTTTCGCGCCCAACTTCAGCTGGGCGAAGTTCTTGGTTAAATGCAGCACCGGAGCGTAGGTCGGCAGCGATTCGGGTCCCATCTCACCAAGCTCGGTACGTTTCCAGCAATGGACGCAAAATAGTTCACCTCCCTTTACGAGAGTCGTTCGCATGCACTGCAGACAAAAATAATGCTTGCACGATAACATCTTGGGGCTTTGGTCCGTATCGTTAAATTTCTGTTTACAATATCCACATAACGTTAATTCTTCGAAATCGGGTACTGCTTCCATATCTGAAAACGATACAAATTAAAAACTCCAACACCCGGGACTAAAAATGACTACTTTACTACCGCAAAATCGTAAGTAACGGAGCATTTTTACTCTCAACCATAATGTGAAAACAAACAAAATCTGATGTCGGAGTGAAAGTAATGTCAAATCTGACAAATTCCGTTGACTTGTTGCCATAGTAACCATATATGTGGTAGAGATTCCCAATTAAGGCCAATTTACACTATAGTTCAGGTCACGTGACCAATAATGTGAATCTGCATTTAATTGGCACCAATATGTCGCTTTACTTAAAATTGGGATTTGGGCAAATAAAAACTTCGTGTCATCAATAGTACCAAGTGCCAAATCGGCACTCGATGCATTACATTAACTTAAGAATGCCTTCTCAACTTCATTTTATAGAAAAATGTATGCGAGACTAGGCCAATTTGCGCCGAACTCGCATTCGGCTCGCTCGGCGATCGTAGATGCATTACATTAAATTTTAAAAATGCGTTACATAGAAAAAGTAGGAAAAAATGTAGAGGGATTTTTGCCGAATGAACGGATTACATATAAGCAGAAGCTTTTGAAATTAAAAAAATCGCAGATCAAACATTTTTTGGAGCAATTTCAGTTGTTTCGGTAAAGGGGGTCTAAAAATTGTGATTTTCGACCAGTGCGACCCAGAGTGAAAAACAATTACTGCAAAGCTGTAGATATTTTTTTAAATTTATAAAAAAAAAGTTTTTGGTAAGCATCATTTAGTTTTTAATATTACCATTATATTCTTATATATTATCGTTTTATTGTTTTTAGTTAAAAAATTTTTTTTAAATTAAAAGTTAAAAACGGAGTTGCACTGAAGAAATCACACGATTTAAAAGACATTGTCGATATGCATGTCATCTTATCCAGTTATTACTATAATCTATGTTTTGGCGTTTTGAAACTTATTTTCCCGAAATATTAATTTTTGGTATTAAAATATAATGGAACTAAACCAAACCCAGTTTCGAAATTCAAACAAAAATAATTTTCTTTATTTTATTCTTTCAAAAAATTAAATATTTAACCCCCGTATTTCAATGTGCATATGTTGATCGCAAGGATTTGCAATTGCATAGAAGTTCTTTAAGATTTTTTTATAAAAACCAAAAAATATTGTTTTTCAAAAAATTAAACACTACCGCTAAAACACTATAAGTAAATAATTCTATTTTACTTAGTTCTGTAAACAAAATTTCGTGCTTCCATATCACTCTCCATACGGTTGTTAGTGTTGAATGAAATAGTTCAAAAGCTGAAAATAAAGCAAATGACTAATTTGCACGTTAGAATTATGAGATATCTTTTTATTGATAATTTAGAATTGCGATTTTTCAGTCATTTAAAGTAACCATAATGTTTTTTTAATAATATGTAAAAAATAACCAGAGCTAATGTTTATTTTTCTTTGACAAGTAATTTACGTTTTGCTTGCAAATTTTAAAGAAAGAAACACAACTTACGTAAATTGCACATTCAATTGTTGCTTTAAAAAATTATACAAGACACTAAATAGTTAATACATTTGTAAATTATCACTTTTTTTAACAAGGATATTTATTTAAAATTTTCCATAAATGAACTGAACATTGTTTTTACAAAGAGAACGATTGCCTTTTTTTAATGTTGTACAAATGCTAATCGTTAATTGAAAGTTATACAAAATCGCATCTTGATGGAAAAACCACATTTTTACCCTCAGACTTATTTGACTATGAAATGCACCAATGAGAATCATTAGAGATGGTGAATGATCCAATGCTGTTTTTTGTAAATCCAAGAGTTTCTTTAAATTTAACCCAAAATATATTCGCTTTGTTACTGATGATATCACCCAACACTTAAATTAGAAAGTACATTAGTAATTTTCACTTTTACTTTAATTTTGAATTAGGTATTAGCAAATATAAACAGAAAAAACCCAAAGCAAAAGTGGTTTTTATCTTACATAAAACCTGAATTTTTCCTAACTGAAGAGCTTTGGATTGGGAAAATGCTGTACATAAATTATACATGTTTATTACCGTGTGCAAAATGCCCATCTTCAACTAAAATGGTCAATTCCATGAAGGAATCCCCAGGTTTGGAGGAAAGTGTGCCACCACACCTTATTAATACGTCCATCCTTATCTTTTCATGTGATAAACATTAAAATTTATGACAGTGGAGAATTATTTTATGAAGGCCCGTCGCCTACTTTGCGCTTAAAAGCTACTTCGCAAACAATTTGCCATCGGTTTTGCATTGAATGGAAATGTCGCAAGAAACCTTCCCATGCACGTTTCGTGTAACCAAATTGATAACGTATCGCAAATTTCCTTCCTTATTCCCTTAATTTGAACGCTAATTTGTTTGTCGGGGAAATCGCCGAAAACGAAAACGTGAAATTTCCCGCCAAAGCGCATTTAAAAATGGTAGATTCGACAAGTGGGTCCGCACCTGCGTGTTGACAACAAGTAAATAGAACGTTGCGAGACCAAGCGCTCTCCCCCGTTTCCAACGAGAAAATTCCCTCGATTCCCCGTTTTCGCAAACTCTAAATCTAAATTTGGCCCTTATAAATTCAGAGGCTTACCGTTTTATTTACGTTGTAACACAGCCTTTTAGTAAATCCGATATACAATACGTAACGTTGGTCGTTAAAAAACTTCGATTTTCGTCAACGGATTTCGTGTTTTTGTACTATTTAACGGATTCGACGAATACAGTAAACGAAAAAGTAACTAAGTAAGATTTATATTACATAATTATTATATGCCGACACGATCGGCGAACGAATTTACGATAAACTTAAAATTAATTGTGGCCGCCGTTGCGATGTGCCACATCATGTTGACGACTGCGAGCACTCGTCTGAAGTTGGCCACGGGACGATCGAAGATGCCGCGGCGTACGCATCGACTTTTATTTGCGCGCCTAAATTTAAATGTCCGCGCCCAATTAATGGCGCACAAATCGGCGCAATTAAAGTCGGGGATCGTTTTAAAAAATTACATTATGTATGATGGAGTAGGAAAGTTCCATACAACGTGTGAAAAACAAAAATTAATTAAATTTCTACGCCTAGTAATTTTGGAAGCGGATTAATAATTGGAACCACAACAATTTCAGGAAATATTAATCTTATATCCTCTACGATTAATTATTATCATAGTGCACAAGGAGAGGTAGGTAATATTTTTGATATTTTCGGTTTCATTTCTCTTGCATTGCAGCTGTTTGTAGGCAACACATTATACACAGAGGACATTTTTAGATCTTATTTGGCGCGCCGCTTCAAGAAATTAATTTTTTTTTCAAAATGCACGCGTTTTGTCTGTCCATTCGTCCATGTGACCCACGCTGACAGGCTGTAACATTTCATTTTTCATAAACCTCGTTTTCATTAAGCAATCTATGTTAAAGTCAGTTAAAGTTAGTGTTAGATAAAAAATAATAGGAGGCGTATTTATATAGTTTAGAAAGATTAGAATTTTTACCGTAACTGTCACATGTAATAACGCTCAATCTTGTAATCAATAATATCATTTTCATTAAAGTTTAACGTTGAATTATATTAATCTATAGTTATAATAATAATTACGGCAGCAAAAGAATCGACGAACTCCACAGTCTATGATGGAATCTCTATACATCCAAGTGATTTCAAAAAACACCTGAAAAAAAGAATGTATGAGAAATGGAACTTTGCTTGGCAAGATGCAAATACTTACCTGTATAAATTTCAAAACAGCACACAAGCAATCAAAATAAATTACCATTTATCGAAAAGGGAAGAAATTGTTTTCACGAGGTTACGTATTGGTCATACTCGTATGACACATCAACATCTGCTGGGAAAAACCACACGAGAGGTATGCGATGTATGTCGAGATAGAGTCACTGTGGACCATATCTTAGTAGAGTGTCCAAAATACGCAGATCGGAGGAATGTGGCAGGTATGAGTGGAAACATTGCTGAAGTCTTGGATGGGGGTGAGGAGAGTCTGAGGAGGGTGATGGATTTCCTAAAAAGTATCAATTTGTTTAGAATGCTTTAAATAAGAAGTAACGATTGAAGCGAATAAATTGGGCGTAAGACCTTTGTTGTCGTTGCCTTAAAAAAAAAAAAAAAAAAAAAAAAAAAAAAAAAAAAAAAAGGAAATACTTATATTGAATTTTAAATTTTGTGCAAATACAAAAATGCACTTTTGTTGCCTAAATGGTGATTGTAGAATTTGCCAAATATTTGGGACCATCCTTAGCAGTGACGTGTTGAGGTCACTTGCAACAATCGAAGTGTTGATGTCTGCTTAAATATTCTAAGAGCTCATAAATAGTTCGTAATTTTCGATGGGAACGTGTGGTCCAAATAATATGGGTCTGGTCTCATGCGATGTTAAATTTAGTGCCCTAAAACTTTTAATAGGGCTATGTTTTCGATATTGTGAGTCTTTTACAAGATATGTCTGTAAAACCGTAAAAATACTCTTTTTGTAGGTACATTTTCACACACCCCTCCCCCCCACTTATAAAATTTTTTGTAGGATTTAAATCCGATTCGTTTAATTTGATGGTTTTATTCTACTGTCGTAATCTTGCCGGTGACGTTTCGAACTTTGCACTTTAGCCCTTTCAGCTTAAAAAGTGACACTAAATTACGCTAATTTCTCTTTTTTTTGTTTCAGGAAAATGATACCTACGGCAATGAAGTGTCACGATTGGGTCGTCCGTTACCAGTGGACTATCTCCTATTAGATGTACCGGCGTCGACGCCCTTAACTCCGCTGTACACATTCAACTCGGATACGTCAAAGAAATTCTTCCCAGTAGAAAATAGATTCGTGGACGGACACATTCAGGATTTTAACGCTTTGACTCAGTACATGTCGCAGTTTTCGCCGAACGAATTCCTGGTCGCCGTTAGCGATTTTCATTTACTCATCTACATAGCAACTATGGAAACGCTACCGATGTTAGAATATATGGGTCCTCTTTTGGATGCGATAAGAACTAGGGACGCGAGCGCCGCCTTGGAATGGTCCAAGTCGGAGCATTGGGCTACCGTCGAACAACTTATTGCAGCTACAAACTCGCCGCTGCCAAATTCAAGGTCACTATCGCCAAAAAGTAGTAAATATAACCTTGGCATTGTGTATAACATTCACTGTAGAAATGTGGCGCTCATTATCAAAAGCTACTCTGCTGCCGCCTCATGTGTAATAATTCTGTTGCAGATCTGGTAGTGCAGGATCACCAAACACGTCGGCAACGCCCGGCTCGTCAAGTGGAGCACAGTGGACGTGTCCTTTTTGTACGTTTCTAAATCCTGCCGAAGTTCACAGCTGCGAAATGTGCAACTTACCTCGATCTATGCCCCATTGAGTTTTGTCAGTAAGATGGCACAAAATCCGCTTTGTAATTGTATGATTACAGGTTCTCCGAATGTCACATTATCCGGGATTTGTTTTTCAACACTTAGTGAATTTTAGTTTTGGCTTTGATATTTATTAACGCAATCTAGCAATTTCTAAATATATTGTTCCACTATGATTTTTTAATTATTGTATTTCATTATTTTTTTAAATTTTTTATTCGACAGCGCAAACGTTTGGGTAACCTAATTGAATCCATTGAATTTGTAACAAACTTTTCTACATTTTGGCAAACTAAATTTGCGTCTTAAACGTGACAGTTGTGAATTGAATTGTAAAATGTATGGTGGAGTGAAAGCAAATAAAAATGTTAAAACTCTAAGTGCATCTTTTCCCTTGCACACCTCTTTAGGTAATGGATAGGATGCATTGTGAAACCTCAGCCCAAAAACTCTTCAGTTTAGAATCAATATGCGTATGAGTTGTGATTTACTAATTTCCCCATTTTTTTTTAACTGTTTAACTGTTTCGTCTCCCAGAATGAAATGCCGGAGTGTTAAAATACTTCAGCTGCATTCATCTCGAAAAAGGTTACCGTATCCAGGACCTTCAGATACCTTCTGGACTGGAAAAGCTCCGCCTAATTGAAAATGTATTTTTTGTAAGGGACTTCTGAGTGTTATTTTTCACAAATGGAAAACTGGTGAAGTTGCTTTGAAATCTATTTGAGCTGGTCATTCCTTATCAATAAAATGTTGCTTTAGATTAACGTCAGATTTAAATTATTCAAAAAAGTACGAATTGTTTTGGATTCTTCGCACCAAAATTAATAAGGAAAAGTGTTTTCCCGAGAAATGTTGGTGTAGTGGATTTTTGGTAAAAAAGGAAGGTTATACACTTCCTTTTTTTGAGCCCCGGAAAAAAAAATTGTCTCAGATCGACCCGGAAAAAAAATTTTCTTATAGAATGTGGCCTGCAGAATCCATAATTTCAAACAGTTCCAAGATTGGGCTACTAGTACAAAAGTTACAGCTCTTTGAATTTTCTTTCGAAATTGGTTTCGTCTATAACTTGATTAAGAAGTCTGATCGAAAAAGTACGAATTGATTTGGATTGTACGCACCCAAATTAATAAGAAAAAGTGTTTTCCCGAGAAATTTTGGTGTAGTCGATTTTTGGTAAAAAAAGGTTATACACTGACTTTTTTTGAGCCCCGAAAATAAAATTGCCTCAGATCGACCCGGAAAAAAAATTTTCTTATAGAATGTGGCCTGTAGTATAATTTCAAACAGTTCCAAGATTGGGCTACTAGTTCAAAAGTTACCGCCCTTTGAATTTTTTTCGAAATTGGTTTCTAGTCTATAACTTTTGATTGAGAAGTCTGATCGAATAATTCGTACGAGTTACTTGCCCAGATTGTTAATTTTTGGATATTGTAGGTGTGATAAAAACGTGTGTTTAGCGTATTCCACAGTTACTCTAGATTTCCCTCTATACTTATCCTCTGTGAACAGTGACTCAAAATTTTCTTCGGCTCGGTTCTTTTGTCTGATAGGTTCTAGGGGAACTTGGCATTTCTTTGGCTTTAAATGTATTCTGTCTAAATTTGTAGGAAGCCTTTCAACATTTTGATTCATTTTACACTTCTGAACAATTACGATAACTTTGTTTAGAATCGTCAGATCTCTTTGAAAATTGGTACACACATATTCTTAAGGATATAAGAGAGGTCTCTATTGTTTTTCAGCTACGTAGACTATCGGGCAAAAAGTTACAGCCAAAAAACGATCTCGAAAATCGGTATTCAGTTGTATCGGATCAATTTAATGCAACAAATTATCTTGCGCATTTTCACTATTGTTCATTTAAAATTATATTGACTATTAGAATAACTGATCAAAAAGCAAAGAATTATTTAATATACAAATTATACTATTATTCCATATTACATAGTGTTTGGTTTTGCGTTTCTTCTCTACTGTACTTCAGGTCGTTGTTTATTACAACTACCGAAGGGGACTCGCCTGGTTTAGGTCTTAGACTATTTCCTTCTCTAAGGTTTAGGCTTTATTTGATCACGTGCCACTCTTTGATTTCAAATTTAAGCGGGTGGGATAAACAGCTATTCCGGTAGCCATTTTTAAACGTTGCCAGGTTGATGTTATTTCCGTGTTACTGATGTACTGTGAAGTTAGCGCACTACAACATGTTAGGCTGGAAGTGGCGTTTCAAGGTACCAGGATAGGAACATAATTGGTCTGTTGGGGACCTAGCACACAACCCTTTCGTAAGATTATTCGTGGAAAATACAAGATGCACGAAGGGGTAATCATGCAAGTACCGCCATGGTTCGCCATTTATGGCGTGATAGAAGCAGATAGTCACGTATTAGCACTGTATCTCCGTCGTCCGTGTTGCGAGACGCAACAATTTTATGAAGGGGACAGTGTAGTAGATCTAGCGAATGATATCAAGGCGCCATCAAGTCGATAACGATTTACCTAGTCACCGCGGGCGATAAGGAATATAATAGGGGATTATCATTCTTTCTATGAAATATGATATGCCTTCCAGATTTTTCGAAAGTATGTTATATAAGCTGCAAATTGAATTGTCGCAGTCTTAACATCGTGTCGAAGTGATAAATAATTAAATTCGTGCTCGTGTTATAAATTAAGTGTTGTGCAAGCTACTACCAGTATAAACGATTAATATTGATTCTATTTAAGGACCGTTATAAATTCATCAATAATTATAATTTTATATAAATAAATCATTTAATTAAATTAATTTTGCTATCACATCGGCTTTTATACGTTAATAAACTGTTTCCTATTTGCAATTAGGAGCAGAATACAGTGCGAGTAATTTTTCAGTTCAATCACGAACATTCTTGGTTTCTCCACTACGTACCAAAGAGTACCCACCTAGGCACTCAATATATGAAATCAATATATTTTTAGCGCATTTTTGAAAATTTATTTGTAAAAAGATAGCTTTTAATCTCATTTTGCCGGCTGGCTGGCTGGCTGGCATGGCAGCAAATGAGGGCCTGTAGAAGAACGCTAGTATAAGTACGTAGTGTACATAGAAAGAAGAGGAGTGTACGTAATTAACAACTTTAAGGACGGGGTTTATGATGTGGGGTCGGCAGAAAGATGCGCTGAAATCACTTTCGATCACAAGCGAGGACTTTGATAATTTTTTTAAATAGACAATCTGCATATACCTACAGGTTGCTCTAAATATTTTACCAGCGTACTTATGCTAATTACAATGTAATTAATCATCAAGAGACATATTTCTCGCTGCATTAATCTGTCCTTAAATAAATAAAGTAACTTTTTTGTATTAAAAAGCAACAAAATTTTATTTGAAAAGATTGAAAATAATTAAAGATAATTTCAATAACCTGGGGTAATGTGAAACTATTCGCGGAATGGGAAGAGGTGGTAAATAAGCACGTAAAGTTAAAAATAGTCGCCTTTAGGTGAACCACATTTCGAAATAATATGCAGTGCATTTTACGCACAAATAATATTTACACAGTGGCATTTGACCAACTGCGAATTTGAAATCGTGCGCTTTTGATGCAACAGGAATTAGTCTGTGTTGACAGCAGGCTCAAGGTGTCACAAAAAAACTGGTCATCGTTCAAATTTTCCTCGTTATTCGCCATTCTTCAAATTAATTACCACTGGAAAGTCGTAATTAATTCGAAAAATAACGCCAGCTTACACCTTTACCTTTCTATCGCTCGGAAGTCGCGCCCGTTGCAAATCTACAAGAGATGACCTACAAGGTGGAGGTATACATTTATGATTTATCTCGAGGAGTTGCTGCGATGGTGTCTCCTTTACTGATAGGTAAGTTTTCATTCATAATTCTTACGCATTGATCTTTCTTTGTGCGCAAAAGGGAAACGTATCGACGGTGTCTGGCATACGTCCATCGTCGTCTACGGACGAGAATACTTCTTCGGATCTCAGGGTGTCGAAAGTTGTAGTCCGGTAAGTCTCCAGGTTAATTGCAAGAGTGACGTAGTAGATCATTAGCAGTTTGTATATAAATACTTCCAGCTCGTGTATAATTAGGCTTGAGTTTCTTTGTTTTTGTTTGCAAGTTTTTGGAATGTTGCTCTTATATAATGATTAATTACTTTTTTTGTCAAAGTACTTTGTAACTAGTCACAATTTTGTAGGTTTTAAACGCCTCGAGATTGCAAGCTTGATAGTTAGTGGAAAGAATTTCCCCGCGATTATCATAGTGGAAAGGACCTGTGACCCTCAGACTAAGGTCTGACACTGATTTCTTTGCCAAGTAATTAGCGTGGAAACTGTTGCATAATTAGTATAAATATTCAAGGGACATTCTTACATCATTCCTTCATGGCACGTAAACACTTCAAGAGCTCTAGAGTTTTAGTGCATGACACTTTTCTGGATTCCCAACTCTAAATGCATTATATTTCAATATTTTTAAACATTTTGTGAAATGTTCAGATTATGTGCTTCCCACAACACCATTGACGGGTCACCAGCCAATGATAGATTTTCCATATTTCATGTGAAGTTAGCAATAACAATACAACAATAAATACACAAAAATATGAATATGTATGAGCAAATCGTTTTAAATAATGTGAAATTATCAGTGGCGGCTGGTTATTCTAAAGGGCAGCAACGGCGGACAGTGCGTAAATTTTACCTCTCTCTGATGACCTCTTTTATGACCCTTTATTGAATCCGAAATTTTTAGATTTTGTTCTTCGCTTGTTAAAAACTTATAGACATATATAAATATCTAAAGTTATTCTAGCAGCCATTTAAGTTGCACCGAGCCCACCACTGTAGTTCTCAACAGTCCCTGGGAATATGTATCAAGAATAAGGTTCTTTTGTTTACATTGTTGTCAGATTGGTGTGTAAGGTGGGTTGCATAACTGTCAGGCTTATCAATGCATTGACTTGTTAATTTTAGAATTGAATATAGGGGATTTTTATGTTCAGAGTTAAAATTTATGCGCCGTGTGCTTTCGCAAGGTAAATGTAATCGGAGCGTACAAGTCCACTTTCAGACGCCAAAGTACCCCTGAATTGGACTACTCCATTTACTCTCGCATTTACGATAATTAAGGTTTTTTTGTTAGTATTTCTACAGTTGCAAGCAACTACATGCAGCTAGCCTGTTCTAGCTTTCTCATGCAGGTTTTAAAAACCCATGGATTAAGAAAATAAGGCACAAATTATAATTGTTTGAAAAGTTTTTTAAAAAATCACCACCTGTATGTGTTTAAGTGTTGATCTGACCTACGTTAAATTACCACCCAACAGTTATCCGCCATTTTTTTAAATGGAAAGATAGCATATTACACTCTCTTTTCGAAAATAGACCACCAGGGATGATATTAAAAAAAAGATTCAAGCGATTCAAAAATTTAAAAAAAAAACAATTCAAACAATTTAAAACAATTATAAAAGGGTTCATATGATTCCAAAAAATTTCAACAATTTTTTAAATTCCTTTAAAATCTTTTTTGTAAATGATAAAAAAATGGTCAATTTTTCTAATGGCCCTAAGTATATTTTCTTAGTTAAAAAAGATGTTTATTGCAACAGTTTCTTTATAATAATTGTTGAACAATCGACCGTTTTCAAAATAAGTATCTGGCGTCAGGTAAATAAGTTATTGGACCTAACCTCATTTTTTTAGTGGAAAAATACCATATTACATTCTCTTCAGGTTACCCTATATTTTCTGAGTTAAGAGAGATGTATTTTACAAAAGTTTCTTTATAATGACAAGTGAAAAAAAATTTCAAAAAAGATTCAAACAGAATTAAAAAATAGGCTCAAATGATAACGAATTCCAAAAAATCTTTTGAAGTCTTTTAAATTTTTTTGAATCTTTAAATTAATGTAGAATTTTGTTAGGTGCATATATTTGAAAAGAGAATTGAATATGCCACCTTTTTAGATTAAAATAACCAGGGTGTTCCATTTAAAAAAATGAAGTTAGGTCCGATAACTTTTACCTGATCCCCTTAACTGTTTTATTAAGTCATTTGGGAATTGACAATTTTTTAATTTTCCCTCGGACCTCTTAAGCGAGTGAATATTTTTAAATTTTGATTTTACCATTTTAGGTTTGACCAAAAAAGAGCACATTACGTCTACTTATATTACTGTTTTGATAGTATTAACAATTAGGGAGATAAGTAAAATAGGTAAATAGGCGGATTTCTTGCTACACGGCCATTACATGCTATTTTGAACAGTTTTTGTAAGTAACAATTTTTTCGGATTTCCTTAAAAATTCAGTTTAAAAAAACCTCAAAAATTCAGTGTAGGTCCAGGCCCAGTTTTTCATTCTGAACAATAATTCGTAATAATGCTTGTGCGTCTCTAACTGACCAAGACGCGGTCTATGGAAGCTGCGAAAGATGTCCCTTCACCTTTCGCATGACAAGGCAGTCGATGCTCGTCACCGGTTGATACGGGGGAGTTAAGCGGCGGCCGCTAACAAAAGACGCGGTCTATCCAAGATGCGAAAGGTGTCCCTTCCCCTTTCGAATGGTAAGGCGGTCGTAGCCAGTCACAGGGTGATACGGAGGAAATATTCGAAAGTTTAACCGGCGGTCGCTAACAAAGAGGCGGTCTATTGAAGATGTCTCTTCCCGTTTCGAATGGTAAGGCGGTCGATTCTAGTCACCGGTTGTTACGGAGGAGGCGTTCGAAGTTAATTGGTGGTTGATACGAAATAATTGGTATATGGAACGTGAAGGGGGTGGTCGATACGGAAAAGTCGATCTTTCCGGATGCAAAATGTAATCTCTATGACATTCTTCTTCCCTAAGGCATTCAAGTTTAGATTGTATGCACTTCCAAAAGTGGTTTTATTGAAATGTATCCACATGTGACAAGGAAGTGTCCCTTATTTGGTGTATAAGTCGAACTAAACCTAAAATTGTATAAATGATACTACTCTTTTATTACATTAACTGTTAATATACACGTTAAACCCAGCATATTTCAATTCAGTAGACGAAGTAGTTAACATAACTTCTTAGTCTTACAAAAATCAGCTGTCACTTCAGATTTTTCAGTTTCCCAGTAACAGCCCCAGATTTCGACGAACTGAAGTGAAGTTTTAATTAAGATTTTGGAAAATTTAGGACTTCTCCCGCAATTTTTTTGTTGAACACGCCTACATAAGTGCCCTCTAGCCATTTTTACTAATTTCATGATAGTACCTGGGGGGCTTATTTACGTCTATTCGGTATTCTCGCAGGATTAGGGCGTTGTGCGCGGGTGCACCATCTTGTTGAAACCAACCGTGTTCAACTTTTGTTTATTTTTGTGTGCCCTACATAGTTGTACCTATGTGTAATAAAAAATGCCACTCGATACAGTACGTCCTTTTTTCACGGCCCATATAAAAATAAAGTTGATGATTTGTCCGAAACGAAACGTTGCATTTCAAATCTCAACGGTATGTTGTAGAGCTCAAAAAGTGGCAATGAAAATAAGTTTTTTATTTTTCTGTATATCTGCTCAAATAACATCAGGAAAAAATCGACCAATTTCGGTTTTTCTGGCATAACTTCGGAAGTGATCGGAATTTTCTGATTTTCTTTAAAGCATGACTTCACACTTCAATTGCGCATCTTTTATCTAATTTGACCATTGTCGTATCCTCTATGGTTTCTGAGATTCTCATGATGGACATAGTGTGTAGAGGAATTATGCATATTTCCGGTTCTTGGTTCGTTTCCGATTTTCTCCCCTGCATTTGTTGTTGCGTTCTGATTTCTTGTGGCCTGTGGATCATCCTTTGCTGCATTTGTTTAAAGTAGTTACTACACTTCCATCCATTTTAGTAGTGGGTAGATTGCGTGTACTGTGTACTCTTTCACACTTCCGGCGAATGGTTCTGTCTAAAGGTATCGACATTTGTTTAATTTATTTAAAATCTGAAAACATTCAGGGATGCTCAATCAGAAATATTAGAATAAGGCGAGATTAGTTATTTTCCTAAACTGTAACCGGTAACACGGCGATTTGTTTTTCATTTAATTCCTCTATGATGTGTAACCTGTGTAATTCTAAATTTGGGAAGCTTCTATAAATAAACGAACTCCTACTGTTATACTTAAAGTTAAAATTGCGCCCAGTTTTCCATTGCAGCGTCTTGTTAGCGTGCGTAAGTTCGATTTTTTCAATTTAGTTTGTGCGTATAATCGAGTTTGTGTTTTTGTTTGCGAGCGGCGCGCCTTATTTTTGGCCGCAATTACGGTTTTAATCGCAACCGAAATAATAGGGCAGTCATTCAACTTGATTTACGTTTATAAAAATAGAACTTTTGCTTCAGGGATCGACGGCTGTGAAAAATCCGCTACAAATCGAAACTTTAGGCGAAACTCAAATTCCGTACACCATCTTCATCGATTATCTCAGTGGACTTAGCGAGACAAGCTATGCGTAAGTACTCTCGAACAACCACCTTCCTTCGATTAATGAAAGCTCCCTCAGAATAGGCACGTACGATCTATTAAGGCACAACTGCAATAACTTCTCGCAAGAACTAGCTCAATTTTTGTGCGGCGCGAATATACCGAGATATATTCTCGATTTGCCTAACGAGGTCTTACAATCGAAACTAAGTCCCGCCCTTCAGATACTCGTCCAGCAGTTAGAGCATAGCGCCCGACCAATTTCGAACGAACGAAGCCCCAACCATCGAGGAGTACGTAAGGATCCCAGTCCGGAGTTTCTGCAAATCGAAGAGGCCAGGTCAGACGCTAACGCTAAGAAAGATGACAATAACACAAACTAATTGCCGAAGTTACTAACTTATAGAGTGTTGCGGTTAATGATACTTGTTATTGTTGACGTTTAGGCTTTTTTTCATAGATTAGGACTTTGTTTTTGACTGTGGAAATGGCTTTTAAGTATAGGAACCATCATCTTAGTGCTAAGAATACGAAAATTTGAAGGATTCAGCGTTAAATTGTAACACGATTCATTACACACTTTTTGTTAACCGATTTTAATAAACGATGCCTAAAAATTGCACGCTTGTAGTTTGCACTAACTGTTTTCTGTGACTAACTCTCGGACTGAACTAACACTAATTGTAAGTATCATTGTACGATGTACCTGTGTACTGTGATTTTAAAATTTTCATATTTAGGAGCACATCACAACGAATAGATGAAAAACGGAACAGTATTAAAGATAAACTAGTCAAGAAGGAGAGAAAGAAAGAAAAAAAACGAAAGAAACTACTGAGAGAGGGATTATCGGTTCGTTTTAGTACAGAGGTAAGTTTTAGTGGCGTGTTCACTGTAATTCAGTTTGTTAATAGGTTAGTATTATGGCTGATACCGACACAATAAATTCGGGCGAGCCCAATCAGTTGCCGTCCGAACAGGCTTTGCAATTTGAGGAGGACGAAAGGCGGCAAGAAGAGGAGAGGAAACGAAGTCGGGAGCCGCCGATAGTTTTTAGGGATTTAGTGGATGTGAGTATCGTGCGCTTGTTTTTCAGTGCAAGTTCATCAGAATTGTCTTTTTGATAAAGCATAGGATGTGATATGGGGGGGTAGAAAGTTCAGTTTTTTTTAGAAACGTTATGTGGGTAGAGAGAGTGCAGTTGTGAACTTACTCAAAACGTTTTCAAAATTGCCAAATTTCTGTTGCCAAATGTACTTGGCACATGCCTACTATATACAGTGTCCATAAAAAATGATCAAGTTCATTCTTGTGGGTGGTTCATTACACTCCAACCCATTCAACCATCTAACAAAGTTTAAAGTTTAAAGAATGCCGAAATTAAATGAAGATCTATATATTGCTCTTTAGCAGAATAAAGATTACAATGTAATTAAAAGAAAAACAAATAAATTTACAAATTATTGTAAATAAGTCACACCAGCTGACGAAAGCGGTTTGCGGAAGCCTCAGGTAATCAGTTGGAGAAAACGGCCAACTCCATCGATCACAAAATCAGCAATTTCTCTATCGAGAATACAAGCAACATAGCATGAATTAATTAACGGTAGCTACGAGAAACCAAATGCAGGTCAGCAAAGCAATATCCTCTTATAAATAACGGAATGGTCCTAAAATGTACGCCTGCACCTCAAAAATGCCAAAAAAATCCCCTAAATCGTGCTGTTGCCCTATATAAACTTCCTAAAATACGGAGAGGGAATCGGAAATTCCAGCCAGTCGTAGCTCAATTTTGACTACAGTTTTTACCACCCTCGTGACTGCATCATTCACGGAGAAAATTGTTAGTTACCAACAACAAGGCAGTACATAAATCAAACAAATCGGTAATTTCCACACATTAAAATAAAATGATCAAAACTTATATGAATGTTACTTTAGGGACAAGACCAAGTAATCAACATCAATAAACATAAATTAAGCAAGCTTTGCACCAAAAACGTAAGCAATTACAAACTATAGCATAACGGTATCACATATGTGATTATGCATTGTGGTTAAACGAAGTAAATTTCAAAAACAAAGATTCAAACCAAAACCAAAATACAAAACACTAATACGATATAAAGAAATGCAAAGATTACTACCTGCATTAAAAAAACACAAAATAACAACAAACATTTATGGAGCGACGCGTTCACGACCGCTATTCGAGACAAGATGCCAAACGTAACCCCCGTTCGTGCTTTTTAGGTGGCACAGGCAGCTTTTTCCCACCTAGATATTGCATGGTTGCCAACTCTCAAAAATGTATGTATCGTCGTAAGTTGTATATACAGGGTGGAACCTTTCAATACTGTCAAAAAATTAAAATTTCTTTAATTAACAGCGATCATCCTAAAAATTTAATTAATTAAGAAGCGCTTCTTTTGAGACCAATTGTGTCCTAATTGGAAGCTGTTTACTGCAACTTATTTAATTAGAAACTGTTAATTATTGTCTCTTGAAATTCCTCGGGTCTCTTATCAAACTGATACCGACGTAAACCTGCATAACCTTGCAATTTTAATGCTAATAATTACTTAATTGAGTTGAAATTCTAAGATATTAATTCGCCCTTGTCTTCTACATGACAAAAGCTTTTGACCAATACAAAAATAATTTAATTATTCCTACGGGAACAGCTACAAATGGAACAATTATATACGGCCTCTTGTTTTCCTTACCGGGCGGCTCTACAAATTAACTTCTAAAACAGAAATAAATTTTTCCGGAGTGACAGTCTGGTAGACAAATATACTGTGTGGTCATTACTTTGGGTATGGAACTTAAGTGTTTCGTTACAACACTTCATTGAAATGTTTGAGCTCGGTCCCTGGCGTCCTAAAAATCAGGAAAACGGCTTAAACATCTTGATAAATTAGCGCGCTTCCAATGACACTAAACACAACGGTAATAATTATGGTTACTGAATTGACTGGAAATTTCAAAATTTGGAAGTTCATTTTTAATGGCAATTCTTGGGTCAAGGGAGAGGTGTGTTTATTTACGTATACTGCACGGCCTCCAATAATACAATAATCAATCTGGTCGTAAAAATTTTGCGATATTCAGGCGCACTTAGAACTGACACAAACACGACATGTTTTAGTGAATGAAATGACAAAATTTGGTGGCTTTTCGGGCAGTAGAACATTTTTAGTTTTGATGAATGACAACCCTTGTTGAAGGTCTTCAAGGGTGGTTTACTCACACTTGAATTCCTTTTTCCGTTAATGAATAAAACCCTTTAAAATACTTCTCATGAACTGTAACTAACTCACTTGACGACGTTGTAACTTAAATATTTCAATACGCACACACTTTGTTATAATAACGATTTAAATTAATCACATAGGGCCGACTGCCTAAAATAAGCCCGTAACAAATATTACGTGCTCAAAAACACAAACAAACAATAAGCTCCGTTTAAACGTTGTCCAGTCTCCAGTATTTAAAGCATCCATAATATATATATAATAATAATCTCGTTTTTGAATTTTCACATAAAGCGCCAATCACAAGTAGACTTAACGCTGAGAAAAACGCCTAGTTCTTCGTAACACACCTGCAATTTCTTATTAGAACCACATGTGCACTAATTAAATTTCGTCTAACTATAAAACTTCTTATCGCAAACGACCAGATGTGTCTTATTTCTAGCACCTTACCTAAATTTCCAATTCGATTCGCCAACTACTTGACCTGGATTGTGATGGCCGTAATCATACTTTTCAGGACTCTTTCAGCCCCTGGTGACTTTCCTTGTTTCCACAGAAGATTCTACACTTGAGATTTCTTCTATGAGATCAATCAGGATTTAGCCTCGTCTAATAAGTAATCGATCACTGTCTGCTCAACCTTTATGGGGGTTCTTAAGGGAGGGATGTGTCTAATAAATTAAGGGGTCAAGTTTTTTCAAATTCATTACTGAATATCTTCAATTATTACAGACTAAAGGGGAGTACGAAGTATTAGCAAACTCACTACAAAATCAATTATCCGAGGAGGAACAAAGAGCCTTAGACGAACTACGTCAGTATATGCTGTGCGATGAAGGTAGCTGGGTGGTCGGTGATGGGTTTCTCAATTTTATTGGTTTGTATTGGAATACACGTTAACGTCGCCGCTAACACGCTCGATTGTAGGGCGGCTACTAAACGACCGTGACGTTCAGAACGAGGTGCGAATACACGTGTTAAACATTCTCGCGGCCGCCGCCTTAAAGGATGACGTCATATTGGTGTTGCATCAAGATAGGAAAGATCACGTTTTGATGAATTACGCTTATGAAATCGACCGAATCAGTGTAGATGAGCAGCTCGCCTTGGCTCTTTTTGTAAGGATTATTTTAATAATCGACAATTGTACAGTAGGTTGATTTAGATTGCAAACATGTTCGAAAACCTAAGCTCATCCGAATGGCTGTTGTATATTTCCGAATGGACTTATAATGGTCAACCCATCAGTAATATTAGGGTGACGACCAAAGTTGCAGTACATTCCTTGTTGTCGGATGTACCAGACCTGCAAGATCGCGGCTCCGCCATTATTTACAACATGGCCTGCAAGGAGGTAAAATCTGTGGTCTGTATCTTTTTATGGCTAAGGTTTATGACTCAAAACTCACGGCTTCTCATTAGGCTAACTAACATCATATGTTTAAAAGGACTATGTTTCGAAAATTATAAGATATTTTAGAGCATTTGTGCTTTCAGAAAATGTTCAAAAACTTTCGCCTACGGCAGATTTTACCCAAAGGCACTTTATCAAAGGTAGCTATCAGTAATCACTGTGTCGTGGCCTCATTCACTAATGCTGCAACATTTTCCATTACGAATTAATTTAGCGCCAACGACATTTTCATTTAACCTCCATTCATTTTACTTTAACAAACTGTGTTCACACTTGCTAGAATAGCGATCTTTTATAAATTAAGCCATCGTTGCCAACTGACCGATCCTAGAGAACTACAGTGATTTTAATCTCTTATAGCCGTGACAAGAACCACTTTACCCAAGACAACAACCAAATCTTTAAGTCACTTTGGGATCGGTCTTACTATACTTAACATAACAGAAAATAGAAACACGACCTCTACTTATGCATCATTAATTAGAAGCACAATTGTTTCTATTGGCTCAATTTTATCTTTGCAGGTATTTGATGACGTCGCCGTGGAGTTAACGATGGCGCTCTTACAATATTTTAACACCAAACCATCCGAGGAGCAATTGTGGAGATGTATGAAATCTTTAGCGAAGTTTACACAAATTTCGGGACAAGACGTGCCGCAATTAATACAAATGATTGGACCGAACCCTACCACGTTTAGGGGCACAAGCTCGAGAATCGACGAGCAAATAGACTTGGTCCTCGCGAAAATGCGCTAATTTCCTTGATACTACGGTTGTGATTGGTTGTTGATAATATTTTTTTTTAAATATTAACTTTGGTTTTTTTTTAGTATTTATTTATTTTGTTGAGTGATTTTTGTTAATAACCATTTATTCTAATTTAGCGGAAATGCATTTTTAATTTATTTATAGTTTAATCATTTTATAACCGAGAATGATTCAGTTAGTAAATTCTGGATTATAACAAATATTAGTTAATAATTCAACTATGTAGTTTATTTAAATGGAATTCCACATTTAAATCCTGTGCAGAATCTAAAAGTAGGTACACATTCGTGTGTTACTAATAGTGTTCACATAGATACAGTCGCAGACAGAATTAATAACCATTAAATACCTCTCCTGTCTTAATGAATGTCATTTACTTGGCCAGGTTGCAGTTTCAAATCGTTGCATATACTTTAAACTAATCATAGTCCAGCCTTACACTGATAAACGAAATTAGTGGGAGTGCGTTATCCTAATAAAGAAAGGGTAAAATATCCAAGGACTATAAATAATTGGGCCAGTGATTAATTTTGTCAAAACGATGTGCAAATTTAGAATAAACGTTTATGGTGAGAGGCCTTCAACATCTACAGTGCCCCAAATTTAAAGGTCCACCCTGTAATGAATTTGAACAAATAAAATAATAAACATTTTTAGTTTTACTTTTACGTTTATTTTGTACTAATCTGAAAACAAAATAAGGTTAGCGATTTAAAAAATAAATCGTTAAGTAGATAATTGGAAAAAAGTGAAGTGTTTAATAATAAGTACTTAGAGCTATTGAAAAAAATTTCAATGGACGCAGAAATTTTTTTCAAAATTACGATTTTCGAGATATTGACCAATTTCCTTATTTTAAATGGACGCCATATTGGATTTTTATTCACTTTGATACAGTTTTGTTTTCTCTTTCTAATCATGTATAATCATGAACTATGTTGTCTGTGGTATAACTAAGGTATCATTCAAATAATAAAAATAGGTAAAATTACAATTTTTTCATTTTTCATTTTTTTCTTCATAGTCAAGACTACCCTTACTTAAAATGAACGTAATTAATATTTCACTCTGCTTCTATCACATAGAGACCGCGGGCGCGCTTTCTTACATTCGATGCCACCCTGTGTCCTTCTCTTTCACATGGAACAGTACGGTGGTCGCAATGTTAAGTAGCGCGCGAGAAAGAAACCTGTATTGGTCCATGTGGAAGTCATTTGGTTATTAAAGTCACCTTTAAATGACATGTGCCTCTAGAAAATCGCCTATGACCTTTATTTGGTTCCCAATGCCGTATTTAGTTTTTTAGCCACCTTCAATTTTTAAATGATATCGACATTAGTAAATCGCCCTATGGGATTTTACTTAAGAGTTGAGTTAGGTTCAGCCCTATATGCTCACCTCGAAAATTAAATGACATCTCAAAAGTGGGGTCATTGACCTACATGGAACTAAAAAAGAGGTCGTTGACCTGTGCCCTGATCGATCGATAACCTTGAAAGCAAATGCCCTTAAACATCACCTTGACCTACTTTCCAAGGTCACCGCCATGTGCCCTTTGAACTTGACCTACTTTAAAAGGTGATCGCAAGGTAGCGAGCGACTTTGAATTGAACCAGGTTTACCTTACCTTACCTTTATTTTAATTCACGTGGAAAAGTGTTGACCTTTAAGATGTTCTGTCAACTAGGGGCAAAGCCAAGTCTAAGTTAGATAACTCATTAACAACATGCATCCAACAAGATCTTTTATTTGTTGCCACGTCAGCTTTTCCCCTTTTTTACAACAAATTTGTAAATCCTGGCATATCAAAAAACTATTTACTTTTTAACAATTTAGCTTTCAAATATATTAAATTTATGTGCCAAATTAGGACCTCAAATATACGAAGGTTTAAAGCAACTTTTGATGGTGTTACTTACAGAATAGATCTTACAGACATATGCAGTATCTGTAACAGTAATTCAATACAATCTTTCCAGCATGTATTCTTTGAGTGCGTGCCACTTCGACAGGGTCTAACCTTGGATACGGAAATTGTTAGTAACTGTGAAAACCTTTTATATTTTCTTAATGATATATCAAAAGATAATGTGAAAGCTGTAGTCCATTACTTTTTAAATATTCTTCGCTTGAGAAGCTTTATTTTAAATGAATGATCAAATTTTCTTTTTTCAAATTTTATAATCATATTAATAATTAATAACTAATTGCTAGGTTACATTTATTTTGTGGCATTTATAATGAAGCTAATTAGTATTATTATTATTTTTTGTTAGGTATAATAAGCAAAAACTTAACTCAGTTGCTATAAGTATACTTTGTACTTCAAAAGCAATAAAGTTCTATCTATCTATCTATCTACTGGACCCAGGTCTGGGTTGTACAGGTGGTGGTGATGAATAGAGCTTCAGCAAAGCATACCATACCATCATCTGCCAATTGCAGGGAGGACGAGCGAAGATAACTATCTAATTACGCAACAAATGTTACTTTGGTACAAATCACAAATATATTTAAATACTGTTATGCATTTACCAGGGCAAACTAGACTATAATAACAAAAACAAGAGATATAATTGTCAGATTAAGGTATTTAGTGCAATAAATAATAGTTCAAAAATAAGGGAAAGTATTTAAATTTTATTTATTTTTATTTTATTGCCTTTTTTATAGTGGGCGGAGTGTTAGCAATTAGCTATTCTTCCCACTCAACCCACTATACAAACAACCATGCCTTACCTGGGATTCGAACCCAGGACCCTTGTAGCCAAAGTTGCTACTAATGTAAACTCATCTGAGCTACGCAGGTCGGCGAAGTATTTTTATTATATTAATATTAGTATAATTATTTAAAAATTTCAAATACTTTCCACCATTACTGTATACTTATACAATAGCAGAAAACAACTTAAGACCTTCTGCAGAGGCACCTCTAAAAAGCATTATGCGGGTCTGTAATTGGGCGCAAGCCTGTTGAGGGCCCAGAACACGAGAGGGATAATAAACAAAATAAACATGAAAAAAGAGTAGAACTGATGTGAAATGGGTCAGAGTCACTATTTCATTTTCAAGTACCCCTACACCTATTCCATTAGCATCTAAAGAATTATTTTATTTTGACAATCTCCTCCGGTAGATGTAAACAACAATTAGAGCTGCCCCTATCCACAACCACCAACGCCATCTACGTCCATGATTATCACTAGATGGCCCTGGCCATTCTGCAGGATTATATCTACTGTCATATCTCGACAAATTGTCGTATTGATAATCATATTCATAATTTTTGTCATTTGACTGTACATTTTTTATCGAACTGAGTGTGGAGGATGATGTAGGAGCAAAATTATCTCTGCTCGAATATCTCCACGAACTATATTCATAACTGTCGTAAATTCTCTGTACATTTTTTGTCGAACTGTGTTCGTAGGATGATGTAGGTGCCAAATTATCTCTGCTCGAATATCCGCAGTCCCACGGAACAGATTCATAACTATCGTAAATTCTCTGTACAGTTTTTGGCGAATTGTGTTTGTAAGGTGATATAGTGGATTGGGATGATCTGCTATTATCTTTTATTAGTGAAGTGGATGAAGTAGGTTGGATAGATGATACAACAGGCCTGTTAGAGGACGGCCTGTAACAGATAGCTTTAGTTTTAACTTGAAATGCGGGATTCAAATGTATACCATTGAATTTGTCTATAAGCGATTAAATATTCCGGGTAACGATCGCTGTCCCTTTCACATGGAAGTTGGCTTAAAGTTTTTATTATTAAGATAAAGCCATGTGAGTGGAGGCGATGCTCTTGACTGAAGCCCCCTAGTCTACTATCACAATTATAGTGTAGTATGGAATCAAGTTTTGAATGATCAGTAATTGATAGGATAACTCTGTTTGCCTGTAAACATATAGGTGCCTATGTAACATTACATATTGATGAGGGATATTCATACTGTTTGCTCCCGTTTATTAATCAAAGTCAACTGTTGTTTTCGAATCAGGAACCTACCATATGCAAATGGATGTTGTATCCTTTGAATTCTGTCGATTGCGACATTACTAAAGGTATTGTGTATGATCTTGTCTACAGTTCGATATTCCTCTGTATTTTTGTTAATACCTACTTTAATATATATTGTATCCTGGTAGGGGTGAGGCTGCCAATATGAAGGAGTATAACATAAAACAATATCCAGCGCTGAGCGTTGCATTTCTCTGAAGAGCACTCCTAATCAATTTTTATACAATTGTGCTTAATCGAGTTTTTTTTAATTAGACCTGGCTCGACAAGCTCCTAGAAAACACCCCTACGGACAAAAAGGTAGCAACTTCAAAGCAGCTTCTTACTCTGAGGTAGCACACACTTACACACAAACAAACTTAATACCATTGCATGATATTATATTTATTGTATCATGATCTCAGAGTAAGAATCATGATACCATTGTTAATACTAATTAAAAATTAAAAATAAACAAACAAACATAACCTTAAAATATACTTTTATCAGTGTTGCCAACCTGACGGATTTTCCGTCAGATCTGGCGGATTATGATTATCTTTATTATACCATGTGATTATACGAAAACGGCGGGTGATGGATTTTTTAAAGGAAATACATTTCAATGAAAGTAAAATTGAATGCATGTCCAAACAATGACAATAGAAAGATGTCGGAAAATGGAATACCGCTTAATTGTGGCGTAAAATAACTCCTGGCGGTATTTAGCGGCGTTACTCTCAGCGGTATTTTACACCATTATTAATATAAAGTTATCGGATTGGCTATGAAATCACATATTTCTATTGAAATACTGGCGTCTCTATGTTTATTATTAGCAATGCGTTGAGACATGTTTTATTCTAAATGATACAGAAAATAGTTATTTACGTTATAAGTCCGGTAGGTTACTTGTAACAGTACGAGTTAGACATTATGGACGAGGCGACGTCAGGAGCCGAGTCAAGAATGTCTTAAACGAGTACTGTTACAAGTACTACCGGACGTATATCGTAACGTATTTTATTTCATACTGTAAGTCTGTTTTGTATCATATTTCATTTCAAAGATTACAAAATTTCATTATATTGTAAAAATCGCATTACCTGGTTCCTAAGAAGTCGGCCGCAAGGTATGAAAAAGAGTACTACCTAAGTGTTTTGCCAATGGAGGAACGAACATGGTGCGAAACAAGTAGAGAAAAACGTCATGTTGGCATACTGTTTGGATGCAGTAAATTTTTGAATTGAGATTTTTTTGCCTGGGTTTCGGTGTTAAAGCGTCATGGGGCATGGAAAAGCTCATCGACGGCAGAAAAATACATCGAAGGCTCGGTAGAAGGAAAAGTTAAGATTGCCCGTATGATACAACTGATAAGGCGGCGAAAATTTCATTGAAGTTCTACAGCAGAAGGAATCAAACATTACTAACTCGACATCCAGTAATAACCCAGGCGTTAGTGTTGAGGGCAATACAAATTGTTTCATTACAATCAATGTTAATGTTTGAAATAAAGAATTACAGCGAAATTTATGTTGGGGTTTCTAATTAATTGTGTGAAGATGTCAAATTTGATGTATACAAATAACAGTCCGGTAAGTGTTGCTTAGCGACACTTACCGGTTCTGATGCTGTAATATCTCACCTACCGGACTCAAAATGATAGTGTAATCGGACATCTACCGGACAGTATGAAATAAATGTAATATTCACATTTCACACAACATAACTCACATAAGATACGGTGCAGAGTTAAAGAAAACCAGAAGATTCCGATTACTTCCGAAGATATGCCAGAAAAACCGAAATTTGCCGATTTCGTTTCGATTTTTCCTGAATTAAAAACACTTTCTCATTGCCACTTTTTAAGCTCTGCAATACATCGTTGAGAGATTTTCAATACAACGTTTCGTTTCGGAGAAATCATCATCAACATTGCTACATTATCTACAATCTTCAGCATTTCTACATTTCACCATAACCAGTAATGATGATCGTTTATGTAGGATCATTGAATAAGCAGTATAACTACATAGGAAATTGGTGTAAGGTGTGTTGCATACACTGCAAAGTAGTTAATTACCATTGAAGGATATTTGGCCTCGGGCGGTAAATAATGACTATTTTAAACAGTGAAACCAGTTATACTTAGGGGCCCTTTGTTTCCCTTGTTTATCAGAGTTGAACAGTGTTGTCATATTTACCAGATCCTTATATGGAGCTAGGTAAAGTTTGATTGTTTATTATGTAAAGATAATGGTCCTTAGAACAGTTCTTGTTGTTTTTTTATTAGATTAAACTACATTTTTTACTTTATTTATTGTTCCTTATGATCTATTGATCTTACATTTCAGATTGATCCTCCCTTACATAATATTGTTATTGGCATTGAATAAAAGCTTATTCAATATTTTAATCTAGTTTATTCAAACTCAAAGCGCTTGCCAAAAATCTGGCAACGTTGGGATTTTAAAGAAGTAAAGAAATTGCAAAGTCGGTAACTAGGTTTAAATTTGTGGTTCACTTTCCCCCACAACAGAGGGACGACAGAATCGTGGGCAGATTTTCTTATTTCATCAGTTAACACGGGCGTTATACTTCTTTAAGGTGCTTATTCAATGGTAGGATGTCACACAGGCCCGCAGGATCTGCTACCCTACATAATATGTTCTCTATAAAAATAAAATGAATATCTGTAAGTATGTCGCATATGCTTTCCTAACCCGTTCATCCGATTGCAATGAAACTTTGGGGAATGGTTGAACGTATGCCCGTGACGATTTCTGATTTAGAACTTCCCCAAATTTACACGGGAGCGGGAAACAAAATAGATACACGCCATTGACTATAGGCGGTACGAAATCGCCGGGAACGACTATAAAAAATAGTATGAAATAACAAGACTTTTAATGCTGAAGAGTTTTATGGAATATTGTAATATGAAGAGTGTCCTACAATGCTCGCAAGAAGTAATTTTAGTGCCAAACACAGGTTTTTAATTAATAATGGCGTTTTTTATTGATTTATAATTTATACATCATTATGTATGAAAATTATCATTGGGAAAACGCATTATTATGACATTTCACATTGCAGTGCCCGCTAAAAAACCCCCATAAGGATTGCATTGCCCTATGTTTCCTGTACTGTAAAGTCAAGATGAGACGGACTATAGCAGGTTTGCAAGTGAAATTATGGTAGGTACTAATTTGAAAGTGAATTGAAAATGAAACATGCAATTACCTTAATTTTCAAATTACAAATAAACCCATAAAGAGCGTTTAAAAAAGCGGCAGAGCACCTCGGAGTCATTGGATTTGACCCATTTTCAATTGGCTTGTTACATGTGGTATATATGTTAACTGTGCAAAGTTTGAACCGAATAGCTTCAAGCGTTTGCCAGAGGCAGAGAGGCGTGACCCTACGGGGTCATTGGATTTGACCCATTTTCAATAGACTTGTTACATGTGGCATATAAGTCTACTGTGCAAAGTTTCAACCGAATAGGTTCGAGCGTTTGGCAGAGACAGAGAGGCGTGACCCCGAGGAGTCATTCGATTTGACCCATTCTCAATAGGCTTATTACTTGTGGCATATAGGTCAACTGTGCAAAGTTTGAACCAAATCGGTCCACGCGTTTGACAGTTATCGTGTTCACGGACAGACGGACACCATTCGACTCCCCTATAAAACTTGCATCGCTTTTCTCTGTCGCTTAATAAAGAACGCAATTTATATTCCACATCGAATATGTTTTAAAACAGCCTTACTGTTCGTGGCACAATAATTACACTGACCACAATTTAAACAATATATTTTGTTGTGTAATTGGACTGTTCACAATTAACTTTGGAAATGTTACGCAGACGATGATTCTTTAACTTATCCTTATGGTTGTGTAATTGCACGGTTCACAATAAAAGACTTTGTAAATATTATACGTTATAGACGACGATTTCCTAAATTACCTATCCTTATTGTGGATTTCATAATTACACTGATCACATTTAAAATGTTTAAAAGTATCGTGACAAAATGTGACGTTTTAAACTATACTCTTGCTCTTTAAGGAGTGTAATTATATTGATTACGAATGAAATTTTTACAAGTGTATCTACTTTTAGAGCCGTAAAAACTACAATACTGATTACTTTTGACTATTGGAAAAAACAAAATGGCGGTCATATACCAACAATTAATATTAAGTACCTATGTATACTTAATTACATTACAATGTGCTGGCATCAGCGGTCTCAGTGTTAATAGGATTGCAAATATTCTGGGAGATGGTGAACATTTTGAGTTCCCTATCGTTCTTTTAAGAAAACGTTTAAATTTCTTATTCTATTCTGGGTTGGAGTAGGTAAGTACTTTTTCGATCGGCTGGCGATATTGTATTTCCTTCAGGGTGTTTTTGAAAATCGTCTTTGTTGGATTTGTTAGAAACTTGCAGATTTATCCTGGGTTGTGATATAGTCCATGGAGGTATCGTCTCATTAATTTTTAGTGTAGATACGGGTAATGGTTCAAGGTTGAAGACGTTGTGTGCTTTTCTCAGCCAATGGGGAACTACTCACTGGAGGAAGATTTCTTAGTCTGGCTGAATGTCATTTGAAGTGATGGGAATACTTAGATATTTTTTTTTGTCGGGTGATTGTTCTGAAAGCACCTGTTGATATTCGGATTGCATTATTTTGGATCGGGTCCAGAATTTTTAAGATTGTATGCTTGGTTGAGGAATGTATGTATAATACTGCCATAGTCGATCTTCGACATTAGGATATTTGGGTTTTGCCTGTTGTTCTGTAAAGTTTTGAATAAATTGAAATTGAAAAATTGAAGTTCAGCACCCTCTATACAACTGGAAAAGCGGCTGTCTTGTAACAAAATACGCTCAACAACCCCTGATTGTGATACAGCAAAAGTCTCCACCCACAAAAAGCAACGATTATTGTTTACTTGTAACGAAGCACCCGTGCTCCGCCTGGAAATTACGTCCTCCGATTATGTCCAGTTTACATACGTTAAATGCGCCCTTCACAAATGAATTTTGACACCAGTCGCGTATTTTTAGGACGTCTGGAAAAGACGTAGGGGGAGGTTGCCCAAGAGTACGCACTTAACATTTTATTGACATTATTAAGCATCCATTTTGTACTGCACCTTTAAACAAATTGAAAAACGGACACATACTATATTTACTTTAGTTTACTAAATACTATATTATGTTAATAAATGGTAATTACAACAAAACGAAACATATTTGTAGAGTGGCATTTGCGCACTCTTGGGAACAGTGCGCCTTAAGAGTGCGCAGTGACGTTCTTAAGAGTGCGCAAGACCCTAATTACAAAAATCACACAAATATTGCCCTCCTGAATAGTATGTGCAAGCTTCGTGCCACCAATGAGCACACTTTAAGCACTGTATCCAATCTTCATCGGGCGGTTCCACAAATTTTTCATCACAACCTGGGCA